AGTGTTCAGCCCGGACACTTTGGTCTGAGTACTATGTCTGCCCTGACACTTTGGTCCGAGAATATGTCAGCCCGGACACATTGGTCGGAGTATTTTTACAGCCTGGACACTTTAGTCTGAGAATTGTTACTGCCCGAACACTTTAGTCGGAGTAATATGTCAGCCCGGGCACTTTGGTCGGAGCATTATTCCGGCCTGAGCACTTTGGTCGGAGTAATATTCCAGCCCGGACACTTTTGTCTGAGCACTATTCCAGCCCAGACAATTTGATCGGAATACTATGATATCTGAGGCAGCCTAATAGTTTGCCTGCGCAGCCACGTTTATATCGATGCGCTGCGCTTTGTATACCGCTGCGTCATCGAAGGTTATAAAACCAAATCTTGGATTTTTAAATTTTTAAGCCTTGCGTGCGGCGCGTCGTTTTATGGGAAAAACTGCGCTATCCATTAACACATTCCTGTGAGGTGTACCAGGTTTTTGTCGGGCTTCTTTTGTGGAAGAGATCATTTTCGAAGGCCGCCGTTGAATGCCCGCAGTCAACCGCATTTGCCTCGCCATAATTAAACCAATTATCGCAATAGAATGCAGTACTGAATAAAAAAATGGTAAATCAGCTGAGGACGAAATTATATTGCAACGTCTCTGAAGAAATCGTACGGCAACTGAAGGTGCCTCTTCGCCAGATTTCTAAACCTAAAAAGTACCAGATAGTACCATGATCAAGCTGTCTGGGCGCATTGACAAAAGTGTCCGAGCTGAACTATTGCCCCGACCAAAGTGTCCGGGCTGTAATGGTACTCCGACCAGTGTCCGGGCTGAAATAGTGCTCGGACTAAAGGGCCTTGGTTGGAATAGTGCTCTGAACAAAATGTCAGAGCTGGAACAATGCTTCGACCCTAGTGTCCGGGCTAAAATAGTGCTCCGACAAAGGGTCCAGGTCTAAATCGTGTTCCGATTAAAGTGTTCGGGCTGGATTAATGCTTCGACCAAAGTGTCTGGGCCCACATAGTTCTCCGACCAAAGTGTCCGGGTTACAAAAGCTGTCAGGAGCTTCTGGTCGCATCGAGAACGCAAAAAAATTTGGGTGGGCAAAATTCACGGCGGGCGTCTTTTTGGCCCCAGGACGGTTTGGTCGGTTTAACTACCAAAACGTCCGCCGGACGTCTTGCTCGTACGGACGTTTTAGTCGGTTATAGGCATGCGAGTGCATGCGTACGGGAGTGAGTGCCATTGTATACCTCATTGCACCGTGCACCAGTAGCGGGACTGTCGCTGGCTGCCGTCTCGTATGCACTGCCATAGCAACAGGCCCAACATGCCTCTGGGCGGAAGTTCGAGCTCGTGCGAAAGACATCGGCCTCATGCCATCGGTTCTCGGGCTACCCTACGGCACCGGTTCAGTTCACCGAGGGTGGGGTAAGAAACTGGCGCGAAACTTTCTTCCGTCCAAATTACTTCGGGTAAGGTATAAATCTCCGTAGCCTGGTGAGAAAACGGGCTTGAAACTCACTTCCGACCGGGGATCTTCCGGTCAAATTTGACCGGAACCTTCGTATCCAGGTAATCCAAGTTTGTGCTTGCGTCCAGCCGAGGTTCATCGGCTAAGGTGAGTAGAGAGGCACTGTCGCATCCGCGAATGCCGTGAGGCATCCTTTTTGGGTAAGCAATTGGACCTATAGAGTTACTTGATCAGTAGATCTTCCGGTAAAATCCAGTAATCCGTGGTTTTGTAATCCAGCCCGAACTGTTATTTCGCGTCCAGTCGTCTATTGGGCAACCAGGACCGGGCAACTAGGACCGGATTTCTCGGCCGTGAGCTGCTTGCCTCTCATGGGTCTGGAAGTGAAGAATGGGACGGTCAACCAGACACCATACTTCCACTGCAAGAGGACGCGTACCGGCAAACCCACATGGGACCAACCGGATAGTTGTGCGGTACACTGATGCGGCACTGAGTCTGAGCTTCCCTCGCGGGAGTTCGGATTCCCGCCCATAGGCATATCAGGCGTACGAGCCTGCGCGTGGTGCTCCGCCCATACTTGGGGTACTTGCACTCACTCACATGCCGTATTCGCCTTTCTCTTATACGCACGGGTGCTGCTGCACTGCACTCTTCGCTGAAGCGGATATCCCGCGTGCGCACATTGGGCTGTACTTGCTCTCTCGTCCCTCTCTCGCAATACCACTCAGCGTTCATACGCTCGCGTTGGATCGAGTCCAGTATGCGCATCACACACAGCTGATACATCTGGCCGCGATATGCCGCCAGCATTCTTTCACGCCTAGACAGACGCTCAAGAACTGACTTGCGTGCGTGTTCTATATTTAGCCCAGACTGGCATTTTTGTTCTTCCCGCATATCACGCGGTATTTGTTCCTTTTATTTGTCAATAAAGCACTATCGTGAGTCTTCGGCACTTGTCCGTTACACACAAAAAAAATTTCTTCCTTTAGTTATTCCTTCCTCTAGCCCAACCACATCGTCAATTTTCCTCTCTATTAACAGGAATCTGCGGCAAAATAGTAAAAGGTTATTTCGCCGGTCATACTGCGGCAAAATAGCTAAAGGCTATTGTGACGCAGTGTGCGGCAAAATAGTGAATGGCTATTTTGCCGGCCATAGTGCGGCAAAATAGCTAAAGGCTATTTTACCGCAAACACTGCGGCAAAATAGCCACTTCGAAAAGTTAAATGCGAATAAATATCTGGAACTAACCTAGCAAATATAGTTGTTCTTTTCATATTTACTGATTATTTGAAACCAGTTCTATTAATTGCATTATTTGCATAGATATTTCGAATTTGAAAGTGAATTTCATGAGACGGTTTTCGTAAATTCGAGTTTCGGATCGTTAGATCAATTAATTTTACGACAAAAGAACAAAAATATGCGCTGCTGCAAGCAATCTGAAAGGCACATTTACCTTCCATTCCCACAGCCACGCTTATAAGCTTGTCCAAAATTCTTCCCACAGTCTTCATGGTTGTCCTGGGCAGCGATATAACGAGCCGCTTAATGGCATGTACCACGTACTTGACGGTAACCCTATCATCGGGCAATTTGCGACGACCTTTTGCGACTATAACAGCAACACACTCATCTTCAACCCCGAGAAACATTATCTGTTTCATCGCACCGCATCTCCACAGGAACAGACTGCGAAAGTGTGGCATGTCCTTTATCCGCTCGAGCACATCAGCGATATCGGGAATATCACTAGTGAACTCGCGAAAGGGGATCAGCACGCGACGAAAGCAATCCTTGGTAACGGGCGGTCCAAGTGGTCCCGCCCGGCGAATACGCTTCAATGCGGAATTACTGCCGTCTAACACACGGTAACGTTTGATCGTGTCATCCGACAGCAAAACTTCGACATCCAAGAACGTAAATTCCGGATAGCTGTGGACATGCGCGGAACATGCGGGCTGCCAAGATTCCGGATAATCCTCATCAAACACTGACCAAAACATCGATTCCATTATCGATTTCAGTGGTTTTGATGTGATAACATTTTCCCGATAAGCCCACTCTACGCAACTTTTTCATAGGTACAAGACGCAGTTGCTGCTGCATGCAACCGATGCGCACCCAACAGTGGTCTTTTTCCACTCCACAGACATACCCACGGTTTACAGTTCTACTGCCGCCCACAGTGTCGTCCTCAACGTCCACAACGAATCGGCTGTAAACATTCGTCAACAGGAGAGTTGTATATATTCGCGCAAACAAGAAGTTCTCCATGATAGGCAAAGGATTTACCCAAATTCTGCTGGTGTGCACCTGTCGCTTGGGCAGTGAATCGAGGTTTACCACATAGAGTGGAGAAACTCAGAAAAATACCCAGGCTGTTAGTTAGATGGGTGCATAGTGACGTACATTGACGATGCGCAACTGCACTGATGATTGTACAGTAAATAAACTGGCGAAAGATCCGTAAAAATGTATTTTTTAGATAAGTTCTGGATTCATTGTATTTATCAGAGAACAGCCACTGTCATCAATCAATAAAACCTATCCGAGGCGCATTACTTAGAAAGTTAAAAATCCTGACATTTATTTTAAATGTTAAAACTCACAAAAAAATTAGGAGTCGTGACATTTGTTCTACATGTTTGAACTCACAAAAAAAACACTAGTTTTTATATATCTTGTGCTGGTTTCTTCGCTAGCCTTGTGCTCTATATTTTTATGTATCCTATCCTTATGTATCCAATCGCCAATTCCTATGCGGGCAGTTCCTATGCTTGTTTAGTTCTGTGTTTTGCATAAAACAAATGCATCGCGGCACATCTGTTACTTAATATTTCCGCCAATTAAGTTATGATTACATTTTGCACCAAGTTGTCACCTTATCGGATAAGCAGCGAAATTCAAAGAACAGAATTTTCAGACATTTTCACGTGAAGCTAAGAAAATCAGATCTGGAAAACAATCTCGAACCACAGCTGTATTACCTTTTCAAATTTTAAAATGAATTTAAAAGTTTCAGAATTTATTTTAAAACGAAAAAACCGTGGATCGATGTAAAATCGCTCTTCATACTTACGCGCATTCATGTTCAGAATTTAAGGAAGGTCGTTCCATAATAAGAGTTTTGCTTTGCCTGCATGCATTTTTAGCTTCTTCGAATTTGCTTACCGCCATGACTGCCGGACCGGAAATTGCGCGCACAAACGGTTTTCGTGCCAATGTTTATAAATCATCTGACTACAGCATATCACAAACAGATAAAAAAACTGTTTGGGAGTGAGCGAAAGTGAACGCTTTCGTGCGCACGAAAGCCTGCTTGCATGCTTGTATACAGTACTAACTTTGTGCTATGTACCGGGTCAATTCTTAAAAGGACGATACGGGCATCATACAGTTGTCAACGTCAACTACTGTAGCGCATGTCGAATTACACCGAAACCACGCGAAAGGTCGCGAAATTGTTTGCCGAGGTTGAAAAGGCAGTCACCGGTATTTTTTAATGACTTTTATTTGTTTTTCTACGAAATCGGCCGTTAAAATTTTCTACATGTACATAGCACAGTTAATTAGCATGAACATTTCAGTCAGAAAATTTTACAAGATGTATCAGAGAAGATTTAGCGTAGAGTGCGTCAGAGACTCAGAACTAAACAATCCTTACGTGGCGTCAGTAACGTTCGGCAGTTATAACTGCACAGCAAAAGCTTGACGCAAAACAGCATACTTATCGGACAGTATCGTGTGCTGGCGGTAATGAGCAATAATATTATGCAGCGAAGTAAACTGATAATTGACACTGCCGATGGTGAATTTTCCCGTCTCCGGCACTCTCCGTATGGCGAAATGGTGTACCTGTTTTCCGTGCCGCATGCTTAGCGTAAATTCGCCCGCCTGTAAAAATATCATTACCTTATTTCACAGCACTTAATTGTGCTACGCAGAGGCAAGCACAAAACAATACGATAACAAGAATTATAATTAAGGCTATTTAAATGCAAACGCAATAACTGGGAACATAAAAAACACAGTGAAAAAATTAAGGTAATGCAGAAACAAGATTTTTTCAATTTCAAAAATTCGGTGTTTCAGTCTGGATGCACCATACTACCGGAAACTCGCTTCAAGCAAATTATATGATTAATTTTTATTATTAAAGATTACCATAATTACAGAGTACTTTACGAGTACTTTTTGTACGAACCCGTATGGAACTATTTCGCAATAAGAAATCCCCTTCTTGCCCGAACTGCAGCAGCAGAAACTCGCTATCCGGTCGGCTAATCGGTCCCAGGTACCAGTCATCCAAAAATTCATTCCGGTCAGCATTACCCCGCGCTCGCATCCGTTCCCTTAACGCACTTCTCAGCGGCTGCCAATAATTCGCCGGTGCCCATCCCTCTTTATCACGCATACAGATATAACACCATCCTCCAATATTTGTCCGCATCAGCACTCCCGTCTCGCCGCTCATAAACGACAAGGTTCCCGGCATGGCGCTGGACAGGGGATACAAGGAGCGGACGATACTGCCTTCGCTCATCTTCTGGACACTTGTGATATGCTAGAAACAACCAACCATACAATTCTGTTGTGTGGCAAAATTTTACGCTGTGTTTTATACCGTTATTTTACACCGAACGTATTTTTTTTCAAGCAACGAAGTGCATATAAAAACGATTCATTTTTACTGCGTTGAATACGCTGCTCTGTGTATCGAAGTTTGTTTGATACGGACCCAGTTAAGAAGCGAAAATCAAGCTAACAGTCAGCGTAGTGGAACTGATTGGTTTGTAACCGTATTGACTGTTACGCGCTCATCTGTATCGACATTGTGTAATCCATTTGATTTTAACGGTTATTTCTCACACTCAGCTGCGATCCGTAGCCTTCCGAACCCCGATTGATTTCCCTGACGACAAACTTATGGCGTATCGTAAAACCGGCGAAATGATCTTGACGTCGCCTCATTCCAAACCCATATAAAATTCCATAACATTTTACAACCCTTGTTGCACTTTTTTGCAACCGCTGCTTTTGGTCGACGAATTCGTGCTCTAAAACGTTTAGTTGTAACCTGATCAGCTGTTCGGCGTACGACAAGGCTTTGAATCGTGGAAGCGGTTGTACTCGTTTGTTATTTCTCGTACAACGAGTAACACAGCAAATAAAGCGGCTTTGTCACACCGGGCAATAAAGCGGCTCATCAACCAGCCAATCAACAATCATCCTTTGATCAATCGCTGACATAAATCCCATAAAACGCTGTATTAACCGGCGATCGAGTTACACGGATGCGCAAACACCATGCACAAATTTCCCTTTGATGACGATTAAACCAAGTTCAACTGGACGCTTTTTCCATGAAGGATGAGTCAAGTTTAAAGCTTATATTGACAACTATCCGACAATACACTAACCGGTGAATAGCGCTTATTAGTCAAGTTCAGTTATTTGTTGATGTGATCAAACGCCGATCACGTGACGTACCGGTTCGGTGTACAGGGCGTCCTCGCTGCAGCCGTACGGTGTGGCATAGACGTCTTCTTCCTGGCGGAAATGCGGCTCAAAACACGGTGACCGCATCCCCAGGGGTGATTGCTCGCGAATGCGCTGCATGCGACCGCCCGGATTGTCACGCGAACCGTCGTGAACGCTGCGCTTGGGTTTGTTCTTGGAGATTTGCGAGTAGAGAACGTGGAGGGGGTCGCGCGTGCGCAGTTTTTCTTTTTCGGTTAGTGAGGAGGCTTCCGAAGGGTGTGGCTCGTCGTCTTTGACGTCCCAACTGAAAAAGAAGCTTACAATCAAATATGCGCTCCAAGATGTACGAAGTTTTACTGACGTATAGGAATAAATTTAATACTGACGAATAGAAATAAATTTAATTTTATGAATCAGTTTCTTTTATGAAAGACGATTTTATGGACGTTGTAATTTCTTTAAATCTACAAACAGTAGATTAGGTCCCAAGGAAAACTATTTGCGGAAAATAATTATCGCCATCAATAATATATCCATTTAGCTGTGCTGATTTTGCTTGTGAAAATGATAAGAATAACATTCGCTTTTCAAACAGCGGAAAACGGAAAAATCGAGGAAGAACATTTTAAAATTCGAAAAAATAAGAGTGTACTTTTCTTTATTATTGCCGGATGCCAGCTCCGGTGTAAACTGCAGCTGAATATAATTCAACGTTGAGATATCCACATTCCGTGACGGCAACAGTGGGCGTGGTGCATGGATAATCGGCGTAATTAAGGGGTCTTTGACGATCATCGGTGTGATAACACCCAGTTGATCCGAGGGCGCCGATGCCAGTTCCGGGTGGTCATCCTCGCGGGTAGGCGACAAACTGTTGTTGGAGCGACCGTCCGGGTCCGTGTCGCCGGGGTCGGTGGTGGGCGAGCGCGAGTGCTCATGCTCCGGCCCGTCACCGTCGCCACCTCCCACGCACACCGCTGAGTCGTCAGACTGTGAGCCGGAGCCGGACCGGCGGTCCAATTCGGTTTCGGGTTCGCCAGCCTGGCATCCGCCGGATACCGACAGTAATTCGTGCTCGGTGATTTCCGAATCTCTGCAATCAAATAATTGCTCAAGTGCCTATATAAAAATTCAATTTACATACACCATATAACTGATTACTGTATATGTACATGTACATCACTAAAATAATAATTTACTGGATTACACAAAAGCACGTATTTTCTGCGGAATTTTATTCCAGTACTAACACAGCTTTTATTTAGGTGCTTTGATTGGTAATATCAGCTTTCTCTAGAAGTAAAATGACTTATGCGATTTATGAAAATTAAACCAATACTTCTGATTTCGCAAATACGTTGTGAAACGGTTATCGTCTGTATTTTAAGAATATATTTATCATTCTGTTGTCAACTTAATTCGGCATTTCTGACAGAAGCTGTTTAAAATTCGCACGCTCCATTCTTTCTCGAAGAATTATGGAAATGCCAGAACATCAAAGCCCCTAACAAGACGCATTTATGTACAATTGACCAGAAGCCGACCGGCGAGTTGTCTTTCAACGCGCATATGTAATTCTCTTGCATACCCATCAGCATGCAGACTGACCCACTTCTGATGATGTAGCGCTGGTCCAACAACTCGGTCACAGTGCGTACCACCGATATATATTATTTTGTCTCGTTGATGAGCATTAATTTATGCATAACCACTGGCGTAAGATGTTTTTCCAGCCCATACAGATTAAAGACGGCGGAGGGTACTTTTTAACACTTTAACGATCGGCGCGATCGGCCGTTGAGGCGGCCCAACGAACGCCACGCTGCCCGGATTAGCATAAAATGCCGGTCGCTAATAACTGTATATTGTCATATGACAGTAATTATAATTAGTCTGTTGCAAAACGTTGCATAAAATTTTTCGCACAAATGCCGATATTTTGCTCTGGTACGCGTATTTATTAATAATTTTATTTTAATTATTCCGTGCTGGAATTTTCTGTGGCAAGGGCTAGAGTTTGTGCGAGGTATTGAACATGTAATACTCGTAACGTTAAATGGTACTTACGGCTCGTCCAGCCAACCGTTGAGATAGGAGAACATTTCGTCAATGTCCTCTTGAATACGCTTGGTTTCTTGATAATCCATCGAATCTGCAATCAACATAACAAGTCTTTCTGTAATCTTTGAAGGCACCATAAGCAAAAACTACCCGCGAAAAAAATTGTTTTACCGAGCAAAAAAAATCGCGCAACAATTTACGCAAATAAAAATTATAGTATGTTAATTAAAATTTTGCACAATCATACTACAATTATACATAATATAAAAAAACGGAAAAATTACCATACAAAAAGAAGTCTGAATAAATAATGGTTCAAAAGAATCTAAAAACTGCAAACAAGCTTTAAAAAAAAATAAATTCAGTTGTTGACGTCCGTGCTGCGAAAAAATGCCAACGCAAACTGCATAACCATTTCCAGCGAAATTTTGCAAGAAAGCCAACCAAGTGTAGAGAGCGCGGAAAAACTTGCGAAACCGTTTTTGTATTTTCCTTTTCCAAATAAGCGAAAACGAACGGCGCTGACCATGCGAAATCATTAGCGCCAAAATCAAGCATTATTCTTGGCTACGCAATATCGCTCACCGGCCTCCTCAAGCGGAACCATGATTTTAAAACAGCAACAATACAAGCCCGGTCCAAAAAATACACCGTTAAAAAAAAGAATAAAAATATTCTGCTAGGATTTGCATGAATTAATGATGCTGCTGCGCAACTCTCACAAGTATACCGGCGAAATGTATGTTGATAGGTCACAGTGGCCGGCGCGCATATACAGTCTGTACAGTGTAAGCAGAAGAGCAAGATGATGCAATGCGGCATGCAGCCTGCGCATGATGCGGAAATTGGGTTGTGACAAAAGAAATCGAGGGGGTTGTGAATCAACAATAATTAAATGCGCCACAGCAATTTCCTAGCGGGGCCATCTTAATTACTCGATCACGATGCTGTGCCGCGCGGCGCGCTGCTTGATTTCACATTCTTCACACTGTACGCGCGCATGGCTAACTTTCCTTTTCGCTATAACGATTAGCCAGGTGATTATCGGATTAACACGTATCAAAACGATATAAAAACTCTATCTAGAAGCAATTCAAGAAAAACTCGTTCGAATTTGCGGTTAAAAATCTGCAATAACATAAAAAGGTAAATCGGTTGCACCTGAAAACTAAATTTCTAATTTTTCTGCCAATATTACATGCGAAGTTTTTCCAAACTAGCCGAAGTCAAAATTATTTTATTCATTTTGCACCCTTTAATTCGTTGTTATTAGATAAAACCGAATAAAAATTATTATTTTGATAAAAATAAAGACTAGTACAAGTACGTATAAATAATAAATCTATTTGTTCTCTTAAAAGAAATAATTAGTAAGAATAATAAAACTACAAATTTAATGACACAACTACTGTAAAAGACTTTACGTTATAGATTAACGAGTAGTATCTGTAGTATATGTATAAGGAGATATACTAAATGTATTTATTTCTTATTTGGATCGCCAGTTTTTCGTTCAGCTTTTTTAACCACCTGTTGATGACAGATTCGACCGACTGGTCGCTCCATTACTCAGATGTTTCCTCGGCGGTTTCTTCCTTGGCGGCTGCGTCCGGCGCTGACTGCTGGCGGCGGAATGTGACTCGGCCGACTGATGCATGGCGGAATCGGGTGACACACTGTCCCGGCGTCGTTCCTCCTCCGTCTCTCCATCCTCACCCTCCACCGAGCGGCAGTGCTCGGCCAGCGCCTCCAGTGCCGCAGACGGGTAGCTGTCATAATCCACTCGACTAATCTCCGAACAATCGGTTACACCGTCTTCGGAGATGAGGGTGTCTTTGCGGCTGCCGGTCTCGCTACAAAACGCATCAATGCATGAATATAACGTAACAATCGGTATCGGATGATAGCGGCGATTATCGTTTATTAACGCTAACCGCCATTTACCGGTGATATCCGCTTTAACGCCAAACCACAGAAAGACTATCAAATGTTATCGGGGTTATGTTTCGCGGCGGATTCGGTGTCGCATCGCGTTAGTGTCATGAGTGTAAATCACGAAATACACAACATATGCACAATAATTTCTTTTTCGACTGTCATGTCAGTCGGTGAAATACCAATCAAAATTATTCCGTTGCTGAATTTTCTTAGGAAATTAATTCACTAAGTTTTTAATACGATAAATTTTCTGCGGGAATTGTTTGTATCAGCTTTCTGCAGCAGTTATTTATTTATAGCGCCTGTTTAAATCCCGCTGCTTAAATTATTTCCGAGTAATTACTGTACTTTGAAGATTTTCTTTGAATACTTTGAAGATTTTCTAGTAAAAAAATCTATTAATTTTGTAGTTTATAACTCGCCTTAAATATTTATATATATTTTTGTACAATTTGTAGTACAATATTTTAGATATTTTCATTACAGTATCTGTAAATGTATATACAGTAATTGCACTCTGCTACGAAAGTCAATGGTTTCGAAAACAACAGATCGAATGTCCAACAATTTTTTCCAAGCATTTGTGGTGTTTAATTGAGTTATGATTTTTTGCCGGCAACGAACTTTCCTTGTACGGCAGCAGAGCGGCCACATCATCGTTTAATTAGCACCTGAGTGGTGGTCAGGGCAGCGTTAAGTAAAAATTAACCGGCGGAGCTGCTGGGTGAGCCTGTTATTTGCCGTGTCCATAAAGCAGCTGTATACGGCCATTAGGCACGCTTTAGCCGGTGTTGATGCGGCTGTCTCACCACTCTGTATCTAAAGATTCTAAAGCCTATCCGGTCAAACCGTGCGTGAAAACGAACGCACACTATCAACAACACACAAACAGCGCGTTTTTTACTCGTCTCTCTCCCGGATAAATAATATGCTAAGTGGCTGACAATTACGCAGCCCGGCCTCACCGCTGGCTGTTGTGGCTATTTTCTCAAGTCAGAAAAAAAACGAAAAACTGCCGTCGCTAGCTGGAAAGTGATATTCATAACCGTCAGGCTGTAATTGTCGCTGGTTCGATCTTCCGATCGCCGAACAAGCGCAAGCAAATGTTGTGCTGCGTTTTTATATGCAAAACAAACATCGTGCAACAAATCTTAAAACAATTTTTTATGATGATGTAATTTTTAAGTAGTATTTTGAATGTAGCTACAACTTTTACCCAGTTTAGCTTATTACGATAAATATGAGCAAAAATATGACTAAGTATCAGAATTTTATAATTATTGCATATTATGTTCTCATTGCAAAATTATTTACCTACTCTGTATACTGAATTTAAAGCGAAAAGTGAAATACTTATAAAATAATTTAAGATGTTTATTTAAAATTTTGTGACTCGCTTTTCGCAGTTTTGGTTTATGTCTATGTTCAAAAGTTAATAAGCGTAAACAAGCCTCACAATTTATTTTATAACCGTCTTGATTTTTGAACGAAAATTTGATTTAACTGATATGCTAACTTTTGGACAAGGTATAGGTTCTTTTTTGTTATGTCACATTGCCATTCAAAGTTATTAATGGGCTCCAAAAATTCCCATTTCACGGTTAATTATATGCCACAAAATCCTCCACGGGCACTGTTGCAACGTTTACACAAATTAACAAGAGCATAACGAAAAACAAACGTTATGTCACACCGCAGCATGTCGCTAAACTAGTTATGCTAATGCTGCGTAAAATCCACCTTTCATCGAAGAACAATGCGGTTTTATTAGCTCTGATTCTTGCATAAGGAAAGATATAAATGCCAAGAATCAAATATACTCATTCGGTCATGTTTACAAGTGATAAACAAGACCAAATAAATCATCGCTAATTAATTGTCGTAAGGGTTATGCAATCGTACAATAAAAAAGTTTATTATTATTTCGAAAATGCATTGGAAAAATAGGCCACATTATCTAAAGTCGCTGTTGCGGATTTTAAAATAAATGGCTTCTTGATGTATTAATCAACGCAAAAAATAATTCAAATTAAGAACTAAAAAGCGTGATTAATTCCATTATTTGACAATAATTTATATTTATGACAATAATAACTCATAATCTCGTACTACTGAAAATATGTATAAAACCACATATATGTTCAAAACTCAGACCTGAAGGACAAAAATCTCTGAAATAGAAAATTCTTCGAAACAATAAGTATTAATGCACTTTTTCAAACCGAGCCTTACCTGATAACCGACTGCGGTGCGGCTCGTGCCTGTTGATTTCCCATTGGATAAATCGCAATTCCCACGCCACAACGCCCAACACAATACGCAACACCAATATAATAATAAAGAACAATAATACCCCGTACAATAAAATAATTCACCCAATATTACAGTACAAATCACAATCACACTACAACTGATTTCCACCGAGAGCAACACCAGCCACAACAAACGGCGCTAAACGCTATCGATTAGCCAGACAAAGGCCGCTCACTGCACATGCCACCGCATAATATCTGTGTCAAAGATGAAGCAACATCTTGGTTGTGTTTTTTTGCCGGCGTCTCTCGTTTTCTCAACTACCACAGTCAGTAGCAGCTGCTATGATGGAGAGCGCAATAAGCACAACGTGCAACTGATCGCCGCGATGATTAATGCCTCCTTCTCGTACAGCGAACCAGATCGCCACGTACAGGTAAAGCGTATTCACCGGCTGCTGTTATATTATTAAGCCATTAGATCAATTCGCCGGCGATCAACAGCGCAAGTGGACTATCATCAAATCACATCGAACTGATGCAGCTGAGCGGCGCAAATAGAACCGGTGTGCGCTGGACAATGCAAGGTCTCCTCGGCTGTCTTGTGGCTTTTTCCCTTGACATTGTTTGTCCGGTTATATCAGCTGTCCACTTTCTCAGGTAAACACGGTCTTGACTGTATTGTCAAGGAATTTGTCGGCATACGACAAACAAATAATGTAATTTTCACGCTTTACAGTACAAGTGTACAAAACCATGTGTATATGGTTTGAGCGGTGTTATTTATGCTTTCGTGCCGTGCGCAGTAACGCCGTTCTGTTATACCAGGCTTCTCTTACTGGAAGCCATCCGGATTACCATGTTTTCTTATCTTCCGGATTCTTGTATGAAAGTTTAGGGGTTTTTTGTTGGGTTGAAAGTTAGAAACGCATGACAATCGGTCAGAGTGCTGACGCTAGCGTTCGCAATGTACTCTGTATGTGGTGAATGTTACATTTTGGCGTGCACACAACACATACACACACACACTGACGCACACACACTCTAATAACCGGTTCCCCAATCTGTGCACGCGGTTCCTGGAGTCTGCCGCTGCTGCTGGAGTTTTATACGTTGGCTAAAATGGCGGGACATATTGTTGAAATTCTATACACAAGCGCCACGAGCGAGTACATATACATAGCATATCAGACTTGTGGTGTGGGACGTCGTACATCATAATCCAATATTCAAGAATGCCAGTTATCGGCAAATTTTGACAAGCATGCGGGAAACAAAGGTTGACCAGGAGCCTTTAAACCAGAGGCAGACGTTAGGGGCTGGCTGCATGATACTTCTGCCAGTCGCAGAGAGCTTGCGTGTTTGAAAGGGTGTTTAAGAGTTGTACAAATCCCCGTGCGGTTTAAAGGGCAACTTTGCATTTTAACGCAATCACTAATTTTCTTAGGAAAAGGATGGTGATCGGCAGAAGAGGTGAGGTTACCATGTACTACAAATCGAAATGTGACAGAAGTTCGCTATCCAGTAGCAAATCACAGAAACATTATGCCTATACGTGCACAAAAAATAATTTTGGCACCAAACTTTACGCAGTAGCCATGAAAACCCACCCCCATATATCCCTTTAATTTTATCAGATCATTTAGGTTTTTTATGCCTTATCTTGTTTTCTTATGTTTGTTAAATTTTATTGTGCATAGGTTTTCCTGTGTTTTGTAAAGTTTCTTAGTAGGATACATTTAGAATACGTAAAGGATGCTTCACAGATGCGGTGGGATACAGCAATGAATGGAAAAAATTCAAAAAATTGTGAGGATACAGGGGGATACGCAAAAGATACCGTGGGATACGGCGCGATACTGTGGATACCGAAAAAGAAGACATGCCTCGAAAAATTTAACATGTACACAGTCGTACATATCTTTTAGATAGGTTAATAAAAAGCATACTGAGACATAGCACAAATGAAGGTCTGTTATATTACATACATGCGCCTTCATTCCTGCTATGACTGAGAGCAGAATAAGTAAAGGTCTGTGTTATCATGCACTAATACAGTTTCTCTGTATTATCTGTCGAAGTCTATCGCAGGCCTCAATTTTGCCGGTTTTCTGTGCGGTTTTGGATATGATCAAAACCGGCTTGAATATTTATGCTTCTCTAATCAATCTTACAAAGCCCGTGACGCCTTATACGTACATCACCGCTGCAGAAGAATTTGGGTGCATAATTTTAAAGAAGAGTTTACAGATGAGAGGGGCTATGTAAGGGTCAATGAGACCAATGCAGTATCTGGAGAAACCGTCGAATCGGTACTGACTACTGATTGATACGGATGACGAAAGCCCATGTAGCATACGTGAGTTCTAAGATCAACTGCCTGTCACCCTGGCATCTTCGTGGAGATAATTAGAAATCACATATTTGCAAACCGGCAATGAGTTCGTTTACATAACCCTCCCTTTTGAACTGCAAAGGCTAAGTGGCCATTAAACAGTTCAAACCAATACACTTTACTTCTAGTAAGTTTAATAATTTTAGCGACAACAGGATGGCATACAAATGTTACCGTATTTCAAAATTAACAGCAAAACGTTTTTTGCTGCAGAAACCAGTCGGTTGCTCCAGTAAGTTAAAACAGGACGATTAGATTAAAAACTGCAGTACTCGTAGCAGAAAGAACTTTTCCGTGGTCCAAAAATATTATGAACGGTGGCTCAAAGAGGCATATACTTGTACGTTGTACGGAGCCAAAGGTAAATGTTTCGGTGTTATTATTAACATCTTTCTTGTATACGTTGGAAAAAGAATAAGATAAACGCAATTTACGTGTCTTTTCTCGACCACTGCATTATTTGCCAGGCGATCTACCGACCTTTGGAAGAGCACGCAAACCCTATTTTCCGGTAATCTGCGGTAATAACCACTGCGATCACGATCGCTATCTGAGGCATTGCGTTCTTCACCCTGCTAACGTGCAATACAAAAACTAAGTAGCTTATCGTGAATCGTAATCGCGGTTACTGTTTAGCTTGAGCTGGGCGTTCGAGCGCACCCCATGTGTACGTGCGAATGCTGAGGGACGCATAATGTATTTTCACAAAATTAAGAAAGAAACAGTTCCTCATCCACCGTAGTAATAGCCCTCGGGCGGACGGTCACATTCAGGACGGTTCACATATTCGCAACGGTAAATTCTGCAGTTTCATGTACATACTTGCAGCCCAACCTTGCGTTGCAAGATAGAACATAACGGTTTCTCTACCATTAGCTGTTGTTTGCTGAAATTTTTGGCAAATTGTCATACTGTTTAGGATCGACTGGCCGATGCCCAAATGACTTTATAAGTGGTTGCCGCACCTTTGGGAATAGGCAAGCTGGCACCTTTAATTAAATCGATTGACAACAAACAACTGACTCATACAAGTGTTACCCAGTTACTTCTGCACCAAACTTCAAAATAGTGCTAACGCATACCCACCCGTTTGTATAGTGCTCTCGCTGTGGGTATTCTCACCTTTATGAAGCCCACTGTGCAGTTTTACAAAAGTAAGGCTAGGATGTCTCGTGGCGTATAATTAACGATAAAGCGTATTTCATTGATAGTATATAGTGCAAACCCTGGGATTGGCCGAAACGCTGCAGGGTGCAAGTTGTGTGTTGCAACTTGAACTTATATAATCAAGGTAATAGCTTCTGTATACTCATTCTCATAGCCACGGTTACAGAATCTCCTTAGCTTGCATTTGGTTGGAAGATGCATCTCCTTGCTGTAGCGTTAACGACGTGGGCGTTGTTCCTCAGTGCCATAGCTGCTAAAACTTGCGAAGAGCAGAAACAATGTGCCGAGCTGTTTAGCAAGAAAGACGATTATTACGGCCGACTGCTGCAAACAGGAAATGGCTCATTCTGGTCGGTATCCGCGGCGGATCTGCAGCAGTCTAAAAAGTCTGCGGATGAATTTTGCCGGTATGTAACTGCTTGTAAAACTGGTGGTAACAGCGTGCTAGCGCAACTGACCGTGGATTGCTAATGTATCTGTCAGTCGTACTTAGGTACTCACCGTACGATGCATGTTCACTTAATAATAGGTGGAGCAGCGACTCGGGAAACTGTATGCAGTCCCTGTATACCAAATGTCCCTCATTCTACAAAAGCGAGTCAGGTTGGGGGGACGGTTGGTACCTCTGGATTTATCGGCTTGCCATGGGTGGACTGTGCAATACAAAGGTGGGACCGGTGAAATTCTATCGCGCTCATTCTCAGTGTTCTCCATTCGTGGAATTACTAATTCTGCTGTAACCTCCAAGAAATGGGCGAGGTTTTGAGAGACCAGAATAAGTCAGACGCCCAAAAAAACTTCTGCGAGTAAGTGCCGGGCAGTTAACGACGATGTACTGTAAAACTCGCAAACAAATGCACGCATGTAATTCAGAATCACGATAAAGTACTGTTCTTCCCTCCTTCTGCATCAGAAATTTCTTACGCTCTCTCCGCTTTTAAGCCGGTAAACTAATGCGCATACAGCTTGTCATGGCGGAACGCAGTGTACAGTTCTACTAAAGTAAGGCAGGGATCTCTCGTGGCGTAAAATAAGCCACAGAAGCGCATTTCATTGGCAGTACATAGAGCGGAAACTGGGATCAACCGAAATGCTGCAGGGCGCTGACGGTTTATTGCAGCTTGAAGTTACATAATCATGGTGGAAACTGTGTATAATAATTCTCATCGTTACGCTTATAATTACTCTTAAAACCTTTTTACCGGCGTAGCTCTGCGTCAGCGATAAATTACATATTAATTAGCTCACAAACTTCGCAGCTTGTATTTGAGAGAGAAAATGCGCCTCTTTGCTGTAGCGGGAACGGTGTGGGCGTTGTTCGCCAGTGGCACACCTGCTTAAACTAAAACTTGCGAAGAGCAGCAAAAACTCTGTACCGACCTACGTCACAAGGAAGACGATTATTACGGACGACTGCTGCCATCCGGAAATGGCTCACTCTGGCCAATATCCGCGGCGGATCTGCAGCAGTACAAAACGTTTGGTTGCTTTCAGGACCATTCAAGACGGATACAAGCAACTACAAACCGCCAACTGCAAAAAATGATCATGGAACTGGCTACATCAACCGTATTCCATATTTTCCACTCGCTCCCGTTTTTTCCACAAGCGTTACGTAATCAGTCTAAAATGCAGGTAAAAAAATTCATTCGCTGTCCAATTTTCGAAGAGTTTAAATGATGGAGCGAAACAGAATCTCAACAGAATTTTATACTGAGCGTCAGTTTTAAATTGGTGTTTTCCTGCACGCCTGCTTCATCCAGTATTTCTGTTACGGTATTCGTAATGAAATTATAAAACTGCATAAATATAAAATTGTCTGGAACATTGTGCCAAATTTGCATAAGATACCGCGACTTGCAATACTTCTCAATCAGCGCTTTGCTTTTCATCCAACCGCTTATCAGCCATTGTTAGTTTGGTTTGGATTGGAACAGAGCCGCTAAGGTAATGAGTGAACGAACGATCTAGGAACCACGAAGTAAGAAATGGGTGGATGGTTATTATGAAGTCTAATGAAACCGTAAAGGGTAGTGGCAAGCCATAATGTTGAGTCGGTCGATGAAGTGACATCCGGCCTTGGTGTAAGGAACTCTGACCGAACGATCGATACCAATATTCAGCCACTTCTTCGTATGCCAGCGACATCCAAACAAAACAAAATTGAAACTACTTTAGCCCTCGCGATGGTAGTGAGGGACTGCAACTCAGGTTAACACTGTGTACGCCAGTTTGTATGCAGCAGCTTCTCTGATGCCTCCGTAGACCACAGTTCGCATAGTTAGGTGACAGCTTCAGTCTTTGGGTTTCCGTGCGCATCGCAACCAGTTGCGGCAGTCGGCACCGACTTATCTCGGTCGCTTGTTGCTTTCACCGGCCCAGGACTCTGTAGCTTGTATAATCGCCACATATATTTCCGTAGATTAATGGCTGTCAAAACAAAGAAAAGCGGATCCAGGACCGGTTGCAGGCTGTACATGGTCTGCTGGGCCTGGTACAGCGCTGCTCCCAATTGCACAGTAGAGAAACTGCTGAGGAGGGTATAGTAGAAAAAACTCGGTAACCAGCATACCATGGTGCTACAGGTGTACAGTGTCAGCAGTACGAAAGGACGGTAGAAGGCTTCCTTCTTCCCATCGGGCCGTTGTATCACCTGGTTGTTGTCCGTGCGATTTCGTCCCATTACTCGTCGACGTGACCACATCTTCCACAGCAATAACGGATAGGCAGCTGGAATCCCAACAGTCGGCACGTTGAACACCCAGATAGATGTAAATGCAGTCAACGTCAATACGCTGGCGCTGTTTAACCGGCAGCCATTCTCCATAGGGAGGCGATAGTTGAGATGATCGAGCAGCACCTGCGGTAGCATTAATATGTGCACATACGCCACCACACCGCAAGATATTAGGGCAGCGGTAAGGCGACTGTGCCGGGCGCGATAAGATATCGGCCAGAAGAGCGCCCAGACACGATTAATAGTGATCATTAAATGAGAATTGTAAACAAGCGGCGCGAGGACATACAGTGCATACAGGCGTAACGTGCAGCCTGCATAACCGATCCACGATGGTCCGTACACATTTGAAAGAATGATCAATGTGTAGTTGGTTCCCACAAATGCGACATTGCTGCACAATAATGCAATAATGTAAACGTTGAACGGTGTCCGTAGCGATTTATTGGCCACCGTCCAGATTATGGCCAGAGAGTTGAAAATCACGGCCAATGCCCCGGTGGTGGCAAGACTGGCCGAAACAGTACTTTGTGGTGGACTGCCGGTTAATGCCACAGTCGGGGTGATGTTTGTCTTGTTCATGATAAAAGCGGACAGATTTTGAGCATTTAGCATCTTCGGATCCATTACCAAAAAAGTGGAATCGGCCAGTCGGTCCGCCGGTAAAATCTTATAATCCAATTGTTAAACGGTGTGCTACAGCATCTCATCCAGGGAAAATAACGAAGTATCGACTTTTATGTCATAGATTGTGGTTGTAGTGGTTGATCGAGAAGAAAAGAAGAAGATTACTCCAAGGCATACAAATTTCAACCATGGCAAAGGTGTATATCGGTACGCAATATGTACTGAGACAATTGCATAGAACTGGGTACAAGCTTGTCCGGTAATTTCTGACGAGTCAGTACAGCGACTTACACAAATTTGCGTGTTACGCCAAACTTCACACTACGGCGCGCCACGCCACTCTGTTTTAAACACGTAACTTGCATTTGGCTGGTGGCTTGGTACACGCCATATACTTAATTTAGTGAGAACAACAGTAATTGCCTGGCGAAAGGTGGCCAGAAAATGGTCAGTGCACAATCTAACTGCGGAGCGCAGTTAGAGATTTTGAAAAACGTAGTGAAGTGGCCATCGTTATAAGGGCAAACTTCGCGCTAGCTGTACCTTTACGTAGGAAATTACCGGACAAGCTTGTACAATGTGCGGAATATGCACGAAGCTTGACATTTGTCAGAATGCATTGTAACTGGACTTGTAATTGGCGTTGTAATTGAAATTGTCATTTGTCAGAATGCATTGAAATTGTAAACCTAGGTCATTTTCTCCATTAGAAAGGCTATTCGAGTAAAGGTTAACGCTTGTCTTAGTTTACACAAGAACATGTACAATGAAGCCATTTCATTGAATTCAGTACAAGGTAAAACGCTTGTGACACAGGAACCGGAAAAGTTATATGTGGCTCTAGCAATGACTTGTTCCAAGATCGTCAAGTAATTAATTTTATAATTATTTCCTGTTGATTCTACTCACAACCAGTTTCAAAGCGCACTTTTCGTAAAGTAATTAATTTTATAATTACTTCCTGTTGATTCTACTCACAACCGGTTTCAGAGCCCATTTTTGGAAATGAAAGGCACCCTGTGCGTTAATACTGCAGATTTCTTGATAGGTCTGTGAAGTGGGAAACGCTCCCTAATTGGGCTGAGTGCTAAACTAATAAAAAAGATAATTTTTATTTGGCCTTGCGGATGGTACGTGTAAAGCAGACCTGGCACTGGGCAGCGTTATCAGTTACAGTAATTACAAGTAACTTAACGCTAATGATTTTTTAGTTCCAACGTACAAGTAACTCTGAACAGTTAATGACACTGTTGATAATGAGGATGTGTTGTTTTGCTTTTAAGCTTGCTAATCATGAATAATGGCAAAGACCTAATGTGATCAATATCATACTACTATCAGTAACTCTGAAGCGTATGTAGACGCCGCTTTGCCTTGTTGAGTTTCGAAGCTAAACCGTTTGCGGAAATTTTCCGTACCCCATTTTTTTCCGTTTCTTATTGAATCATCCTTTAACAGCCGGAAAACACGCATAAAACGCTTCAAATTGCGATATCGAAGAAGATCCAGCGATTTGATAAACTGGGCAGATATGGTTCCTTTAAGGTACAGCAGATACTACCAAATTTAGCAGTACGGCGCCCTTGACCTTATCAGAGAAGCGAATCTTGCAGAGTAACAGCTATGGTGTATTGTATGTACAGAAATACAGACTGTAGTAGCGCCTTTCCAGCCTTTGCTGTGGCTAAGAAACATGTCTTGCAGCTTTTCGTATTATATACTTAACCATGCCGATTTGCCGTTAAGCATTTCTGATCATAAACCACGAACTTTCTGTACTAGTACAGTATTTCTATAAGACTATATAACTTGGCTTATCGGTTGTGTAATACAGGCATGCATGAATACCGGTGTCTAAGCGGCAAAAAATGGAGATTGTTTTTGCTTTGCCACAGATAACAATATAGGGCAAAAACTGGTACAACTATCTGTAAATCGCCCAGGGCTGTTCGACTTACAGAAGTCCGTTAAGTTAAACACGGCTTCTTGATGTTATTAGTAGCAACGTTGTTGTAAGAAGCTCGCATAAAACGTTTAGCAGTACGACGGCAAGAAAGCACTTTTTCATAGAAACATGGACCACGTAGTAACTGTCGCCGCGCTAGCGCTTTGCGCTTTCCTCGCCGCTCCAGTCGTCGGAGAAACTTGTGAGGAACTCAAGGCACAATGCGACGAGCTGCACCGTGGTGATGACGGCTACACGAATCGCCTGCTGCCTTCTACTGCCGACAGCTCCATGTGGCCGGTATCCGCGGCGGATCTTCAAAAATATCGACCGTTTGGCGACGCTTACTGCCGGTAATCCATACTACCAGTAAAACAAGAAAACACTTTTTTAAACGCTTATTGACTGCATGGTAGCCGGGGCGTGGACCTGGGAAACTGCATGAAGAAACTGTATTCCCGTTGTCTCGAGGAATACGACCGCGAGAAGAGCGTCTACAATGGATGGTACGGACCGGAATGGCAAATTATCACAGGCGGACTGTGCAATACAACCATCGGACCGGTGAAGTTCTTCCGCGCTGTCACACACTGCTCACTGAAAAACAGAAGCAAGTTCTTCTCCTGCTGTTTTCTGAAAGCGCATGCCCCACATGAACAGAATGGAAACGCAGCCGTTGCCCATCAGAATATCTGCGCGTATGTTCAGAGAAAATTTGTCTGAAATCTTTATACAAAACAGGAAGTAGGTTTTGTGGTTATCAATTTATCATTGGTATAATCAGTCATCAAGATCGTAAGTCGTGCAGTGATAAATTCGCTAATGATCGCAAAACGGTAGCCGATATGCGCATGCGGCATACAGCTGCGCGCATAATATGTCCAACGTTTAGTGCAGCTTTGAGTATGATTCAGTTTTGTTTTCCTAAAGGGAACTGAAAGCAACCGTTGAACGCCTCAGTGGTGCGGATGGTGCAGAAATTGGCGGAAAATGCGGTCAAGACGCCGTGGATACACTTAAGGAGGCGCATGAGCAGCTGCAAGCCGGCTACTGCTCCAAATCATAAAATGGGTGTACTTCACAATAATTTAGTTACACTGTGCGCCATCCATGTTTTGACCGATCAGTATAGTTGCTAGTACAGATATATACCATCGCAAGTGGTTGTGGTGCAGGATAACGGATGAGTCGAATGGGTATCACTTGATGGCGTGAAATAAATACACACTATGAAGTATGATTGCGGTAAAGGGTTGGCTATAAAAGATTGTTACTGTAAATTCAGTAGTGACCGGTTGTCTAATGTCCACAGGCGTAACTTTTTGTATATCCATTCTGCGATAACGATAAGTAGTGTTGCCGTTCGTTACGAAAACCTTTTTCGTATACGATTTCGTATAATTTTCGTTATCGTAACGAAAACTAATAGTCTGGTACTTTTCGTTTTTGTTACGAAAACGAAAAGTGCAGATTTACGAAAGTTAATACTTTTTATTCGAGCACTTTTTGATGGAGGAATGTTACAAATTATCTGTGCTCATATGAAATACAGTACAAGTACTGTTGAAGTACAAGACGTAATGGAAATTATAATTACATCTAGCTGCGTGCTGATAAAATTAATATTATAACACTAGAAGTACTTTCAAATCAAAGGCTAAAGGATCAGTGGCGATCAGGTAAAAATTTAAAAATACCGAATCACTTTAAAAAGCAGCCTGAAAATGTTTTAATATATTGCCTCTTAATTTTCGTACTCAGTGGAGAAACCTTTATAAAGAAATGAAATTATTGCTGTTAATTATGTAGTAAAAACGAAGCTCTGATTCAGGTATGTTAACTTGATGTTAACTTTTATTATCAAACATGAAAGTACTTTACATTTTGTTCTGCCGGCTTAAGGTTATACTATAGTTTGCGGTAGCAAGTTAGACTTCTTCAAAACATTTAAGCGTATGCAGTAATTGCAGTTTAACATAAATTTAAAAAATTAAGTAGGCAATAACTTACACGAAATAAAAGATAACAGCTAAGAAAGTTAACAGCGCTGAGCCCTGTAATAGTAGGAGTTAAAAATTAATACGCATTTCCAATGAAAAACTGAAACATAATATATGGTAAATTTAATCGTAAACTACTCGTATTAAACAGATCCAATACGCTGTGTAAATCATTCTTAAAAGAAGCGGAGCGATTCAAAGCACACCGCATATTTACAAATTATCGGTGACAAGTACAACCCCTTGAGCCAACGCACTGATAGTCATTGTGCATTTCATAATTTTAATTACCGTTATTAAATTGATAAAATTAATTGTTTTCAACTTTCATTAAGTTATTTATTATAAAACGTAGGTATACGAAAAGCTACGAAAACATTTTCGTTCGTTACGAAAACGAAAAGTCTCTGAATTTTAGTTATCCTTACGAAAACTAAAATTCAGACAGTTTTCGTTATCGTAACGAAAACGAAAACTCTCGGCCTTTTCGTTTTCGTTACGATAACGAAAGTCACGATGATTTCGTATGCGTTACGATAACGAATACGAAAATGAGAAAACATTTCCGTTTGGCAACACTAGCGATAAGACCAAGGCCTCCAGCGGCGCCTTTATTGCCATTTCGTGGAAGCGAGAATTTTCAATAAGTGCAAGAACTCCTTTTTGTACACAATTATCATGAAATGTGCAAAGTACGTCCTGTACAGTATTTATATTAACAGCACTGGTCAATATGGCGTTAACCATATGATCAGTAATATTTTTCAATTTTATTAATTTTAAGCTAACAATATTTTCGAGGAAGTCAGGATGATATACAGTAGTTAACGGATTAGATCAGCATTTGAAAACTACTCCAAGCATACCTTAATGTTTCACACGTGAAAACCGGTGCGCAGACAATTAAAATGCAACAGCTTCGTGGTGGTGCAGTCTTTTACCGGTACTGTTACGGCATAAATGTTTTGCTGGCAATAATGAGAGCTGGTATATTTGACGTTTGTAGACGTTTGTTCTTGCGAAGCGCAGAAAATGTCTTATGACTACCTAGAGAAAAATTGGCAAGTGGATTAACGGAATGTAGTCAACGGATACGGCGGTCTGTGCTCGGTTCTCGTACATTTATGCATGGAATTTCCAGTTTTCTTCTTTTCTGTACCGAAGCTACTATCAGTCAGTTTGCAGTGCGCTGTGTACACTTGCTGGAACGCTTCCTTAATGGTTTCCATTGAGTCTTGTCCACATTTTCCAATCATTTCACTCCCTTGGATTCCGTTAATACCTTCCTCGATTGCCTTGAACCGCCTAAACGAAATATCGGGACCTATACATTCGCCGAGTACTCTCAGTACAGGGTCATGCGATTACGATGTAATTAAAAATCCATTACACAATAAACGTAGTAACCCGATGCTGTCTGTTAACCGATGCCCAGTAAAATGGACCTACCTACCCGCAGATATTCTGGCGAGCTACGGTAGCATTCCCATTTGTATCGTGCTCAGCAGACGGTCGGATGAAACAGCAGTCCATGAATGGCCCGCGGCTGCGCTTAAAACATTTCTTAACAGCACGAAAGAATTTCACCACCGAGATTGTGGTATCGCACAACTTGGCCATAGCTATGCGCAGCTCGGAAAAATACCATCCGTCGTAAAGTTTCTTCCGGTTATTATAAGCGTCGGGGCATCGATTGTACAGATTGCTGACGCAGTGCCCACTATCGTTGGACCACCTGTCAATGGTCTGTGTCAGTGTCACCAGTAAAAAAGCATTCGGGTTTTTCCTTACAAAACCTCACCGGCAATATGCGTCGCCTAACGGGCGGTAGTCCCGAAGATCCTGCGTGGTTATATTGGGCCATGATTAGTTGGGTTCCCGAGCCAAAATGCGATTTGCGACGATATCTGCTTGGTTGTATAAAGCCTCGCATTGCTGGTCCAGTTCAGCCCAGGCCTCGCCGGCATCAACGTAGCTCCACAGTCTGCACGAAATTACCAGAAAAATCGCTACAAGCCGGCATTCCATGCTGTACAGTTTTCGCGTTGCTCGTTGCTAATTCTGAAAAGCAAAATATTGAGCTGCGTTCGGTATGTGCTTTTTACTTTTGTCTTTTGCAGTATGCTTCAGCGCAAACCATGATGCTACAGATATAAGGTTATTTTAACGATATACTGCCGGCCGGAGATGCTTAATGATAAGATTTTACCGACACGAACCCCGGGCTTGAGACCGTATCAAAATACTATATACTATTATCAGTTAGTTTTTATTTCTCAATATGTACAAGGCGAGCTTCGCTCAACAAATATAATCAAATGAAGAATTTGTCCCAATTAACGTGGGAAGGGACTGTGCACAAGACACTCATAGCATTACCCCGCATAATCTCCAAACTTAAACGTTGAAACAAAAAACAGGTAGAGCGGCTCTCGCCCGTCCTTAAAAATAACTTCTTACCAATCTCCTTTAACGTAACAATGCCGGTCTCACACCAGGTGCCAAAAGTCTCACATGCAAAAGGGACAAAATTACAGCGATCAGTAAGCGACTTGTATTTTCCAATCTTCTCCCGGCAAGCCAGTTCGGCGGCGGCGCCAGCACACTTTGAGGTCGCGTCGATGTATGAATCCGCCATCGTGTCTCTACAAGTGACGTCCCATACTAACGGCTGTCCGCGATATCACTTCCAACGCGTGGCTCCATCCGGGCGCTTTCCGTTTTCACGCAAAAAGCCAATAGGCTCCGGATATGACTCAATGCCGGCATTACATAGCGCTCGCAATATGATATCGTTAATACCGTTATGCCGTTCCCTTCTCCCGATGCACTTCTTGCACGCTAGCCCATGGTATCCGTTTTCCGCAACCTCTTTACCACATCTGGCACACGAGTGCTGCTCTACGATCTTAGCGCCAAGCCACAGGCCAACAGAAATGCGGAAAGACTGATCATCCAGGAAGTTTCCGAATACTTTCGCGGGAAGGGCGTTCAGCCAGGCCCCGGCGTATTTCGTGCTGATTGCTCTAAGGCGAGCTTCGACTCTTTTATCGTCTCCGACATTATTCCACAAGGTGTCAACATCCTTTTGTAAGACCGCGTTATCCCAAACGCATTGGTGAACACGAGCCAGATCCAACGGTAACTCTTCACATGCGGACTCCAGCTTCCAATTTTCACACGCATCGCTGACCAACTGTTCGCTGTTGCCGTTGAAGATCTGGGATGATAACTGACGAGTTGCAAACATGGAAGCCAAAAAGGCCGAAGGAGCCAATGCTTTTGCTCGTCGCACACCCAAACCTCCTTTGGCAACAGGAAGCGTTGCCTGCGTGTATACAAGGCCGTTCAATTTGGTGTTGGTGATTTCTTCTAGGGCATCTTTGACGTGCAAGTCGAACTCATCTAGCAGCTCCGGCACTTTCCAACAAGGGCTGCATCGCAACGTGTACATGAGCTTCGGGATGGACAGGCAGTTCTTATTATTATATGTTTCATGAAACATACTATTATTATATGTTTCATGATACACTATATACGAGTATGAGTAAGTATTGTTTTTGAGAACGGGCGAGAGTCGCTCGACTTGTTTCTTGTTTCAACGTTTAAGTTTGGAGATTATGCGCGGTAATGCTATGAGTGTGTTGTGCACAGTCCCTTCTCACGTTAATTGGGACAAATTCTTCATTTGATTTTAACTGCTGAGCGAAGCTCACTTTGTACATATTGAGAAATAAATTCAGTAAATATGAGTACGAGTCATAATACCTGTATATAACAAGTTAGGGTCGTGGCGAAAACGTTACTAGGGTTGCGTATACAGAGAACTACCTGCATGCACGTACAAGTACAGTGATATGAAAAAATTTAATGGAAAACATGGAAAAATTTAGAGAAAACGAAAAGCAAGCTGAACGATGAACGATATTAATTTTGATTATCATAGTGCAACAGCGATCACAACGTGATCATTATCGTCTACACTTGAATGCGACAGATTGTCTGATAAACGGTTTTGGTGTACCGTTTGAGTGCTACAAACACGAGGCGGAAAATTCTGCAGCAGGGCTGCATTGTCGCGAGGCATCGCAGACCGCGTGGTAAATCTTTTGCGACGCATTCTATGTGATTTCACTTGGGCATCAGAAAGCGCTGCTTTGTAAAGAAATATCATAATTATCGTAAAATATCCCATCGTCGCCATGGTTTACTACAAGGTTGCAATTATTATTGGCGTACTCCTTTTCCTTTCCGGCATTGTCGCTCCCGAGCATTCTGACCAACCGTGCCAGAAAATTGATGACAAGTATTTTTGCATTTGCAATTCAACAGTGCGGCTTTCTTTTCCCGGCACGTTAGACCTGGATTTGATTCCCGATAACGTGCGAGCATTGGCACTTGATTCCGCTCACCGGACAGAACTCCGCACTAGCCCACTGTACCGCTCCACTTATTGCAACGTTTTACGAAACGATCACCAGAGTATTCCAGTTCGAAGCAATTTAACGAAAGTGATTCTGAGAGGATTTACTGGACAAGGCCAGCGTCCTCCATTCCGAAAATTCTTGCAAAATATTCAGGATAACATCGAACAAATATACATTAATTACTGCAGAATTGGTTATTTGGAGGCCGGCTTGTTTGGCACTCATAGAAAATTGAACATACTGGATTTGTCGAATAACGATATCTACGATATATCAGCTGACGCTTTCCGGCATCTGGAACTGACCGGTTCAGGTGGCTGGCTGGGTCTGAATGGAAACGCGTTACAAGAGCTTGATTTGCGTGTGTTTCAACCGCTTGCATCTTGGGTGGTAAGGACATATCATACAATAATTTCAGTGATTCTCAATAAAAATTTTAAGATGGCTCAAACGAGAGCACCTCAGTCTAGCTGCGAAATGTGAAATGCTGAGTTTAATGTCTGAAATACTGAACGTTTTCATTCCAAATTTGCAATTATAATCCATATATGAACTCGGACTTCCGGACCGGTATATTTCTATAAGTAAAGTAAGTTAAATGTATAGCACTGTGCTTACGAAAAGTACGTATGTGAAAATGTAAATCTATGTACAGATATACAACTTGAACTATGTACTATAATTATACTCCAACGTTTTCAGAGTCGTATTCGTCTTGAATACCAGTTGCCCAAAATGCGCAAACTTTATGCCAGCGGTGACCACTTTGAGTTTACCGTTTTGAAAAACTTGTCGTTGAATGGCAACGATCTAACCGGGATGCCATTAGAAATTTTGCAGTCCATGCCGAAACTACAGGAACTGCACCTGTTGGGAAATATGCTGTGCGATGTCGACGATTGCTCATGCTGTGAAATGGAACCGTTTCGGCAGTTCCTCGCCAACAAATCATCAGATGAACTTATGGGTGTTACATTTCAGTGCGGTTCCATGGCTTATAATAATCACGAACTATACGGTTTTGTACGGCTTCCATCGTCGCGTCCTTCCTGTAAGCAACCAAATAAATTCCTCTCCTAAAAACTATTAAAACGAGTAATTTTCGAACATTCCCTTAACGATTTTTTCAACGTTGTTCTAACAAAATTGTGTGAGTTAAGAATTAGCATTTTTAAGGTCCAAAATGCGTGTATCCGGATCCATTGACTATACAGTGCCAAAATGGAATCATTTCTGTGCCAGACTCCAATGTAGAACACACTAACGCTCTGCTCATTCGTTTCTCCAGCGACAAGACGCTGGACTGCGCAGACATCGTCTATGACCTTTACCACACCATACAATCACTGGGGAACGTGTCGCAGCCCGAACCGAGCTCATCAGAGGCAGCACTGTATTGTCGTGACAACAGAATTTCCGTGTGGAGACCGAATCCCAACGTGGTCAATCCGCTAAAGGTCACTGTTGACACGGATCTCAGTCCGCACTGCCGCAATATTCGTGCCAAGTTTCTGAAATTTTTACGAAAAGAGATTCAGGATAAAGGACACCAAAACACTACACTTTCGTTGGTTCCGGTTACGCTTTCTGTGGAAACCTGGATTGCGAGTCATTTGGTGTGTCCGCTTGGAGCTCCGTTATTTATTAACTGCACCGAAGGAAGAATGACCTTTTCTGTAAAACCACTGAACACCACGAAATCCACGGTTCTACATGTTCGCGGTGATGAATCTGTTTATTGCCGAGAATCCATTACTAATGTCAGCCAATACTTGCTAAATGACGAAGGAACAACGGTGGAAGACGACGCAGTGTACAGCCAGTCACAGGACGGCGTAGTGGCTGTTTGTCAGCATGGTCGCATTGTTCTGTCGGAATCGGGCGTGCAAAACTGGACTAAAATGCATTTGACGTACTATTCAGCGCCCAACGATCCTTGTCAACAGAAGTACCGAGCATTCCTCAATTACATCCAAGCGAGGCAGCAAACTCTAGCGTAGGATTCTGGAGCCTGACGAAAATTCGCATTAGACCACACCCAATTCGCACCCATAGTTCCTTTTCTGAATTTTAGGTATATTTGTACGTTGCAAATGCAGTGCTTGAAACAAGTATTTTTACATCGGGATGCCGAATGGTTTTGCATTCTTTAATTAACAATTTGCAACATTAAAGATATTTGTTTGACATTCCAGACTTTCGTGACACGTTAATTCGCGGTAAGTGTTCCGTTTAAGTACTACTGAAGTATTGAAAATTTTATGCGATTCTGTTTTACACATGAAAATGGTGCCAGGTTGCAACGTTTCAGTACTGAAGAATACAGAAAGCGCATTTTAATCTGACAACATTTTTCTCGAGCAGTGTATTACCTGTACGGCTACCGATGTGACAGTACCTGCAAACCTAGTTCGAAATATACAGGCTTAGAATATACTAAGGGTACTCAAACATCCTTTACGAACGGCTCTTTAAGTTATAGATGCGCTTTCCCTTTAACTCCGTTTAGCCAATCATATTTCTCTAAATCGGTGAATGATAAAATAGCTTTGAATGGGTGGTTACGCATAGCTCTTTGCAGAAGGACAGAAAGTCTAAAACAATTGAAAACAAATTTCAGTAGTCCGCAAAAGATATTTGCACAGTATGTATATGCAGGATCCGGTTCAGTTTGCGCTAACCGTTTCTAACTGAGCAGCCCTATACCGAAAAGTAACGATTTCGGTGCTTTAAGTGTAAAGGATGTTAAGTTAAAGAGAAGGAAATTATAGAGGCTGTCAGCCAATGGCTATGCAGAGACGGATCCAAAAGTTATAGGATTTGGCCCTTTAAATTATAGAGCACCAGTAAAGGATGTTTGAGTACCCTTACTGTAACTCGACATAAAGATAGACAGGCAAACAGCATCCACGTTAGCACGTAAGTACTACCAATTTCAGACTCTAATGCCTTTCGGCGTTTAATTAACGAAGAAAGCGCGCTTAATCCGGAATGTCGGGCTTTTTGAAAACTGGGACCCGCAAAAACGCTGCAGGCGCTTTATTGCTAACTCGAGCTGATTGTTATTATTAGCATGGCAAGAACTGTGGTAAAAGTTATATTTCTACGGTTATAATTGTTTCAACGTCTTTGTCAAACTGAGTATACGCTATTTTAACTGTAGGTCCACAGCTTTTGGTTGAGCGAAAAAAATGGAGCTCGTTGTCCTGGCTCTAACTGCTTGGGCCTTTGCCATTGGCTTAGCTGCTAAAACTTGTGAAGAGCAGAAAACACAGTGTGACAATCTAGGCAAAGATGAAGACGCATATCATCAGCACCTGCTGCCACAGAAGATGAGCATTCCCCTTTGGCCGGTTTCCGAAGCGGATGTGCAGCAATACCGAAGTGCTGCTGACCTATACTGCCGGTATGTTACACTCATACGTAAGTCACTGGTTTTATTTTGTTGTGCCACTGAACCGGTTTTGTAATTTCTCTCACCACCCGACTAGTGTAAGACGCTGCTACCGGATATGGTGTGGTACATACTACATTAGTTACCACGGCTAGTCAAAGCGTTATACTCCAACCCGATTAATAATTTTAGCTGCGCAGTTATTCCCCTTCTGGTATTCTCCTAACCAGTAATAATTATGCGACACATTAACAATGCAATGCATCTTGACAACTGAATGCCTTAATTACAGGTGGAGCACCGACTTAGGTAACTGTAGGAAATCCCTGTATAAGAGTTGCCCTGCTTTGCACAAGAACGATAAACCTTCTACGGGTGGATGGTACAGTGCTGGGTACGCTGTTGCCATGGGTGGACTGTGCAATACAACGGTGGGCCCGGTAAAATTCTTCCGTGCTCTCAATCACTGTGCCGGAAAAGATAGAAGCAATTTCTACGCCTGCTGCAATCTGGATTCCTTTGCCGATGAAGGGAAGAACGAAATTGGATCCGTTGCGCATCAGAATTTCTGCGAGTAAGTTGGAGACAGCTAACGCCCATGTCAGATGTAAAACCAGGTAATCCAGGTAGTCATTATGAGTGGGTATTTTAATTGCCACTACTCTGTACATTGTACACTTCCGGCTGTGTCACATTTATTAAGCCGAAGGAAGCGGATGCAGTGCAAGGCAGTTTTACCGTCGCTTATCGCATAATGTAGAACTATATACTGTATTTCAGACTTACTTCTAATTTTTATTTGGCAAAAGCCACCGACATAACAAAAGAAACCCTTCGCGGTCGCACTAATAAAAATGAAAAAAATGATTTATTTATTGTTTACTGTTTTTCTGTATGGAGTCCGGTATACTTTCATGAAAATCTTTCGCTATTTTCTAGCAAATTAAAGGCGACTGTGAACCGCTTTGACAATCACGCAGCCCGGGTTGTAGCTGGAAGATGCGGACAAGACCCTATAAATACGCTCAAGGACGGATATAGGCAGCTGGACACCAAATACTGCAAGAAATGTTCCTGACATCGGCTTCACCAATAATACTCGATTTGTTTTAATTTTATTTCGTGATTAGCTTAGTATTCTCGAAAGAAATCTGGTGCTGAATTCCGATGAACTCCAAGTGATGTGAAAAATAACTATAAAATCTAGCAAATTTTTCTCATGATGACAACAAGCCGGTTTTACTGGCGTTTTGAACTGTTTTGCTGAGCGAATATCTGTATGTCGAGGTAAAAAACCTACGGTATTTTATTAGCGAACGAAGCGAGCTCAAGTTTTTAATATCGTACTATAATAAATAAAATATCATAATAATATAATTCTGATAATATTATGATTATATTATGATAATATTAAAGCGGGAGATCGCTTCGTTTGCTCGCTTGATTACTTGATTCAATTGATTGAACGTAGCGTTATAAAGTTCATCTCGTTCTGGCACCTCGTTATTGTTGGTTCAATCGGGTAAAACAAAAATCGAGATCTGTATATAATCGACAGACTTCCGAGGCCCTGCTCTCGCAGCTAGACTGGCGGAAGAAGGGCCGGCGCTGAAACTTGGATTATTATTCGGGTTACTTAAATCTGGATTTGGATTCCTTAAACTTGGATGGCTCCCAGCCGCTTTCACTTCGGCCGCGTTCATGTCGGCCAACGTTTTTCGGCCGCCATTCATTTCGGGCGCCATTCACTTCGGCCGTCATTTAGTTCGGCCGCCGATCACTTCGGCCACAGTACATTTCGGCCGACGCTCATTTTGGTTTGATTTACAAGAAAACGTTACGTAACGTTCGATATAAATTTGTAGAAAACTTAAAACCGTTGAATCAAAAAAGTGATAGCAAATGGCCGCGTTCATATCATTTTGCCCGAACAGTTTGCTTGAGCAGTTCTTGAAGTGTTACTGTCACCATCATGTCTCCCTTTCGATGACCCGAAGTCACGAAGCATACCTGAAGAGTGGTGAAACTCTAACCGCAAGACACCAAGAAAACATAAAAAATAAAAAAATCTTCATATTAACATAAATCACCTTATGATAACCTAAGAATACGTATGAAAACATAGTAAAACCTAAGAAAACCGAAGAAACCATAACAAATTTGAGAAAACCTAAGAAAACCTTAAAGGAAACTTCAGAAATCTCAGAAACCTAATTAACAAACCTAAGAAACCCTGAAACCCAGGAATGCTAAGAAATCTAAGAAGCCTAAGAAACCTAAGAAGCCTAAGAAGCCTAAGAAACCTAAAAACCTTATAAACGTAAAAACCTAAGAAACCGAAGAAACCATAATAAACCTAAAAATCCTAGAAAACCTAGAAAACGTAGGAAAAACAATGGCCGAAACTTCCAGTTGCCGAAATGAGCGTTGGCCGAATTGAGTGTTGGCCGAAGTGAGCAACAGCCAAAATGAACGTTGGCCGAAATGAACCTGTGCGACCGAAATGTAACGCGGCCGAAGTGATCAGACGCGAACTTGGATTACCTCTTCTTATGCTTCTTGTTTTTTTTCTCATGTTTTCTCAGCCGGTAATAAAATCATTGCAGTAGTGTGGTATTTTTTCCTTAGTTTCAGTGTGAATTCCGTGCTCGTCAGCTATGGAAACGTAAAATTCTGATCAGCCGCTTAAATCACTGAAACTCCGATTCGAAATTTCAGAAGCAGACAGCAAGCATGACGAACTGGCGTGTGCCGCATGGCCCAATATAAGAACTACAGGAAAGCTCGTATAATTATTGTTTATTCAACTTTATGGTGCTTGCCATACGCTGTTCTTGGCCAAACCGGCATATATTACTGTTTATATCCATCCGCGTTGAAATGGGCTCCTGGAAAGGTATTTAACCGGCCGCGTAATTGTACTTTTTTTCTGAACAGGAAACATGATAATCAGGTCAAAATGGTCATTCTGTATTCTCAGAAATTCAAAGGGGATTTTAACACTCGCTGAGGAGGTGTGTCGCGTTTATAACGAACAGCATAACTGGAAACTGACTAAACGCTAACCGAAATAGCCGTTAAAGCCGTTTGCGCAACTGGTCTGGTCCGACGTTGAGGCAATTTTGCAGTCCATTGTAAAATTCACTTCGATTACAGTAGTTAAGCAGTACCTTGTGAAATGTAAGCAAGTTGCTGCCATAATTTTCTGCTGAAGGAGGATGCTGGAGCGTTGATCTGACCTTTTTGCTAAGACGTTAATTTAGCAGGTAGTGCTGCCTTGCTATTTATTAAAGCTCCTTTCCATCCATAGCTAATTTTGCTTTCTCATTTCGATTAGCCGGGATTATTCCTAGTGAATTAACGAAATGGGGAGCCGTAGCGGTGCAGCAGAAGCTGACTCTCGTTCTTTTGCCGCGGGAGATGTTATCATGTCGTATGATCCTTTCGTGTGGACCCTGGAATCCAGCGCCTACAAAACCCAATGTGCCTACTGTCTGCGCAAGAAGGAATCTCTGCAGATCTGTGCCGGATGTCGTCTGCATCGCTACTGCAATGTCACTTGCCAGGTAAAGATACATGATCGCGCGAAATGTGGGCAGCGGCTTAAGATCAACGAAAATTCTTTGTGAGTCGTTCTGCTTTTTGAACTTTTTTCTATTTCTCTGGTGTGCCGGTAATTTTAGTACACATTCAGCAATATCGCCAGTAAAATCTTTTAATGGTTCAGGTTACAAAGCGCCGAGTCGTATAGCGGGCACTTTTTTTTATGTAGAAAACTGTTTCTCTTAGGGTAGTAATTTTACCAGCTGATTTTTTGCGTAGGCTTTTTAAAAATTCATATGCGCGCCAGAGTGTACTGGCTATTAGTTAACAAAATTACGTACAGCATCGTGCGCGATTGAAAAGTTCGAAAAAAACGGTGCCTCTCAATTTTATCGAACTTGAGCAGCCAAGGTTGTTATTTCTTTTTTTAAAGAATTAAAGGACAAAGAATTTGTAGCAGTATTAATATTTGTATTATTACTGCATTGCTTGGACGGTTATGTCACTTGTGCAATGCGACTTCTATTGCCTTGTTAGACGGCCGATTGGAAAATGGAGCACAAAGTGGAGTGCGCGATGCTAGCGAAGATGGATGCAAAAATGAAGGCGGAGATAGTGAGTGTGGTGACGCGCTGCGGGATTGCCTGCAGCAAGCAACCTCCGGTGGAGTTAATTCTAAAGATGGCCAATAAAGTCCGGGTAAGTTCCGTTTAGTTTATATTTGTCTGCTGATTCCGACACGGTGACACCAAGTCTACCGAATTACGCAAATTATGAGGACATTGTTGCAGCCACTCGTAATTCAGAAAACTAATAACCCGTAGCAACATAATGAACATATGCTAAACAGTAAACAAACGGTGACGTAATGTCCAATTAAGTTGTTATGTGCCTGAAATAAATAAATAAATACCTTAAGTAATTTGACAGAGTTAAATTAGCGTAAATCTTCACGTGATCGTGTTTACTATGAGGAATGCTTACCTTCCATGTGGGATCAAAAAGTGAATACTGGTTAGCCGGTCCGCAGTTAAGAAATGCACTGATAAAACAATAATCAATGCGTATAAATCGCACAGAGAAGCGCTTGTTGTTCTGTATGCATTAAAGCGAAGCATTCACGTGTTTAGTCCTCCATTGAAAATAATGTAGTATGTATGCACCATGAACCTATTGTAAGTAGTGGTAGCTCATGGACTTTATTACTGTTTTACAATTTTTACGCATACATGACAACAGAACCGTTAGAATAAGAATCTGTTTGAAATGTCATCCAGCTGAACACCATGGTCAATATCCCCGGTCGGGGACGACGTCCGGCTCAGGAGCTGGTGGATACGCTGCCGCAGGATGCGGTACTACAGGATCCCCGCCTAGAGAAAAGCCTAAAGAGGTTCGTGCTTTGTATGGCACTCGTGGGTTTTGATTGCGCTCATTCTAGCCGTCGTCTTGTTTTCTGGCAGATTGCCGACTGTGGAGCCGCAATCGGGGGTCGCCGTGGCAGCTCTCGTTACGTATCTCGCCGTTGTGGGGCGAAACACGCAGGTCTTGTACAGTACGGCCGACAGCAGACCCGTTAATGTTGGCTATGCCGTGTACCCGGTGACACCGCATTGCCACATGACGGCGGTGTGCTGGGATATCAATGTGGTACTTTGCTCCCGGAAACGCAGTGCGTTCGTGCTTGCCACGGATGATATTCCGGTGTATACCGGATGGAAGGATGTAGGTTGGGCCTATAATTTACGCATGCTACGGTCGTGCTGAGAATTCAGTTCAAGGAAATAAAAATTAATTGTGGCTATTGTCAGGATATATAAATTCAAAAAATGTCAAGTTAACTTACAGTCCGTAAAAGAGTGTGCTTATGCTACTTTGTCAGGAAGCTACTTATTAGAAAAGTTATCTGCTGCATCCTAAAATTTAATACGTACGTATTGTTGAGTGCATTTTCGGCACGTGCATGGATATCCGTTCTGATTCTCGAATTCCGTGCGGCGCATAGTTCGTGTGAAGAAGTGCGGTTCTTCAATGTCATTGTACCGCAGCTGCAAAAACAACCCCATCAGCTTGTATCACGGTTGGTCGAACTCTATGAGTTGAAACGTTCCCGTACATCCTTCAGCCCGGTGAAATTGGGAATGTCCTCCACGGCATGGATAAACAAGCGTCGCCCGCGGAAACTCTTCACCACATTCATATCCCAGCACACCGGCGTCATGAGCCGAGGGCTGACAAGGGGATACACCGCCAGACCAAGCGGCGCCAGACTCTTCAGCGGCACGATCGTCACCATATTGTACATCATCTTGGAAGTATTCGTCAGCATATCGGGCAGGTCCATGCCCAACTTCAGTTTCATAACGTCCATTCTGCAATAAAGAGATTTCTCAATCAAATAAACCACTACATTCCGTATTTAATCGAATACATTCCGTATTTAATACAAATACATTCCGTATTTAATCGAAATAAGAAGAGTAATACGAGTTGACTCACATTCGCTGATATATGTTGTTTAGGAGCATTGGTTTGGGGTTGAACGGCAGCATGTCCCACAGTTCTTTCGCGGATTTCGGACCCAGTCCGGGCACATCAGTCACAGCGTTAAGCTGAAACGAAACGGATGATCATGGGAGAAACGGGAGTCAGAGAAGTTATTATTTTGAGGCAGTCTTTGAGGCCCAAAAATCCTTGGCTGTTTTCAGACCCGTCTTTAACGAGGGAAGGGGATAGCGCAAATGCGCCTCTCGCCTTTTTTTGAAAAAATTGTTAAAATTCCATATAAAATTTAAAAAATGGGGGACTGGCACCACGGGCGCAATACTTCTCCCTCGGGGAGAAATTGTGCGTCTTCCCCCATTTTTAAAAGCTTAAGGCTGTTTTGCAAAAATAATTCATGGGGTAAAAATGTAAAATACAAATAATACTACTCTTGATAATATAAAAAGACACATTTTACAAAGTCATCTTTTTATGTCTTACAGCGATCTGCTTCCAAAACAAGCATTTTCGTTAATATCAGTATTCAATACCAAAAGGTTTAGATTATTGTCGATGCTAAAATTTTTTGACAGGTCTTCATTCCATACCGACGGATTGTGTCAGCACAAACATTTATCTCCACAGGAATTTAAGGAAATTGCCAGGAATTACCGCTACTACCGTAGAGAGACGATGTACATATACCTTAATCTTGTTGGCAAACTTCGCAATAAGGTCCGCGGGTAGGTCCAAACAATATTTCATGGTGCAACTCGAAGAACTTTGCGGCACCGTCAAGTTGCAGCCCGTCCCGACCTTCTTCAGTAGAGCGCATTCAGTTTTATGCTCCGCTTTCCAGTCAGCAGCCTACACAAGAACACAGTACCAGTAAACTGTATAATTATTTGCCATCTTTCTTCCATTTCGTCATATTGCCAGGGCAGCATTATTAAATTCGTCATTCAAAATTTTAACCAGTGAATTACACATATTTGTAAATTATTTGTCTGCATGCATAACATTGCTAACAGACTCGCAGACTGGAATCAGCAGGGTACCTGACAGGCAGCACTGCAGTAGCGGTGCAGTTTGCATCCCGAGCAAATTCGTAGTTCCTGGCCATCGCGCATGCAGTAGGCGCAATGGGTTTTATAAGCGCTGCTTTCCATTACCCACACGAATGGGTCGCAGCTCATCACGACATCCCCAACCGCAAACGATCGCCCCCCGGGAGCATCCTGTGCAGCCTCCATGGTCTCCGTTACAGAAGTGAGAACTTGTATCGTAGCAATGACACAATCAGGCGATAAATATTTAAAGATCTGCTAAAAATTTTATATAAATAGCAGTTCAGTGCTTACGGTTCGCTGATTTCCACGTTGAAAAATTTCCTAGCTTACAGTGTTAGACATCACAACTGACGATATGGTTTTAAACTTATCGAACTTTTTGTGTTCCGCACCCCGGCCTGCACTGACGGGCAGCTGTGCACACAGCTGGCCGTCAGTGTGAGTCAGCCACTGAATCTACTGAGCCCTTCCTCTCTGGGCTCTCATAAAATTTGTTACTCAGTGACTCACGCTTTTGCCGTCAGATTGCGGAATCCCTTTCAAGCCTTTTAAACAGCAGTTGTATTGTTGTCAAAAGAATCGATTGACGAAATCGTTTTAAATTGTGTGATTCGAAAAAATGGATATCCACACAGCAGCTATCCCTTACTCATTCAAAGAATCCAATAGCTGCACGTAAGTCGTAATCCAAATTCCAATCCAATTGCTACACTTTCAAATCAGAATGTATCTACTGAATTTTTTCTCCTAGCGAGAAGTTAGCTAGATGATACTCGTATCTGTACAATGAATGTCAACTGAATCAGAGTGACGAAGGTCGCTTTGTGGCTCGAATGGCTTGAAATTATGGAAATATCGTCTGGAGGAGCTGCGCCGTCCTCAAAGCTTTCTTTTCCATGCCCGATTTGTGGTTTTCTCTGCTCGACCAAAAGCGCCTTCACCAACCACAAGGGGAGCAACAAGTGTAAGGAGAATGTGCTCCGGCGACAGCGTGGACTGGACCCGTCAGCCAGCAAAGGAGTACAAGACAGCGTCTCCAGTTCCAGCCTCCTAAACCGGGTAAAGTTTCTTAAAGCCAACTGTAGACTTATAAAACGAATCCCTAAAGGCGCCCGCAGAGCAGTAGCCGCAGCATTCAAGCGCGTAGTGTCCCGCTGTGTTACAGAAAACTCAGTGGAATCTTGGGAGGCTCTGCTTGTTTTTCCGTATTTCGTTTTTCGTTTACCTGGTAAAACCAAGAGCGATTGTACTCAGTCATTAGCTACGCTGATTAAATGTAACATTGTTAATTTTGAGTCAGGAATCAGAGACGTTCCCGTTAGTCCTCCGCGAACATTCAGGCCACTTGATGTACAGAAATTTGTGTAAGGAAAAATCCAAAATGGCGACGTCTCAGGAGCGGTGCGCATTCTTTGTTCCGAAGACGCTCTTGCTCCCCGCACAGAAGCTACTTTCACTGAACTGCAGAACAAACATCCGGGTGTCAACCCGGATGCTTGTTACCCGGTATTGTCACCAGCCCAAAGCGATAAAATTAGCCGAGTTACACAGAAAGAAATTACCGAAGCAATCAGGAGTTTTCCAAACGATTCAGCTGGCGGTCTTGACGGCTTACGACCGCAGCATCTTAAGGATATGATAAGTGATACTGCTGATGATAGTCCTAACATAGTGTGCGAACAGTTAGCGCTTTTAGGAGATATCATGCTCTCCGGTCGCGTTCCTACGGAAATCGTGCCTGTTCTGTACGGCGCAAATCTGACTGCTTTAAATAAAAAGGGGGGTGGGATAAGACCGATAGCGGTCGGCAGCACTGTACGTCGTATAGTGGCAAAAATTGTGGTTAAGCGAGTGCAACAGCAGATGGGTGAAAAGCTTAGACCAAAACAGCTGGGATTTGGCACTCCCGGTGGCTGTGAGGCCGTCGTGCATGCTGCCAGGCGATTTCTTACGACCCCTTCAGAGGAAGTACGAGTCCTTGTAAAGTTCGACTTTCGAAACGCATTTAACACGATCCATCGCGATAAAATGTTACAAATCGTCCATTCTGAGTTGCCAGATTACGTTCATTTCATTAGCCAGTGTTATCAAAACCCAACCAGTTTAGCTTTTGGCGAATGGGATATTCTGTCACAGGCTGGCGTGCAACAGGGAGACCCTTTAGGCCCTTTACTTTTTTCGCTCCTCATATTACTACTGATATTATCTTTGGTGTCACCGCTGAACGCATGGTACTTGGATGATGGTGTCATAGGTGGCAGTTGAACGACGTACTGGACGATGTAGCTAAGGTCATTGCTACCGCCAGTGAGTACAGTTTGGAATTAAATCTTCTAAAATGCGAGTTCTATATTTTCGGTGGTACTGTAGAAGACCGTGAAATTGCGCGACAAACATTTGTCAATCGTTACCCAGAGTTCCTGCAACCTACTGAAAGTGAATTGGTATTGCTCGGTGCTCCTCTTTTGCAGGCCGCCATTCCGAACGCAATCGTTAAAAGGACACAAGATCTTCAGAGACTATCCTCGAAGCTAAGTATTCTGCCTGCTCATCAGGCTTATTTTCTTTTGCGCACCAGTATTTGTATTCCCAAAATGAATTATTTACTACGATCAAGCCCAACTTGGCTGTGCAGTAACGAATTGGATATCTTCGATAATACAGCGAAATCGGCACTAGAAACAATAGCGAACGTTAAAATGGATGGCGTTACATGGGCACAGGCTTCGCTTCCCGTTTTCAGTGGCGGGCTGGGAATTAGGCGTGTGGCAGAACTAGCGACTTCAGCCTATTTGGCTTCGGTTTATGCCACATCGTCCCTAGTTTCGAGCATCGCCCCTGGAACGGAGATTCTTGACTTGGTGCACCAGTTGTGGCAAGCAGCATCGTGTGCTGAATTACCGTCAGAAAGCCTACGAAAGACGCAGAAAGTGTGGGACGCCGCTGTGGTCAAAAAAGCTTCCGAAGATATCACAAACTTGTATGTAAATGATGTTACACATTGTGCGCGTTTGCTTGCAGTTGCGCGGCCGGAATCGGGCAAATGGCTGAACGCCCTCCCTGTACCTTCACTCGGAACGTTGATGTCAGACGAGAGTTTCCGTGCAGCAGTTGGACTACGTGTCGGCGCGCCAATTTGCAGTCCCCACTTTTGCGCTGACTGCCGTCTGCCTGTCGACCAATACGGCCACCACGGACTTTCGTGTAAGAAGAGCGCTGGACGTTTTCTTCGTCACTCCTCCTTGAACGAAATAATTCGGAGAAGCCTAGTTACCGCCAATATACCAGCCGTACTGGAACCGAGAGGGACCAACGACGAGGATGATCGCCGGCCGGATGGTGTGTCGCAGTTGCCTTGGAGAAACGGACTACGACTCGCCTGGGACGTGACATGTGTTGACACCGTGGCTTTGTCTAACGTCATCAGCAGCAGCATCAAAGCCGGAGAAGCTGCCAGGAAAGCGGAAGAAGAAAAGTGCCGAAAGTACGAATATCTGGCGCCGGAATACGACTTCGTCCCTTTAGCTTTCGAGACTTTTGGCGTCGGCGGCCCAGCTTGTATGAAATTTTACGTGAGCTAGGAAAACGCTTGAAGGATGCTTCTGGAGAAAAACGATCATACGAGTTTTTGTTGCAACGTCTTAGTATTGAAATACAGCGCTGGAATGCGCTGTCTGTGACGTCCACTGTTCCATGTTCTGATGGTTTTAATGCTGTTTACTTTGTGTTATAATGTTTTTTGTAAGTGATGTGTAAATTACTGTCTAATAACTAAACCAATAAAATTCTTTTTTTTTTCACTTTCAAAGAAGGACGGTGCAGGCCTGCTGTGATTGCATTACGTAAACTTTTGCGGCAGGTTCATTGAACCGTGGCAGGTTCTTTTATGCGGTATAAGACTAGAATCAGTCGTAGCATACATGAAACTGTAGTTTCGGTTTTTAGTCTTCGATATCCGTGTGTAAACAAAAGTATTTTTTGGCGCCCGTAGAGTACGGAAGGGTCCGGCCGGTTGAAGCAAGCGGTGGGGCCTAACAGTCATGTGACATGAGTCTAGTAAGATGCGTGAAACTTGTAGATGGCGTTGTTAGCTCGGCATCTTTTTTAGGTTACATTATGTGCTCCTACATTATGTAGGAGCACCTTGCAGTGTGCTCGTACATTATGCAGGAGCACATTGCATCGGTTTCATCGGTTCTTGGAGGAGAAAAACGGAATTGTAGTATCCAAACAAACGTAATCCAATATGCTCCTGCAATGTGCTCCTATATATATGTGCTCCAACATTTGTAGGAGCACATTGCAATGTGCTTCTACATATGCAGGAGCACATTGCAATGTGCTCCTACATAATGTAGGAGTACACTGCAGGAGCATATTGTATGTGGAGATTATAAGGGGTAAGAATATAAAGTGCTGAATAGAGAATTTATTAATATAGTAAATTAGATTAAAGGTGATATGTTTCACGAAAAGTGATAATGAAGAAAGGGTGTACTAATCCAGTGTAGCGAAGAAAGAGTCTACATTGAGTTTGGGTGAAGCTAAAGGGATTTTTACTGTAGCATGGTATAAATATATTTGACCTTCTGTTTGTTCGTATTTGAGTGTTTAATTAAGTGCTACAGGAAGTGGAGTGTGTTGCGGGTTGTAGATAGTGATGGATTATTGTGGAAAATTCAAGAAATTTCGAGAAAGTTGATTGCTTAATGGAGCAGACTATTATGTTTTGCTCTGATAATCTTGGATGTGTAGGAACAGGTGGTTTGCATATGGGAAGTAGGTTGGTAGGTACATTAAAATGTTGTACGAGAAAATGTATAGTTTAATTTGTTTGTAGACTGGAATTTTTGAGTTCGGTGGGTATATAAGAAGTTGAGGAATCTTTTGTTTGAGTTATTATGGAGTGGACGAAGTATATGGAGTGAGCAAAATGTTTTTCTTGTTGGTTTTTTTTGGTGGCCGGCGTGGATTTGCGGATACTTACTGATTCAGGTTGCTGTCTTTTGTTTGGTTTTGGTAAGTCTTTTTAGGTTGAGTATGGTTTAGTAAGTTTTCTTTCATACATTATTTTCGTTTAAGAATTCTTTTTTCAATAAATAATGGAAGGTAGTTGTGATCGTAAGAAAGACATGCGTGAGTGTATGCGTGATTATAGAAAAAAATGCAAAATCGAAACTGATGGTAATTGTAGCAGGGAGGATAATGTGCGAAGTGGTGATGATGTAATGTAAAAGTTAAAAAACAAAAATGTAATCGAAATACTAAAGGTGGTGCGTTTTCTGGTATGTTTGGAAAAAATTATTGGAGAATTTTTGGACAATTATTGGACAATTTTTGTAAACGGAACGTGCTAAACGACATTTGCGGAGTATGGTAATGTGTAATGGTTGTCCGGATCTTTTCTTAAGCATTATTTTACGATTTTGTCCTGAATCGTTGTGTTTTGCTGACCCTGTTAAGTTTACATTTTTGTTTTTTAACTTCACATTTTCATGTCTAACATCATCACTACTTCATTATCTTCCTTGCTACAATTACCATCAGTTTTCGTTTTGCGTTTTTTTTTTCTATAATCACGCACATACTCACGCATGTATTTCTTGCGATCACAACCAGTTTCCATTATTTTATTAAAAAAAAACAATACTTAAAAGAAACTATCTATGAAAGCAAACTTACTAAACTATACTCAACCTAAAAAGACCAAAGCCAAACAAAACACAACAACCTGAATCAGTACGCTTCCGAAAATCTAAACCGGCCACCAGAAAATAACCAACAAGAAAAACATTCTCCTCACTGCATATACTTCGTCAAATCCATAACAACACAAACACGACGTTCCTCAACTTCTAATATACCCACCAAACTAAAAAAATCCAGTCAACAAACCAATTAAACCAAACATTCTCTCGAACAACCTTTTAATGTACGTCCCAGCCTACATCCCATATACAAACCACCTGTTACTACACATCCAAGACTATCAGTGCAAAACATAATAGTTCGCTCCATTAAGCAATCAACTTTCTTAACTACACAAATTACTACCACCAAAATGACTGTGTATACCTATGGAAAGTTACAGACTAAACGCGCAATTTTCAAGGTCTCAACTGTAGTAAAGAAACACCCACAACCTCTCATGTCCTTCATACACTCACAAAATTCTTTCCCTACTATTATTATTCCTTTTATATACACAAATCCGAAATTGTTTTAAATCCCAGTATTCCTCTTCCTTATCCCGTACCTGCCGCTACACAATCGAGAGATTGTCCACGCATTGTATTAACGTACGGGAGGGTACTGATTAAAGGTGTTTCCTAGTGTTTGCAAGTTTAACTGTAAAACAGTGAGGTAAAGGCGCTTACAGTTTTTGCTGCGGCTGCTTTCTGTTGTTCTGAAACCTGTATTTTGAACTACTCGTATTTTCTTTTGCCAAGAAACTTGATTTTTGTTCATACTCGTGCCCGTGTAAATGCATCGACATCACAAAGTTGTAATATAACTGATATGCTTGGATTGTTGTTAACATGTCAGCCAGTCCAGCTGGTGCGCTAGTTTTGATTTTCGAAAAAGATTTGAATCATCCACTGCTGGTTTATGTACTTGATGCAGAATACAGATAAGAATGGTAGTCTTCTGAGTCGTTCTGACTGGTTTGTCTGCCGTGCAGTCGTCAACGGCTGGAGACGGAAGGCAAACATCTGTATGAGCGCGCGTTATGGCACACCGGAAGTACCGGTACATGTAGAACGATTGCTGCTTACGGTATAGTTGAAATTTCCCAGATGCTGTAAAACTTGTAAAGCGTACCCTTGTGCTTGTAGCTTCGCGTTATTATTGATAAAAGCTGTTCCCCCACACTTGTTCGCTGCTGATACGCTAAAATAAACCAGCATTCGCCAGCAGAACCATTTACACTCGGAGCCAAGAAATTCCTATCGCGAAGCTTATACATAGTGACGTGTACTGGCGTCCCTTAGTACACATCGGTACTACTTTACTACTTCTACCCCTACAACTAAGGCTTAGGCTTTACTACATCTTCTACGCGAGTCCTGACCCCGAGTCTCTACTTCGACTTCTCAGAAATCCCCAGCAGAGAACTTTGACCGCGACTTGCCATTTCGACGTGACCGCGCTTCGATGACGTAGCTCAACCTATTGTTCTAGTGTATTAGTTGACCTGATGTTCTCATTTGTCCACGTGTAGTTGTGCAGCGGTGTGATTAGTCCACGTGTCCTTAGATGTCTCTTATTGGTTAGATTCTAAATCCCTATTGTTCTCAGACCCGTACCTGCGCGTACGAAGAGCCAGCACTTGCGGTGCCAACGGCTATATAAGGCGCTCGTCGCCCACACAAATGTCAAGAGTTGTAATCCCAACAAAAGTAGAGTCTTGTTACTCGATCTGATTAACTTCAGGCTTTTGCTCTGGTCTTCTCTTTCCAAGTGAGGCTGTTCAAACTGACCTCTGGGTGACCTTTCACCTATTGTCAGGGGTCATTCCTCTACTTCGTCGACGTGCATTATCATCTTCGGATAGTCTCGTGACGTAACAGGTTACCCACTTGATCCCACTTGTTTGCCTTGACCTTTCGGTCCCTTCGATCTTCATGCCCTGTAGCGCCAGGTTGATGGATATCTCTTATCGCTTCTGCTAACATCTAGCGTCGGACAGGTAACGTATACTTCTCCGTCGTGTGTGTATTTCTCGTGTTTGCAGGACCCGGACCTCTTCTTCTTTTCCTTTCCTACTTCATACCAGATCAACGTAATCTTCTACCATCTTCCGTAACAGTTTGAGACAGAGTCGCTCTATCCGACTGGACGTGGTCGGACAAGTGGATACAGTACCCACTTCACTGTGTTAGGTCTTTAATTCACGTCAATAGGTAACTTTGAAGTTACGAGCAAGTTGTATTTATTACATTTATTTGTATTTATTATTTATTTTATTTGTTGTATTTATTACATTTATTTGTTGTATTTATTGCTGTCATGCAGTTCAGTTTGAAAAATGTTCTTTGGGCTTAACTCACTAATCTGCCACTACAAATACTGTACATAATACACTATGCCCTTCATGTAGCTAAAGCCTGTAAGAGCACAAGATGCCTGTCCAACTCATTTCATATTTTCGAGTAGGTTTTACACCTACACTGCTTTGTAGCTAAACTATATAATACTTACTGTAGGTAAGCTATATAATAGAGTGCAGTGTCAATCCTCGGAACATTTAACGATATTAGGGACAACGAGCATGGTTTTTAGCGTTTAGATTGGCTGACCGGGATTGATGTTGTTGTTTTGTTGTTGTTGTCAAGTGCCAGATGTTGCTTTTCTTGGCAGCTCTGCTGCGACTTTGTGTACACATAATGCTTAATGCACAATAAATTCTGCCATAACGTTATTTTTATAAGGCGTGAACCATTTTTGCAGATAATGGTGCGACTCTTTCTTTCTGATTCTTTTGCTGAGTTCGGCAAAAGGTCTATGGAACGCGAATCCCGGAGATCCCAAGATTGCGCCTTAATCCCCGCATCTCTCTGCCACTTCACCGGGCCCTATCAGCTGACATGCAGCCATGTGCCTTTGAAAATACCAGGAAATTTTAAGACGAGTATTCTGTACTCTAACACCAGTAGCATACAGTAGAGGTATCCTTGGGTCAATGACCTCATTCTTGACTGCCCGACCAGTGCCAATCCACCTACGCCATCGGCCCCACTGCCACCGCCCTTTCTCCAACATGTGGATGGGGGACATGACTCTGATTGGCTTCCAGGCGGAAAGACGAAGCCGAGCGGCCATCGACGTCCTATTGGGCGGAACTAGACAGTCATCTTCGTCAGCACATACATTATTCAAAAATCGGGATCCAGACCGACCCTTTCTCCTATTTTTGATGCCCTTCGGGAACTAGACATTCGTAACAACCACATCCGCACTATTGAGCTTAACGCTTTAGAAACCCTTTTGAAACTCAGCACACTGTAGATGGGCGTAAATTCTTTGTACGTGTTTGACTGGAGTGTCACGTAACCGGTGATCCAAGAATTAGTTGGTTTAAGGTTTTACTAGTAATTTCTCACAATTAAAAATAAGTGTGATGTTGTCCAACTAGTTTTTTGAAAGATTTTGGTGGAAGCCGATTCGCAGCATCCGCCCTTGGAAACTCTATAACGAAGCGGGCCGTTGTTTCTCCTGAACGTACATCGAATCACAACCGCTTGTTATTAATTCCCAAGAACGTCGTGGACACTTTTGACTTCAGACAACAGGGCAATGTGACCTTTGATATCCGCCGCAATCCAGTTTCTTCGGACAAATCCAACTGTTCTCGCTGTGGTATCAAAGACATGGCCCACTGATTTGCTAAGCGGACCGCATTTAGCCGTACGCCGGGATACCTCGATTAAAAGTGCAACATGGGCGCTCAGTGTCAAGGCCACATGCGGACTGAGTTGAAACGCCAGCAGGCACGAGTGACAAAGTTTACGTTCGGGAATGAATCCCTTGTTATCAAGCGCGTATGAACGCTGCCATTAATACACGTGTCTTTTGACAACTCTTTGAGTGGGGAAATGTGTTAGAACAGTGGATCAGTTGTAATCTCTTTTATTGGGCAAAAGCCATCAATACAACAAAAAGCGCATACGCAGAATACAACGCAAAATGATTTACTTTTAAACATTAAAAAAACAACCAAAGTCGTTAGCGCTGTCAGTCATTTTAGAACGCATACCCAAATTGCCCAAAACAGCAGCAATATTTCCTTTTACAACTGCTAGGCTAAATCTGCTGCTTTAAAGTGCAGTAGAACGGGGCTCCCCTGTGGCGTCGCGAATCTTTCTGCCAACGAAGCGAATAAGCTCCGCAAATGCCGGACCAAAAGTTCCAAAGGTCTCGACCGCCAGGGGATAAAGCAGATATCCCATTTCTTCCACAAATGCGTACTTACGACGTTTACTGTCTTCGGCCAAAAGCGCAACACTGCCGGATGCACTCGCGCTTGCCCGCACGTGCGATAAGGCTACTGTGTCCCAAGATGTAGCGTCCCAAACGAGCGCTTCGCCATCACGTACAGGAACGAGAGTCATGCCATCTGGCCGCGTATTGTTTATACCGGACAGTCCCAGTGGCTCGCTTTGACATGGATGGATCGGTTTCTGCTTCGTCGTTGTGATTACTGTACATATACAAGGTAGTACAGTACTGCCATAGTCGAGTACAGATACATGCACGGGAATTTATCAAAAACAGTCAACAGAGACGATGATAAAAAAGCACAGTTTCTTAAAGCAATAATATGGTTAATTTTCACATTGTCTGTAACTCAAGCGTCCGCACTGCGAGAGCTGCTCTCGCAGTGCGGACATGCACGTTGCGATGTTGTGTACGAGTACTGAAAAAAAATACGTAAAACAAGTAACTACGCAATGCGACGTACAAGTACATATTATTTTGAATTTTGCCGGGTAGTTTAGAAGTACTATCACTGGTGTACTGTTTCGCATATGGCCAAATTCTTATTGTTCTGGATCACATACTTTGACAGTAAAGGTTTGGTTTCTATCTGTTCTGTTTGACGTTGGCATTGGCATAACTAAAATGGCTAATGTTCTCCATATTTAAAGGTGATAATTTATAAAGGTGCAGGTTTTGACAGATATATGATTAGGCAGATCCGACTCCATAGGCTAACACAAAATATGATAAAAATGATATGTTGTCATTTTTTGGAGTTTTATTTCATGGGGTTTTTATTAGTTTTTCTTTTTTATTTTTTTTATTGGACAAACATTTTTGCTTAATTGCACCGGCAACACCGCGGATTTAACTAGCGGCGTAATCAGGCGCTGGTAGTCTCGCTGCACAAGCCTTTTAGGTCGGATAACAGATAGACCTTAGTGCTCATAAGGTGGGGTTAAGAAACGAATGAAACTTTAACGATTCGCAGGATCGTCCCCTAGCCGGCCCAAAACAGAGCGCGACAAAGGCTCGCGCCTTTACTGCCATTTCGGGCTGTTTTGCATCGACAATGCGGCTGTCATCCGGCATAGCCTGGCGCTTCCATAGTGCGTGCATGTGTCGAACGAAATCCACTTCGGTCGTCTCACTCTGAGCAAAGCTGTACTCTTTCCGTTTTCCATTTTCTTCGTACACCCACTCGGGAGGTTTTCGTGTATACATTTCAATCACCGCACAGCCCAAACTGAACACATCCGTCGCCGGTCCAACTGCAGCCGGGCCGCTGATGGTATCAAACGCCAGCAGTTGCTGCATTTCCTTGGAAGCAAAGCGCGACGACCCTTCCGGATACTGGATGGACGTTCCCAAATTGGAATCCCAACGATGGTATGATGCTTTTTCGAAATGGGCGATCTTTACGATATTGGTGATTTTATCCACCAGGATGTTAGAACAGCGGATATCCTTATGCACAATGCCGTACTGATTTAGCACTGTTAGTCCATTCAGTATCTGACCAGTGAAGTCAGGAATCAAGACGGTTTTAAATTGTCGCGTCACTAACATGTCCGACAGAATAGTGTACGCGCCTAAAACACAATAAGGCTTGACATCAAACTAAACAAGGGCTAGATCGGTTTTACGTCAACTACCAAAATTATATGTCCAGCAAATTGTTTATAATACCTTCGTTTTCCGTGAATATTCGCAAATCGGTCGTCGGGTTCTCCGGTTTCACTTCATAATGACGTATAATGTTTTTGGTTTGCGGCGCAATTTCTTCAATAAGCAGTTGGAATACTTTATGTTTGTTTTCAAGCACTACTCTCTGTTGCAGGTCACCTTCTTTAGCCGACGATATAACAGAAGCCCAACCGGGTGGATTGCTGTTTCCGACCATTTCCGGAAGCGTCAGCTTTCGTAGCAGTTCATCCTCCTTGCCGTCGCTCTCGGTAAGAATAATTTTTGCATCGGAAGACTCAGTATGTTGTTCTTGGTCTGGTTTTTCGATCACCCGGTCAAGCTGATAACGTTCCACTTTAAACCGCTGCACTTCCATAAGTTTAAATTTTGGTGTAATTTTGCAAAAGAGAAAGTAGTATAGTTCCTGAAGACGACTGATGAGCTGCGCAGCAGAGGACCGCTTCTTCTGGTCGGAAGCAAAGCAGGCCTTGATAATTGGTCCTAAAAGACTACTCTTCTCTAGTGTGTAGCATGGTCGGCAACCTACTGTGAAGTAGCGGTGTATTTCCTTGAAATTCGCTGGCGGCTTTTGCCCGTCCTCACTCTCGTCCTCCTAACCACTTAAACGAGGAGGGCGACCTTTTTCTATCATGTGGACAATGACCCAGCCAAAGCTCCAAATATCGGTTTTCCGGCCAACGTGTGTTGTATGATTCTGCGAGGCGTCCGACAGTGCTGCCATCTCGGGCGAAACAAACGGCACCGTGCCTGTCGCATTCTCGATAAGTCGTGGAGGTGTGGATGATCCGCTGAAGTGTTTAGCCATCGTCAGACCAGTGATCTTCAGCGTTTCTCCGTTTGAAGCGACAACAATGTTCGCTGCTTTAATATCTAGACTAGATGGATAATCTGTTGGTCGTGAAGAAACTGCAGACCGTCTAGTATCTGTGCTGCATATCGTACGACTTTGTAATCAGTGGGTTGTTTGCCATGCGCTGATTCATCCAGCGGCAATCCTAAAAATAATGGTCTCTTTTAATAATAACAGACGCTATTCCGTATCGCATACGACAATTCCAGATGTTTTGCATCGGAAGCGTTCTCAGCCTCTGTATTCTTTGCTATAGCAGCAAATTCAACGGAAGCAACAAAAAAGTCAAAAATATCGCAAATTTACCAAATAAGATGTTTTTCTGTATTTACACCGAAGTTTGTTTACCTTCACACTCTTCGGTTAAAATGTAGCACGTGGTTAATCCCGGTGTCCCGGATGTATAACTGACGCCGTAATACTTCTGGACATGTTTATTATCCTCGCTCGATGCATTCACCAACGGTTGCAACAGCATTCGCAGTTCTCGCATTTCATTTTTCGCATCAGCACGTTGCGATGGTATCACTGTTAGTTCGGCTGTCGTGGGTAGCGATGCTAACTCCGCGAATCTTCCAAATCCAGAAACTGCAAAATAGGAATCCGCTTGTTTTCCACACAGTGGCAATTCATCGTCTCCTCCTCTTGTTAAACTGCTTGCTTCTTCAGTCTTAACAACCACGACTTGGTATGTGATTGAATTTCTCGTACAACGCTTGTGCTGAAAGTTTACGGCGTAAATGATTGACATTCTTTTCTAAGTAGCGAATTCTACCGCCTTTTACTACATACGCAGCACAAGGCATCGCTTATTTGCCTAAACACTACGATAGTTATTGTAAGTATTCTCTGCCGACCGCACTTTTGGCATCACTTTACAGGGATAAGACTAAAAAGTTGATTTAATAAAAAAAATTATAAAGATTGCATTGTAATTGCACGGGCGCTTGCGTTCTTCAGCAACTTCGTTTATAGCTGCAGAAGCAACAGAACCGCTTGCGCCGATTACGCTGTTCACTGTTACTACACGCAGTTCTTGCGCTAGTTACCTACGAGTATTAACAGTAGGTTTGTTATCAACCATCTCATAACTATGAAGATTACAAGTATAGTTTATTTCCTGTTGAAAACCTGCGAGCCAAAAGAGCGTGAACGTTAATGTGGAGCCAGAGTGCATACATACCGGCATAAGCATTACAAATTCTGGGTTATGTATAATTCCGGCACTTGGTATTCTCACGGCTAATTACACATTTCAAGGTCTGCGCAAATACCCTCACACTACTCGCGTAGACGTTATCGCTCGTAATGTTTACTGCGGCCTTGTGTCAATATCGGCAATCTGATACACTGCAGCGCTTTGGTTGTAAATTTGTAATGCCAGTTAGACTGTCACCTTCCGGCTTCCATAATAATGAATTCGCATGCGTGTCTCGTTCAAAATGTTTCCCTGAATGCAATTTTCAGCATATTCTGAAATTTACCATCGATCCGTGGTAGCAGGAATTTAACCGTCTGTAAAATAATATGGAGTAAATTGGCGATTTTTACTTATTGTTCCGGCCACCGGCACAAGATGAGCCAGCCTGAAACGCATAAATCGACTACGAAAACAACATCCGAGTTATTCCTAACCAAATAAACATCGACTTTTTTGCTGCCAATAATAACAGACGCTTCCATGGCTGCGATTCTACCCTCTCCTACAGATATTTTTAAAAACCTCTTAGATCATGGACTGTGTCGTCTTATCGAACCGGAGAATGCGACAGTGTAAGTTTGATAGTCACGAATGGAAGCTAGGTATTCCGTTCTCTCCCTTATGTAGCAAACACATAGTTACATATGTCAAAACTTGGTCGTTTAGACTTGTGACTCGCAAGTTGCGAGTATTTCGTTTATTAAAATAACCCGTGATCGTTCTGATGTCGCTATAGAACCAGTGCGCTGGCATGTTTGCCATGGACTTCGTACATCGCCTCCATCGGAATATTTGTAGCGTTGACTGCAATCGGCATCGGTTACTACTTGATTGTATCGGCGCGGCAGTACGGATGTAAACTGTTAATCAAAGACGCAAAATCCTTTTTAAAGACCACATTCAAACAAGCCGATTGGCGAGGATTGGTTGTGTTCGGATTCAGTTTAGCTTCGCTCTACTTCAGTTTCTTCCAGTCGTATTTTAGGGATGATACGTAAGTTACGCATTTCCGTCGACAAGTATCTGGTAACCCAGAGCGTCTATTAATTACGTATAACGATTAGCTTGGAGCAAAATATAGGTTTTTCTTTCTTATTTTTAAGGAAACTGTATCATGGATGGCACCACAGAACCTTACCAGACACTCGATACGCGATAGTTGTTGATGCCATTTTGAACGCTGTGCTTCTGCTCCTATTGGTATTTAAGCTGATAAAGGTGCGCTTCGTGGCCCCGAAACTTGGTTAAGTCGCGTGAAACATACATAAACTTAACTGGAGCGCAGTTGCTTCTTGTGTAATCGAACAAGACATCCTGGGCAAACAAACGTCCGCTGTACATTAAATTTTTTGTTTCTGAGACAGATAGTTGTGACCGAAACGTTTGTCAGGGAATATATGGTCGGCATATTAAGTTCAGTCGGACCTTTTAGTTGGAATACGACACCAAGTCGATAGCTTTGGTCGGGCCACGATATTTAGCAAAGTGTTGTTCCGTTCAACTGTGAGCGTTATTCTATCCTAGTACTAGTGGCTACGATTTTCCGACCAGGTGGGGCTCTATTTAGTAGTCTACCACAAACCAAACCGTAGATTGTCGTTCTCTTCGATGTGGCAAAATTTGGACATCGGACAAAAACGCTTGTCACGTTTGGCAGGGATACCCCTTGGCAATAGATCGGGTGTCGCCTCGACCAAAACTTTCGGCTATATCTCGTAATCTGAGTTTAGTTTTCGGATCGAAAACACGCTCTCAGCAGTTTGTTAACCCTGATAACACAAAAAATCATGGGTGGTCAAAATCTACGGCGGTCGTTTACTTGGTCCTCTGCCGGACGTCCTGATAGACCGGCCGGATTTGGCGTCCGTTCTTACAATCACAACCTGTCGATTGCCTCTGTTTTGACTATAGACATCTAAGACATGCTGTGGACCGTGTCGCGGAGCACGCAAAGTTACGGTATTTTGCCAAAGCCCTGCCACAGACCACCGGGACGAGTGTTGCAAAGAACCAACTTGTCTGAGAGAACGGATATGGAGCGCAATTCGTGACTGGGAATTCTTCGCAAATGTTGCCAATTTCCCGCTGTTGTGTTACGAACTTGTTATTGTATTGCGCTGGCGTGCTGAACCACTGGCTTACTGGAACGTCACGGCTACAAGTAAGCCATCAGTAGATTTTTTTGTTGTTTTTTCGGTGTTTAAATATAACTAGCAAGTAGTGTACCGGCGCTTGCAATCATTGTTATCTTGGTGGCTGTTGCCCATTAAAGTGAGCCATCAGTACAACTGTACAGGTATACCATGATAACTATTACTAACGTGAGAACATCGATCCTAGGTCTGCAATTTCTTCGCGTGTTTTGTTTCACTTGGCTGTGCGACGAGATCATCCGCATCTTTCGAAAGCTACCCATTGCCACCGGCACCGTTATGCGAAGAATAACATGGATTGCCTGCTCCTTTTTAGCCTTAGCAGCATGGGTTCAGTTGGTTAGAGTTGGTTAAACCTTGGACATTGCTATTCGTGTACGTAGTATCTTTCCGTATTTACGAGAAATGTACGCTTTCTGCCTACAGGTAGAAACATTGGGCGATCCATGGGTATCCACCTATAATGGACAAAAAGACTTGACCTTCGGAAAGTTAGTGACCTTCCTATACGGCAAGCTCGTGTTTCTGGACTTGACATCGACAACACTCGAAACAGAAATCGCGAAGATTTCGGTTTATGTTGCCCAAGCAGTTACTCTGGTGCGTAGCTAAATTTTCTACTGTCCGTATCAGTATTTTTACCACTTTACTGATTAGCTTGATCTACAAAAACCTGAATCCATACAACAACCATTGCAGATTTTCCTATCGCAAATTATTCCGGAAATGTTAAAGCAGTTGCCGAAAATATTACGAATCCATTCATTTAGTGCAGTACGCACGAGAAAGGACACAAAGTAAGTTATTCCAACTGTTTTGCAGCCACGATTGGTGACTTACGTAGATAAATTTTAGGTTCATATTATTGCTCGGCTCGATTAATTCTCTGGCGGTTGAGCAATTTGCCGAGAGATTCCGCTCAACAAATCCTGGAGAGAACATTGTTGTGCTTTTAGAGTGAGAAAAACATCGCAAATATAATACGTCTTGTTAAGGAAGTGGCCCGGTACATGGCACCAAATTCTTGTACTACATGCACGAAAACTTTTACTTTCGCGCACTCCCAAACACTTTTTTGTTTCGGTTTATGACATTCTGTAGCCGGAAGATTTGTATACATAGAACAAATAAATAATACACTAACGTGAAAACCGCTTGTGCGCGCAACATCCGGTTCGGAAGTTATGGCTGTTAGAAAATTCCAAAACGTTTAAATGCGTTCCGGTGTACCAAAAGTCTCATTATGGACCGATCTCCCTCAAATTTTGCACATAAATGCACATAACCACGAAGAATGTTTTTACACCGATCCACTGTTCTAGCATGTTTTTCAAATTTTAAAATGAATTTCAAAAATTTAAAATTCATTTTAAAATTGGAAAAAAATCATCGAAGTCTGGATCGGTGTAAAAACGAGCTTCATGCCTCATGGCCATGTGCATTTATGTGCAAAATTTGAGAGAGATTGGTCCGTAATGAGACTTTTGGTATACCGGAACGCATTTAAACTTTTTGGAATTTTCTAAAAGCCATGACTCCCGAACCGGATGTTGCGCGCACAAACGGTTTTCACGCCAGTGTATACAAATCTTCCGGCTACAAAACGTCATAAACCGAAACAAAAATGTGTTTGGGAGTGCGCGAAAGCGAAACTTTTCGTGCACGTACACGAATTTGGTACCATATACCGGCCCACCTCCCTTAATGTAGAAATATACAGCTGTTTTCGTAACAGCCCCAATGCTTCCGATGCGGCCATCGAAGAAATGCATACAGTGGCTGGAAAGCACAAAGACAGATTAACCGTTATAACCGGCTCGCTTTTTGAGAAGGAAGATATGGAAAATCACGTTTTTGACAATTGTCAGTGCGCTCTGTTCTTCGCCAATGAAAACGCTTCCAACTTTGCCGAAGAGGATCACTGCAACTTCTTACGAGTCAACAAGGTGAAACAACGACATCGTAACACAAGAGTAATCGTCAAGATCCTAATGTTCGAAAACAAGGTAAGCTAGCAAAAAGGAAAGAACTTTGTGAAAAAGACGGACAACGAAAGATATTATCAGAAGAACCATTTTAGGAAAAGTTCCATCACATTCCATTTTGGTGCCGCAAAAGCGACCAGATAATCTGCACAGCAGAAATTCAATTCGCTCTTTTGGCACAACGATACTTTGCACCAAATTTTCCTCTGCTCGTCAACCAGTGGTTTGGTGAAGAGGCTGGTCCCACTGTCAGAGCAGTCAACCTGCCGAATCCTACAACGATTTCCGCGCGTTCGAACATGTTTAGTAATAACTTGGGCGCTAGGTCGCCAACTGCAACGGCGTCGGTTAACACTCCAACTCAGACAAATGTTAATGTAGAGTCAGATGATCGTGCAACATACAACAAAATACGCAGGAACCAAAATTCCAAGAAATCCAGTGAAGAGATAGAATTGCTTTCGCTACACCCAGATGGACCGGCACCTGTATCGTCGAATATACCGAGGCCTGGTCTTTCAGATGTCATCAACGCGACCTATGAAGACGCACGGGTATACTGGGTTTCTTTGGATTTCTCTTAGCGATCTGCAACAGCTTATGACGATTAACTTTTGGTCACCATAGATCGCATTTGAACCCTATGGCGCCCTGTTTGCCGTTCAACAAGGCGGTGAATATCATTTGTATCCCCAGAAATATCTCATTCTGCAACCAGGCGCCAAATTTTTCATCATTACCACTTCATCCAGCAACGAGCTGGACCGAGTTGCGCGCTCTAAGAAGTGGACGGTTTTGGCAGATGACAGAGTTCCATCGTCAAGCGCAGGACAGAACGTAACAGGTCAGCCGAATAATCAGGAAAGCGATGCCCCAGATGTCACGTCACGAATCCGAATTCCCTTGAGCATGGACACTGAATGGTAAAGCCGTAACTACGGTTAATAAATGGACTGTGTCCATTTCGTCAACAATCAATACAGCATATTTATAAGCTGATGATAAAAATAAACTCTAAAAATAAGGGATGTGATCTGGCATCCATATTTCAGCACAATTTGTAAAATTCTAGGATGAGCACACTTTACTGCTTTACTAAGAAATGTTCCTATCGCATGAGTTTTGGCGAATTGACTAGTGGGCCAGGTCAATTGCATCTGGGTAACCATTGCGCGTCGGGTAACGGAGAAACGTGTAAAAATCTGTCCATGACTCAGCGAAAAATTTATCGTCCAATCGTAGGTCGAGTACGCTTCCGTGGCAAAAAAGAAATTGAACAACTGAATAACTGAAGTGGAACCGAAAATTTTGTTTTTGATGCTTTAATGTGGTACTACATCAAAAAAGTTAATTCCGAGTTTAGGAGTGACAATCTGGGTAGCTGGATGCACTTTTGGTTCAAACAAACAAAAATTTTGTTGATCTGTGCAGGAGAGTTACGAGTTACTCGTAGTTTGGGTAACGGTTTGCGCTTCGATTTCGAAGCGCAACGGTTACACGCACGGGTAAGCTGAAAACCCATCCCAGAATTCTGGTTTACCAATCAAATCGTTTACCTGCTTTCGCGCCGTGAGGTCATGATTTTTTACCCGACTGCCGCTTGCGCGTCGCGAAAGACTTACACAGAGCAATTGACCTGGCCCAGTGTAGAGGAGGCTTCAACTGGTCACTTCCCGGCTCCAGATGAGAAAAGAGTCAAACGTAGACTAACTTAGACCCTAGACCAATGGTGAAAATTTTTTTAGCGTTGAAGAATGTGGCTCACAAAATGTGACTTGCGATATAACTGGACAATACTGGAGATACCAGCTGCCAAAAGCCAAAATGCCGGTTAAGGTAAATGGATACTAAATGATCACAACAGGCAGCATTAGCATAAAAACGCTTTGTTGTGCTCGTGGGGTCTGCTCAGTTTCCCAACGAACTGGAAAACATGCTGCCATCCACACTGGAGCAACACATTGTAATTTGCGTTGTCTCCGACCGGGACCCGGCCCCCATTGGGCTAGTGAATTTCATAAAACCGCTGCGCGCCGTTCATGCTGATCCGCCGGTTGTTGTTATTCTGGCCGAAGCCGACTGTCTGGCCAAAGAATGGCCGGCCTTGATGACCTTTCCCGATATTCTTTTAGTTCAGGTACGAGTAATAATCGCTCTTTCTGCGCTCCTGCTACGATAATACTCAACGTCGTTTTTAGGGAAATCCCTCGAAACACGATCATCTACGGGCTATAAAGCTCGAAAAAAGTCGGCTATGCATCGTGGTTGACGCAAGTGAACTCCCCAAAAAGCAGTCGGAAAAATGGAAGAAGTCGGATGCGGAAGCTGAACTGATTTGGCCCATGCTGCCTAAACACTTTTACCGGCATGTCAACGCTGTTCTGGCTACAGCGGACATTGCAGAGTATCTCAAAGAATTCCGTAACCAGATGGATACCTTGCCAGAAGAGATCCTAACATGCATTCGTAAGACTGCTCTCCTTATTAGGTTTGAATGGTTAACCCACCAAAGTCAGCTACCAGAAGGAACGTGAATAGCAAGCTGAAAATTGGTGGTTCTTCCTCAAATAATTCAATCAAGAAAACTGAATTTTTTGGGAATTTTCTTGACCATAGGTTAAGCAGGGCGATAGCCTGCCAAACTGACAGGGATGGGCATCCTGCCATTTGGCAGGAAATACGCCGGAATTTATAGAAACGGTGGGTAGATCGCATTGAGGAGCTCGACCACTTGAAAAAACCCTTTTGACAAGACCTATATTTCTCAGCTACCGTTTTGGTCATCGAGATGACCAGTGGTCAAGAAATGATACAATTGCAAAAAATATGTTTCCGAGCGGCCATAAGCTAACGAAAGTGCAAAATACATTTTGTTTATGTAATATAAAATGACCCTTGGCCAGATGAAAACACATCAGCACAAATAGATATGTGATTTTTGTCAGTTAAGCGCCCGTTATACCGTATTGTACTGCAGTAGTAACTGCAGTACAAATATACTTTCTTGCCTTTTCCTGCTTTAATTTGACTTTCAGTCAACTTTTCATTTTTTAGATGGTACAATGACTGAAGAACAAACAAACTAAGCAGTCTAAAAGTTGCCTACCCTAGAAATACAGCGATAGCTTCCCTTATTTCACCTACAGGCTACAGTATACGCTGTATAGCATATCGGCACTACCGGCAAGGTCATTTCCGCTTTCACGCATTTATACCACAACAACAAGTCACTGCAAGATGCAACTCACAGAACGTAGAAATGTTGCACAGAATTAAAAAGGGTGATATGTAGATACATTCATGTAATTTTACGCTCCCAGTATGCAAATCAAATCATTACACCATATCCTGAACAGGGTGAAGAGCATAAGCTACTGTATGCAGTTCTTGGTTACGTTTAGGGTTATACATGGCAGTCTACGGAATGGCGATGAAAAAAAGATATCAAACAGCTTCAGTTTGGCAATGTCACATTTATTCTTACATTTTACAATTTGTATTTGTAAGTAATACCCCAATTTTCCTTCAAAAAACACGAAGTTTTGAAATATCTCTATGTGTTGACCGCTGGTCAGTTTAATGACCACCGAAACACAAGGCTTTTTAGCACTATTTTTGCTTGATTTTTTGGTTCCTTGTGTAACTTTTTACCAAGTTTCTGAGATTTTATACAAAATTTATAATTTTATTGTTAAAGTAGCGTCATGCCCATCCCTGTCAAACTCGGCAGGAAATTTCTGTATGACCCTGTTTGCCCACTGTCCGGTTATTTTTCAAATCATTTGGTGCTCTCGTAACGTCAGCCACAGGATCTTTGTAAGTGATTTATCTGTAAATTATCGGGGAACGGGTAGGCGGCAGGAGCAGCCAAGACCTCCGCGAACCCAAAAAGTGCCATTTCGGTCATTTTTGGTCACTGGTCGTGTGCCCCATACGTGGTTCATCTGATGGTCGAATTTTTTTAAACAACCAACAACATCCCTGCTGTGACATAAAATCACTGAACATAAGCTTCCTCCATTATGAGCCGTCAGAGGAATAAAGTTCGCCGCCCTGCCATTTGACAGGGATGGACGGGAACGGGTTAAATCGTAAGACTATTCTCCTTATTAGATCTGAAGCATCTGTATTTACTAGTAGAGACTAATACATAGTAATTTAGTAAATACAATAGTAGTAGGACGATACTATTAGTATATATACAGTAGTAATAGTAATACAGTATGAATAGTACGTACAATTTTGCAGTCAAATAAGTTTCTCATTTACCAGATCACAAAGCAGTTGGCTTGATTTCCTGGGATAACACCGGCCAAAATGCTGCTCAGAAGCCCAGGGTCACCGAGACGTGCACGGCGCCCAGTTTTATTGATGCACTCATGCTAAAGTGCTACGAGGATGTTGAGATTTTTCAACTTCTCTTGCTGCTGATTCTAGGCGGTCACAGGAGATTTCCCCAGCAAAGAGAATGAACAGTTCCGCGGTTGTCCGTTTATCGGGAACCAAGCCGCAGTTAGTAAATTGGTGCCGGTGGTCGGCGGATTTGTTAAATACACTCCAATTACCGGTATGCCAAAACAAAATCATCAAAAACATCAGCCTGCGAGGCCGGATGTTACAAACCGAGAGAGTGAGACTTACGAGCAGTTTTGCTCCCGACTCGCCAGAGGGCATGATTATTTGGTTATTGGAAAGGAAACAGTATCGTCCAAAAATGCCTGTGCTACGCTGGTGAAAGATAACCATTATTTCACGCTGGAACGGCCATTCTACGTTGTCGCTCGACAGAAGCTGTTCGCTCACATCATTGGCTCTTTGAACCGCGCAGCAAAGTATGAAATCTGTTTGTGATAATTTCAAAGTACAAATAATCGGCTCAAGCAAAGCGAAGGCCCTTTAAGTGGAAGAACGTAGGATTTTCCGGTACAGAGATCTGTATGAAAGTTACCTGAAGAAGACGTGATTATGTAAGAATCGGGAAATGTGCAGCGTTGCGCAGTCGGTTGCCCTTTTGCATTCAACGCACAAACTACGAGTAGGATGTAAAACTACCGTCGGTAGTTTTAGATCGGTAGTCTACCGATCTAAAACTAACTTATCGGTAGTCTACCGATCTAAAACTAACTTATCGGTAGTCTACCGATATTACTTATGTCGTCTTATTTACTAAGAAACTATTTACAAAGCAAGCGGAAGACTCTGTAGACTGTACTCCGTAGTTTCCGTCTGTTAGTAACAACCAGCCAAAAACTGCAGCGGTGTACTAACCTAGGAATTATTAGCTTATTTGCATTTAGTGTGCGCGTAAATACCACTGAACAACTGCGATTATTGGCCGCCTTGGAATCTTTACCGTCTCTTATCCTAAAAGCCATCGAGGAGGGAAGCACGGGAATTGCCGGAAACACAAAACCCGGCCGTTATCCTCACTGGCTGGTTATGTACTACAAAATTATGGAGAAAGTTATTGCCAGTGCAAATGTAAGATAGCTGAAGTAGAGCGATGCCATAATGATCCAATCAACAGTTGGAATCGTTGCTTCTGCTTGATATTTGCATAGAGCTGTACTATTAACTGTGCATTACAGTTTCAGGAAAGAACCACATGTCTACCGAAAGCGGAATTAGAGACACTGAACAAGACTCTTGAGAACCATGCCATAGTGAGACCGCAAAATCCTACGGTCAAGGAAATTGTGAGAGTCATCGAGAGTCGAGACTAACCGAAAACGTCAGCATGAAACGTGGAAGCTGCCAAATGCCCTTTTGATATACGTGATGGCCGTGTACTACCATAAATACGCCAACGTAGCACCATCGGTGAGATCTACGATACCGGTTGAAACGTTATTACGAAGTAGATTTTTTGGTGTACATGGCATGAAATCGTCCCGTTAGCGTTTTTGTATGTTATTAGTTATAGTGCACGGAAACGCACCTTCCTAAACTTATAACTGTCGAGTCGATGCAATAGAAATTGTAGTACGCGACGAAAATGAAAGAAAACACCATGCGCAAAGGTTTCATTGTTTACTAGTAGAAAAAGAGTGATTGTTAGCGTTTTATGCTTAGCAGGATGCGACGATGGTTGTGGAAAACATCTTCAGTGGTTGCCTTTTTGTCCCTTAGACGGCCTATTTGTGCGCTATGGCTGCCTGTGTCTCATGTCGAAGATGGGTACACCTGCAGCGTGAAAGAATATTGAGATACCGCGTTACTGAATTATGGCCCAGCCAATTTTTTGGGAGGCGAAAAAAGCCGTTATTTGACACCTTACCGATTGCAGTAATTAATAATAGAACAGAAATCGGTATATCAAGAAATTAATTGGTAGGGTGCATTAGTCGTGCTACTGTGGCTAATACCTTGTTTGTCCAGTAATCGAGCGTATCTTTCGATAAGGTTTCGATTTTCTGGATCTGATAGCGTCGAGGATTATCCGGGTCACTGTTAAAACGCGAAAGTAGCCCATTGGGTGCTAGCAGTTCGGACGTAAGCAGCCGCTCTGTTGGATTAAATTTTAGGCACCGAAGAACAAATTCCTTGGTGTTCTTTGGTAACGAATCTGGAATATTAGGGAGTCTTCCGGTGTTGTTGCTCTCGTTGTTCAAGTGATAGAGGATAGCCATTTCTAGCAACATGGGCTGGTTTCTGGCACCATTGTACAAGGGCGGTTGTCCGGTTAGCAAGTGCAGCGCGATACAGCCAACGCTCCATATATCGCTACGACGTCCGATATCGTAATCGTTACTCGTGTTAACCAGTTCCGGGGCGACAAAACGACCGTCATCGCCGGAGCGGGCACTGATGTCGTGCTTAGTCGTGTGATCCGTTCCCAGCTGCCGCATGTTATGGAAACCTCCAATCTTCACGGTTCCCTTAAAACCTGGTACCGTGAAGAAGATTATACGGCTGTTCAGATTGCGGTGAACGATGCGATTGTTGTGTAAAAATTCTAAGCCACACAGCATTTCATACAACAGCTTCTGTATCATAACGATCGGTAAAAAATGCGTGGCGGCATCCTCGAAATTCCCGCCTGCAACCATAAACAACACATTTCGTTTCTCAGTTTGAGTGTTTTATGTCTGAAGGAAATTTTGCTCTGGAGTCTGGACCGCCGCAAGAAACCAAACTTTTAATGGCAGCGCTGACGCCTATTTTGATCACACGAAAAAAGTCAGGCGCCGACGCCTTTTTTGATCACACGAAAGTTAAGAAACCGGTTTTGGCGCCGCCTTCTTCGCACCGGCTTTTGCATGCGTACGTTTTACATAAGCATAAAATTCCTGGATTTTTTCACGCAGTGTAATGGAGTCACACAATGTCCTTAACATGAAGTACTCACCTCTGCACAGTTCAGCATACACTTGGAACTCCGGTGGGAACCCCGGATTCAACGGAGAAGCGAACTGCCATGCAAAGAAGTGAATAACATTGACACTGTCGGCCTGCAGACGCCCGATTCTCTCATTGTCGGAGTAAGTTGTTGTTAGCAAGTTCAGCAACTTCCCGAAAGCTTTCTTATACGTTTCCCGGTCGGCGCTTTCATTTAGCAGCTGAAATCGCCAAATTTCCACCATCTTCCCAGGGATCATGTCCGGATTATCCACCAGCTGGATCTCTCCAATCTGTAGACGGCACTGTGCTGTATCGTTGAGAAACGAATGTCTCTGTGTATTGATTATTTTCATTGTGCCCTCGCAGACTGAGTACGTCTCAGCGCCCAGATTTTCCAGCGCGTATAACGCTTCCAGTGATTTGTTCCTATCAACGAATGGATGGGCGCGGAGTTCAGCGAGGGATGAGCGAGCCCCTGCGTTAATGTTAAGCGAATGCTCCAGGAAATCCTTACACGCAGCCGGCATATTTTGGAGGGGTGGGATCTCCGGCCCGATGACCAATCCTATCTCTCCATCGACTTTGTAAAAATCTTGCAGATTTTTTAGTAGCGGCTCTTTATGCAGCTCGAAGACAACCTTTTCCGAGCTGTTTGGCCAGAATCGCTTGATTTGCAAGGGATTTCCTCAGTTTAGTAAGTGTACCAGCAGGCACCCGATGGTCCAGCTGTCCACTTTGCTGGTGTCACCGGTTGAGTCTGGTAGAGCGGTCAGACATTCCGGCGGTATATAAACCACATTGGGGGATCGTTTCTGCAGCCAGGTGTTCCACATAGGGAGTAAGTCTGTCGTGGTGTTCTTCAGAGAATAAGTTATTTCGGATCCATTCTTGTCGTACGCAATGTTGTCCAGATATACATCACCGGTTTTGAAGGGTTTATGAAAGATGTCGTATATGCATTCCCGGATTTGCTGCGCCTCCAGGAACAGATCGTCTGTGCTTAAATCCTTGCCCAGATCTAAACAGTTATAATATGCAGTTACAGTAGTTATACCGCGAATCATCCCAGATCAGCAAAATGTGTGCTTGTTTTATCTGGGAAAATTAAATGCTAGCAACAAGTTTATAACTTTATATTAGCAGTCTACAAGAAAGTTATGTTAAGGTTTTTATTAGTTCATGCCGGTGCTTCAGCGCACCTTATTAAGTAAACGGCTACTTCGCTCATTCATTTATGGATATATTATTGTATTTGCACCATAAACTGACCTTTAATTACAGTATCTGCAACGAAAGAATGTGTTAATATGTTCTTCAGAATTTGAACACAGTACATATTAACACAGTGTACCCTTACCATTAGCCATATTGCCGCCGGATGTTTGTCCAACTTTATCGCAAAACACAATGCATTAGAGAAAGCAAAAGCCAAACGGATAAGCGATATGCAAACGGTGGCTAAGCTCTGCAGCAAAATATAATAATTACGACTGTACCCTTGCAAAGTATTTCGAAACAGCATCAACAGAGCCGAAGAGTGCCTTGTGATATTTTACGGACGGCATCGTTTTCTCATTCTGAATACTCTGTGCAAAATACCGATAAGGAGATAAGGTGCTGTATTAATAATAATAATTACTGATGACGAGGTACTACATAGTACGTACGGGAATACGCTTATCATTTTCATATCCACATCAGCGTATTCACTGTCGGCTTTGCACATTCGATTTCCACGCCCATAACACAGTTTAGACGTGTGTTGGCGCCAGTAAGTTGAAAGTTCACGATTTTCCGGATAAGTAATGCATTCATTGTTCATTCGGTTTCTATACTTACTCGTAACTTATACGTCTTTGCTGATAATGCAGTATTGTCCGACGTATGTGTACACTACTGTAACCCGTAAAGAGCTAAAAGTTGGGAGCTACGTTTAAAATTGTTGTGCAGCGGCGAACAAGACCGAATCGTGCAACAGTGCCAATGGTGTTCTTTCCGGAGATAAGACTTCTTCTGTGCGGTTGGCAGGTTAATGAAGTGCTTAGCTGCTCGAGAGACATACAGCGAACTAATGGTGTGTTGTTCGGTACTTAATACATCAAATATTGTAGGCAAGAAAAGTAGAGCTGGTTAAAAGCAGATTTCCTCGTCACAACAAACGCATCTTTAGTTTTTTTTGCGGCCTTTCCGTTGTCGTGATTTTTATTACTGTGTAACACGGTGCAAGGTCAACATCAAAGCCCAACAGCAAAACTACAAGCTTGTAATAAATGTTTCAACGCAGGGCAGAATACGGTGCTGCCGTTGTGGTTTAAAATTGAAAAATGAGGTCACATCACATTATAGGACGCTGCTTTACCGATTAGTCAATCGCGAGCAACATATTATTCAATACTAAAAGCCGACTCCAGGAAGGCCTACTCAAAAACGAGCAAATTCGGGAAGACAGACAAGTGACACAAAAGCTTTAATTCACATAACAGCCGTCCAGTATGTGCATGGCCAACCGGCTAACCAAGGAGACATCGAGTTCTCGCAAATCCACTCCATCCCACCATTGTGAATCGTGACTGAGGCCGAAACTGCTAAACCTGTCGAAGAGCAGCAGCGTCATAATCACAGACAGCACGCTTTCCACAACTTACGTCAAAACTCACAATTTCAAAAACGATCGAATTGCGGTCCAACCCAAAGGATAACGCAGAGTCTGTACCCAGTTCGCATGCACGCCGACGACCTTGTCATGTACACGTTGGCTGACATCCGGACAACTGTCGTTGACAGCTGCAAGAAAGCGTCGACACTGTTCAGCGGGTGTTTCCGTATAGTGGAAGCGGACGAAGAGAATAACCACCGTTGGCTGCGGGTCACGGTGGATCTTACTGTTGCCTTGCCATGACGAATTAATAGTCTCCGACCATCTTTTGCAGGTTACTCCCGATGGTCGTAGGATCCGACGCTGTGTAGTTGATTAGCACGAGCTCCTCACAGACCGCCAGCGCTGCCGACAACGCACAACATTCATGTGACGGATGTGATTGACCATAGTACCACCTACTGAGGTCAAGGAAGACGCAGTATGGGAACAAGTAATCCTGATCGTTCTTGGCAATTATTTTTGGGATGCGGATTCTCTTCGCTCCCAGAATTTGTGACACAATGAACATTCTGCCGGAGAACGATCTACGAGACCGAAACTTGTGACCACCACGTGTCTCCGGTTCACGGAACAGCAGCGTTTTCGTATGCCGGGACACCGTCCGGTCGACCAACGTTACGAACTGATAATAGTAACAAAACCAGGCGGCGGGAAAATCCGCAGTGTTGGTTTTCTGGCAAAGCATGGAGGTATCCCAAATTACGCATCGACTGCCTACAAAGTTCTGCAAATTTCTCCATAGGGCGCACACCCTGAAAGCCAGAGCGAAGAACGGTCAGTAGATGGTCCGACAATTCATTCAAGGAAACTCGTGTTTAATTTTGTATCCATTTCATTGCAAATGAAATTAATCGCAAAGGAGGAGGAAATGCAGTACATCAAAAGACAAAAAATATGTGGATGTATCTACTGTTTAAGTATGTTTTCTATCGAAAACAAGGTAACCGGCCGGCTCACCTGTTCGTTCGTAACTGAGTAACGATATCCAAATCAAGCAGAACGCAACCGAGAATATGGTGCGGAAGGTCACTCATACTCGCCTCTTCCACACCGGCTGCAAAAAACAGAAAGTCTGCAATGAAATTTCTGTTGTAATTTTTAATTTTACCGATCTGGTCTTATGGAAACGCTTTATTGTAGAACGAATGCAAGCTGCTACTGTAACAGTTTGTACTCAGTTGTACCAAGAAGGTGTGTGATCGATAGTACGTAAATTGAGGTTTATTAACAGACTCTACTAAACTCACCGAACTGAATCGAATCGTTTGTGCCGACACCAAGGATACGGTCATTCACTAGTCTCGACGGTTGCACCGCGAGACATCTCTGGCAGGCTTCCTTCAACGACTGCTCATCCCAGAACATGCTTCTTCCGGCGGCATCATCATGCACTTCCGCGCAAACGAAAGTGACAGTATCGATTCCCGCTCGTGCAAACACACGGCACCCGACAGTAAACTCGTATTCAGGGCTGTTCAGCTGCCGCATGCCACAACCGGTGCAACGGAAAATAATGGAAGTTCCCTCAAACCAGTGAGCAAACGTACAACTGGCATCACACTGATCACCATTTCCCGGTGCGAACCGGCAAGTTTCGGACAAAAACTTCGGCAGGCTGACCACGTCCCGTAGTAACTGAGCCTGGGGAAAGTCGATGACGTGCTTGCGATAGACGAACTCATTACTAGGGTCAAAAACACTCGGCTCTCCGTTTGACGGTAACCGTTCGACTACGTCATTTTCAAACGCCACGATGCACGAATCCGCCGATATGCTGTCCTGATCATCATCCTGGCGTACAATGTAGAACGCTCTGGGTAGCGCCTGGATAGGAGCACCCGGCCGGAAAACAATCGGCCCACCGTCGACATCGCGCAACGGCGCCTGTAGTGAGAGACGTCGAATAGGCTGACGGTGAATCTGGTAATGCAGCCAGAGACGGTTGGAAGAAATCCATTGTGCGCTGATGGAGGGCATGTCGAAATCAACGAGAAAATTGTCGCCGTCAATATCCTGAACGTACCCCAGCCACCATTGGCCATCGTCGCGCAGCACCAACACCGTGTTCCCGTAGTTCACTTCGCGTCCACTGGAGCGGAACTGTCGGAAGTAGCGAGATGTTCCGTTCATGGTAAATGACACCGACCGCCAATGGAAAATCCCGTGTAGCCTTATAATTATCCTTTGTTCTTCACGTGGAAGATATACGCTGAGAAACAAGCTCACGAAGGCCGTTAGATAACTTTCCTTGGCGGAGTATTAGCGGCTTCGGCAAGGCGGATAATCGCGTAGTCATAACCTATTTTTCTGTTCCAACGAACTGAACCAAATCTGCGATGATCAAAAGAGCAATCACATACAAGATGCGTATCTGAATCGGTTTCTAATCTGCCTCCTCGAATGCTAACTGCGACCTGGCTGGCCCCATATCCTAACTGCCATCCGGTTTGTTATAGATTGGATTCAAAGAGACGCAGAAATCTGGGCATAGCGACACACGACACGCCCTCGTTCTAGTGGTCTCTCTGCTACAGTTATGTGTGTGTGTGTGAATTGGTATAAATTGGGAAATGTTAAACGCTAACTTGTGTCACTTGCTGCGTAAAATTTTTTCTGTTCTTGTTGTCTTTGTGATAGCTTGGGGCCGGTTCCGGCCATGTTCGGCATAACTGCCCAAAGGAAGTAAATTCCGAGCCCACCTTTGGTGTTCTCGCGTGGCGTGTAAGAGCAATTCATTATGATACGAGTACCATACCAGACAGCTTGTATTATACTACTGCCCCTAAGTTAGGCATCTTCCTACAAAGATGTGTATTTGTACATACCAATACTTTTAAAAACGGACGATCGCCATTCAGCGCCACACTGGGAATATCAGTCAAATTTTTGAAGTGGCAGATCGTGTGCCGAAGTAAATACAAATTGCACACGCACATATGCCGTTACTTTTATTTATTCGATCAAGATAGTCAGTTCAAAGTAGTGTTACGAGTACGTACATAAAAATAATTTTTTTGTTCCTCGGAAGGCGGACAATCAGAAGACACTAAAAAGGCTGTTCCAGACACGATTACAATATTTTGTTATTAGTCGAAATCTTTAAATGACCCAGATCATTCAAAAATCTATACCTTGAACATGAGCTTATTATACGGTAAAGACGTAAAATACATATGGCCGCTCTCATCAGGTTTTACAAAACACAGCCAGAGACTGCACGGCCAGCTTATTTAAAGAAGAGATATCCAAAGTCTTCCAGTCAACGTCTTTGCACGATTTCACCGATCCGTCTATCCCAAATCCATTGTACCTGCAAATTTAGCGATTTATATTCACAAATCGCTTCTAAGGTTCTTTAATTAAAATGTTAAACGATATTTATTCAGCTCAGGCGGCAAGCTTTTATGGAAATATGATCAAATATCTGCATCCGAAAATACTAGATTAGGCGAATTTGAGTATCATTTAAAGGCCTGTTAACGCCGTCGCCCTTACAGTGATATTACTCGAAAATACTGTAAATCAATCTGGCGCTCGAAAATAAATCAGTTGACCAATAAATTACTTATATTTTACTCACAGGTTAAGCCAGTGCCGAGCAAAAGTCCACTGTTCAGGATTAATCAGCGTGTCCGCCCAACGTTGATAAGCGCGTTGAGCCTTGTCATAATCCGCTGTACTGACGGGTGGACAGTGCTCTTCCGCCGCCATCAGTAATCGCCGCAGCATTTCCGCGCTCGAATCCGTTGAGTGGAAAGTCAACTGAGGAATCGCTATGGTAAGATGGCGTCTTTCTTTGGTATAGACCATCAAGTGCATCCATTTCTCCTCGTAACCGAGAGCGCTCTCGTGGAAAATCCAGCACATACCAGCAGCCATATCCACTATCGCGTGATTCCGTAGAATCAGTCGGTGACAAACGGTGACCAGTTCCGGCGCAATTTGACACCTCCACTGTGATTGAGTCTGTGGAAGAGACTGACCTCCACCCCAGACCATTATTCCGGTAGAGCTGGTTCCGTCCTGAATGACAATCAGATTCAGGAACATCTTCTTGGCCTTCAGCATGCCCTTCAGCACCGACAGCAATACAGAGTGGAAATCAATGGTGGCAGACGGTCGGAACGTCAGAGTTCTGGAGTGCCTGGTCAGAGCGCGGTCCATACACCAGGCCAGGTCGTACATTATGTTGTGCTCCGAGTATTTCGATTGGTTCGGCAACGCTGCGGCCGCACTGATGACAACATGTCTCGACGCCGTGGATCGTGCAGACAAAAGGCGATTCCAGTAAGTACAAACTCTGCCAGAGGAAAACGAACACAGGTTACCACATACGGGCCTCCACGAAACGTTTCTGAATAGCCGACTCATAGTTCCCCAGAACGAACGCCCCAAAAACACACTCAGTTAATATCGTCCGCGTCGGTACATGGGAAACATCATGCACACTGTTCGCCCCAATAAACTTTCAGTTATAAAAAAATTATTTGATAATTCGAGAATTATTCGATAATTGTGAGATAGAAAAAATTTTGATACTCAGCGTTCATAAATGTTGATGTCTATCACCATAATATTGTGATGTTCGACACCAAATAATTTTACTACTGAGACCAAAAATTCTTAACATACAGAACAACGACTTTTGCTACGATGAAACAATGACTACACCCACCTTTGGCATCTCGCTTGTGTGTGCACATCCAGGTCCATGAGAATTGCAGTCACCACCGGATAATCCAAGTCCCAGATTCTCCCCTCTACAAAACAACGGTTTATTCCTTAGTGCCCCCGCTTATGAAACTCGTGGCATAAACTGCACAACCTCAAGAGGCTTTAATACTTGTGCATACTTACAGAGTAATGAGAGTATCTCGAGAAGACATTATTGACTTACCGGTATTGTAAGGAATCTCTCCCAAAGTATCCATCAGATCTGACACCTTCTTCCAGACAGAATTATCTAGGGTTGTTGATACCAAATGGTAATTGGTATTGTGGTACGGCTGGTATACCATTTACCAATGGTATATCAGACAGGCTTCGGATGGTAAGATTAAATACCAGATATACCAAATAAAGTTTGGTATATCAAATTGCATTTGGTATTACCAAAAAGACTTTAATTTTAAATTTTTGGACTGTTGGAGCTAGGGAATCGAGTTCAGAGAGTCGCGAATTCACTTCTGTAGCTGTTACGGTGTTGCATTTTACGAATATAATATGTACTATAGTCTATAGGTATGTAAACTATGTATCTCTTCATTTTCTGCGTCAGTACGCTTATCGCTCGCTCACCACCTCAATACGGTATCAAGCGTTCGCTTGAGAGTTGGGACCAGCATAATTATCTGTATTATATCATGTGTTTTGACACAAATACCGGTTGAGGAACTGGACTAAAATTAAAATGCAGTCTTCTGTATCATGAATCCAGCTGCTAATACATGTCGTTCGAGAAAGGAATCGGAATCAAAAGAAATCTCAGTCCGGATCAGGCGTTTTCTTTTACCATTTCGGGGTCTCCGGCAGATAGTGGAATTACCTATTGCAAAATTTACTGATTCTTATTTACTTTCCAAATTGTTCGATGGTACGAAGGTTCAATCACGTTTTTTACCGACTGAAACATAAGGCCGATTTGTTTTTTATGAAAAAATCTAAATACCACAGCATAATTACAATACCAGGTATTTTTGGTAATACCAGTGGTACTAACCGGTATACCAGTGGTAGAAACTGGTATACCAATTTACCAATACCACTGTAGCTGTCCAAGGGCTGGTATCAACAACCCTAGAATTATCGGTGTGGGAATTTTGCCATGCCTGCATCAAACACTCTTGATTCCAGATGGCGGCGTCCATCGGACGTGGAGCATCGCGCTGGGCACACACCAACTTCAGTGAGCCATCTTCAACTGACACAAACATCCGCTCGGCGATCCTTGTATTGATGAGATAAATTGTACCCAGGAAGGTTACTGTGGGCTTGAACAGTGCGGCAGCTTGACGGAAACAGTTTTGTATGGCTTCCATATCCAGCTTTTTCAGGGAATGCGCCTCGCTAATTGGAACGATAAACTTGCGATAATGCAGCCTTGTAAGGCTTGTGCTCATCAGTGAAGGTCCTCGAAAAGCCGCTTGGGCGGCTATCTGCCATTTATGAACAGCGAGATAACGCGGCGCATCGTTGCCATCCAGTTTGACGTAGTATACTCCAGTCTGATAGACTGCCACAATGAGCCGCGCCGGCCGAAAGATATGCGGTCCGTCCACGTCATTCCGCAGCGCCACCTGCACGACTCGCTTTTTCTTCTTAACGTCCATGGTCTGTTCATCCATATCCACCCATGGGTGGGCCCAGATCTGGCTGGCATGGATCCAGGATGCCGGGGCCGTCGTTGCATCGAAATCAATGAACATGTGATCGCCCGTTGAGTCAACATCCTGGATATAACCCAGCCACCAAACGCCGGCACTTCGCTGCACTAACACCGTGTTTCCATGGTTCAGCACACGTTCCGTCCGTTTGGGTTCCCGAAATGAATATACCGGCATAATTGTGTTGTCCATGTTGTATCATAAAGAGATACAGAAAGATAACTCTAGGGGAAACTCTACCGGTCCAGGTGTACGCACTGCCCTACACTTTTTCCGGTATGTTGGCCTGAGTGTTTCGTCTTGACAAATAAGCAAGCAAAAAGACGAATGAGCTTTCGTTAGGAAAACTTGCTTCTTATACAAAATGTTCGAGAATCTGTCACAAGTTCACAACACAAAAGGTGCAGGCCGTTCAATGCGTGCAATAGGCAAGTGTGGTACGTATTAGCGGATCCTTCGCAGAAAAACCTTATGAAGCTCTTTAATCTACAGATACAATACCGTAGGTCAGTTGCTCTCCATATCCGTTTTCCGATTTTTGCTTGATCAGTCACAATATTGCGCTTACAGGCAGCGCAGCTGAATCCGTGTTTACGCGGTCATTTCAACAATACTGTTTCTACAGTACTGCAACAAGATTAAAATGGCCCGGAAGAAGCCGAATGACCTCGAACAACTGTGATGGAAGACCATCATCCAGCAGCGTCAACATTAAACCTCACACTGCAAAATAGATACTACTTTATAGTGCGTTTAAGTGGATTACGAATCAGTATTTAGAGAGATAATTAAGAGATTTATATATTAAGAGATTCAACGATTAGGGGAAACATGAATACATGAATACTTGTGGATGTGTTTACCGTAGTTGTTGATGTTTTCTTGTTCTCCTTTATGATTTATGATGTACCTGCGCCTCAACTTGGTTATTTAGCTAGAAGTACTGTAAAATAATGATTTATAGCCGGTCTGTTATGTAGTCGGTCTATAGCGACGTACAGTATCCGGTCTATCAGGATCATTCCCGATGCCCCAGAGATACTGTGCTTATTGTTAACACGTATAGAGCTCATACAATCGCCCTATTCAAGCACATATTATTTTAAAAATTGCTATATTAAATAACCAATTGATCAAAAGTCCAGAGACAACTGTTGCAGTTAGTGAAATTGTTCAGGATGTTCAGTTCCTGAAATGTGCGGAATGCAGCTGCTTTTGCGCTTTTGACAGTCTCCATTGCTTCTCGTCCACATTTCCCGCTCATTACCGTGCCTTCCTGGCCGCGGATGCGCTGTGCGGTTTCTATCAGTTCCCTGAACAAAAAAACGCGAGTATAAGCAGTTGTGGTGTAGTAAGAAAACCCCGTTGCGGTGCAATACGCGGCATCAAAGCTTACCACGCATGCAAATTGTAACGTAGATAATTGACTTACGAACTAACCTGAAATATTAAAACGATTTAACATTTCAAGTTAGTTCGTAAGTCAATTATCTACGTACAATTTACAAATAATATTATTTTAATATGATTAAGAGCGTAAATGGCTTGTACAACATGAATCCTGTTTTAATTACAACACACCGGCATATATTCTGACGGGCAGCGGGCCCATTTTCGTTTTCCTCTGACGGGGAAGTAGGACTCAGGTAGCAACAAGCGTCGAAGGCGGCGTAATCTTTTTGTGTACAATGTGCAACAGCGCGGAAGAATTTCACCGGTCCGACAGTTGTGTTACAAAGCCGGCCCATGACCACGTTCCACTCAGGAATGTACCATCCACATGATCCACTGTAGCTATCTTTCTCACGGTTGTAAATGTCTGGACAACGGGAACACAGCCTTTTCATGCTTTGACCGAGCTCATAACTTCGCCTAACCAAATCGGTTTGGGTGAAACTATGCGGAATTATCCCAGTGGTACAAGCTGGTCCCGTAATTTTTATACGCACTAACACAGCGGAACACACAAAATTACGCAGAACATGAACGTTCTGATTGCCGTAGGGTTAACTGCATGCGCAGTTCTCGCCACCACAGCCGCTGCAGAAACTTGCGAGGAATTGATGGCACAGTGTTTTCAGCTGAATCGCTATGAAGACGACATCGTAAATCGGGTGGTATTTCCTAGCAAACCAAGACCATGCCGGTCGGGAGTTTAAAGAGAAATACTTTTACGAATACTGTTTACCGAGAACATGGTGTTTATGGTAACTGACTACGGGGAAACAGGCTCTGTTTTCCATTAATATTGCATCATTACCTACGAAAAACAGGAGCTTGCCATCAGCTCCTACGCAGGCGATTGATACCTTGAATGTCGGGCACTGAGGTGATCTGACCTTTGATACTAGCAGCAGTCCAGAGTGTCCTAACTGCTTAACCTGTGCCATGGAGGATCTGGCCAAATGGTTCGCCGAGCGGGCCGGGCGTTGGCGTGGGAATGTGCAATTTTATTGGAAAATCGTGGTCAGTGGGCCACTGACTATCAAGGCCATCTGCGGGCAAATTTTGAATCGCAAAGGCAAAAATTCAATAAAAGGGTTGTTGCTGACCAATACTTTTTCGTCTTGCATGGTTCCTAGCTGTCAGTAATATTTTCGTTTTAGCAAATCTCGGCAGGTGAAATTCACGTTGGTTACTTAGTATCAGGTCGCGTATACGATATACTCTCTGAAAATTAAGAGCTTTCGTTCTTTTCTTTAAGAAAACTAAGAGAGATGAAATTAAATTAAGTGCTTTAAGAGCTGAAAATTAAGAGAAATTTAAGAGAGAATTGAGAGAGAGATTAAGAGATTAGGAGCATACAAGTCTTTCAAAATATTAATGATGTTCCAGTTTATCAAATGATGTTTCGAAACAGTATTATGAAAGACCGAACAAAGCGAATCCCGCTATGAATTAAGTGTACAGGCTTACAAGAAGCAAAGTATTGTAGTAAACCGTAATTAGAAGGCGCTCATGAGATAAATGATTAATTACAACGTCACTTTGTAAAAACCGGTATTGTTCTCGTTTCGGTTAATCAATCGTGTGTCATCGTGGGATATGATTGAGCATTTTCGAAAACCGGTCTCCTAACCGTAAGTACCGTACATTAGTACCGTACCACGCGCAATGCATTCACCTCTGGGCAAAATCATTGTGAATCCCTATGCACCAGGTACTGTGTGTGGTATGGTAGTACGCACTATGCAGTAGATAGACAGGTACTGTAGTACGAAGCAGTAATTGTCCAAGTGTCGTCAATCAAGGCGGTCACTTCCCAGTAGTGAATGGCGCATTTGACAACTGCATCTTAACGATTGCATATTGCGGAATGTCTTCCGGGGAAAATTACTGCATACTGGGAATGGAGGAAATTCAAAATGGTGTTTCGCTAACCCTACCGGATAGCGGAAGCCTGCCAGCGTTTTCCAACACGTGTCCGCGTTCGTTGCGGTTTACCACGACATACTGCTGCATATAAAAACGAAACGTACGTTTAAGTTACTTTTTTAACACATTTTTGACACCTAACCGTTTATGTCTTGAACAAGCCCCTCAAGTTTTTCCCTTACGATAGCAGTTTATTTTATTTCCCATCCGTTTACACTGTGAACAAGCCCTCAACATTTTTCCTTGCCATTGCAGTAAATTAATTTATCGATCCGTTAACGCTTTTTACAAGCTTTAACCGTTTTTAAGCCTTTTGCTTCAATTTTAACACTTTGACGAAAAATGGACAGCAGCTCACAAGCACCAACCTCCAACACCAAAAAAGTATGTCCCGCACACATTAATGTCTTCTTCAGTTAATTTCGCAATATCGCGCTTTCCGCGTTTCAGACACCTGAAGATTATCAGGAGCTAAAAGGTCATGAAGCTGTGGCAGAAATTACAAAGGAAACCGAAAATCATGGCAAGGTTTGTGGCGCACTGGCGGTCACTTGAAATCTATTTTCTTATCATAATCCATCATTTTAATGGCAGATTATCAACGACTCTGTGCATGGATATATTTCACGTGAGTTAGTGACTAGAACTTGGTTGTTCTCTCTTCAGTACGATATAACATAACCAGCGTTAATATACAAGTAGTAATTGTCAATATAATATCACACAGAGAAGTGTCTAATATCTGTGTTGTTGCTTCTTCCTTATGAACATTCAATAGTCATTAATAGATAACTGTTATTTAGTTCATCCGTTACTGGTGAAAGTAATCGATACCAAAGCCTTCCAACGACTGCGAGAAATTAAGGCTCTCGGAATGGCATCATACGTTTATCCAACTGCTAATCACAGACGCTTCGAACATTCAATTGGGTATATAAACCAAACCGTTTACAGCTTACGGGTTTACGCTTTTCCTTTTAAACTGCTCCCGCTTTTCTTGCGCGAGCTTAATTTTGATTGGCAAATTCCGTATTAATTCAGTGGTAGTAGAAAACCAGTTAATATGTCTAGCAACTTTTTTACAGCGCAGACGTTATGCATTTGCAGGACCGCCCACCTTGCAGGACGTCTGATTCAAGCCTTGGCTGTACGGCATCCGACACTGAATATCACACACGACGAAATCCTCTGTGTCATGCTAGCCGGTCTGCTGCATGATATCGGTATGTTGCTTATTACCCGTTTGCTGAGCAGCAAAGCATCATTCTATTATCTACAGAAGTATTTCCTTTTGTTATATTTTACTACTGAGTGCGCGGGTGCACACGGCTTACCATAGGTTTATTTTTATATCGGCATTTACAGATAGTACAAAACTGTTGTATTATACTATCTGTACAAGATTTTTGTATTATTACGCAGGATCTGTTTGTTGGCAAGGCGGTTAATACTGCACAAAATATTTAGTTAAATTTGTCTTACGTAGTTCTACCGGCGTAACTGGTACAACTGCACCATTACACTTTTGTTTACATAAGATGAGTAAACGAATACGTAATTATAGCAAGTAAATCTCGTTAAATTTATCCGCTTCGCCCACGGTTTTCAATACAGATGCCGCGTTCCCTCTCTAAATTTCCAGAGATAATCGTTGTCGCAGAAATTCGCGGGAGCGGGATTCTCCAGTATGCTGCTGAAGTCTTTTACCAAGCTCTTTAACAATCGCGATACTGGTACAAAAACATGCTATTGCAGAAATTAGAAAATTTAGTACAGCATTGCCTAATAAGCCGTAGTAACACACTATAAAATACGGTATCTGTACTTATTTACCGTAATAATTATTGCTTGTTCGTGCCGGTTTAGGCCATGGCCCGTTCAGTCATATGTTCGATGCCTTTATGGAAAGCATGCATCCAAGCGAATCATGGAAGGTGAGCGCTGCTTTGCCGTTAGACATATTATTAGTAACAAGTTAGCAGTGCACAATATGTGCGGTTGTTTTGTTTGCATACTCACATAAACATTTGTTAAATGCCAAATTACGCAGTATGTACTATGTACATTTTCAAAACATTATAATAGTTTTTTAACCAGTCTCCTACCGACACAGAACGTCTCCTGAACTCAAAGCAGCATTACGTCGCATTAAAGGCTGTTAAGGTTGGTCGCCTTATGCCTCAGATAACAGTTGTTTGCGTGTCTTATTTATAGCACGAAGGGGTAGCAGGAAAAATCATTGATTACCTGCTCGACCCAAAAAATGGCATCCTGTATCGAGAATTCAAAAATTACGGTCTAACGGGAACTGCTACTGCCATCATTAAAAAGATGATCGAGCCAGACGGAAAGGAGGCGAAAGATCGATTGTTTCTCTACCAAGTAAATCATTTCTTGTCAGCAACTGCATGCAATCTTGTTTTCAAGAGAATGAGCAACTATTTGTCTGGGATCGAACCATTGGCGTCTTATCTACATTATGCTTCCTGGGCCAGCTAATTCGTAAAACTAAAAGCGGGCAAAACAATTGTAATTTTGCTTGTTTGCAGATAGTTTCCAATAAGCAGAGCGGGATCGATGTGGATAAATGGGATTATTTAGCGCGAGACCGCCGGCAGGCCAACGAAGGAGGCTCCTTTAGTCATCAGCGCTTCATTGACTTTTCCTGCATTATCCAGGTGAAAGCAAAAGACGGATCCGTAAGCTCTGAAATTGCTTACCGGGATAAGGTGTGTAATATTGCGTGAAATCGGCAAAAGTGCGCTGTAAACAAGTCTAATCAAGCCCGTCTTATTATTTAAACACAAATATATTTTTACAAATAGGAACAAATACATATATTATTTCTTTACTTTAGAAACTGAATTTCTTAGTATGTCTATATGCGCAGGGTTGTTTCTATGTTACAGATATATATCTGGCTACTGCCTGAATAAAAATGACTATTTTTGGTCAGTTGTTTGATGACCTGCCGGTCAAAGGCATGCTGATTTTTTGTCCTACATGGATACTGTATACATATTACGTACAGACTACAGTAATTTGACGTTTATGTGTTGTGTTTCAGGAAATGGATAACTTTTACGACATGTTCAATGTGCGTTATCGGATGCATAAAAAGGTTTATCGTCACCCGGTGGTTTTAGTTCTGGACTCTATGATGGTACAGAGTAGAATGCCATGGTGGCAGCAAACGAAGCACACTGTCTATTGTTCAAGGATGATAATGGGGAAAAGAATGCGCTTTCAAACATATTCAAGTATGATCAAATTGGGAACGGCGCTTTTCTGTTGGCTACGGACGAAAGTGTTCGCTTCTTGATCAATAATACGCAACAGCCAACAGACGTCCAAGAAGCGCAAAAAATCCAAGAAGCGCAAAAAATACTGGAGAGAATTGCTGAACGGCGACTTTACACCATCATTGGGCGCACGTATGCCAATAAAACTCCTGAAGAAAAAGTTAACGGGAAAGTTAGTACTGCTTCTGAAAAAGCGCTGAGTAGCAGTTTGCGCTTGTCTACAGCATGTCATTCTGCAGGTTATCCGAGCGAAAATTGCTAACTCCGTCGCTGATGAGGAATTTGTTGCCTGGTGTGAGAAAAATCTTATTGTCCTCCCAAACGAGTTTAACTACGGGATGAAAACTAAAAATCCAATTCTGTTTGTCAATTTTTACGAAAAAGGCCAAGACGAAAAGCAACAGCTTTCTGAAGAAAAGGTAAGGATGTACTATTTTCAAACCATGGGTACTAGTTTTCAGTCTCTGCCTGTCTAAATGTTTTCGCTCTTGATTGATTCTGGCATGCCAGTCTGGCAATTTTTCTATAGCTGTCTCCCATGATGCCGAAGACGTTTTCGGAAACCGATATTTTGTTTTTGTGCCGCAAAGAGGATAAGGATTGTGATGAAAAAGATAAGAAATTTCTGCAGGATGCCACGGCCGCAGTGGAGAAATGGTGTGCAGAAAATCAGTATGTTTTAAAGGTCAGAAAGTGCAGCTTATTCCCCAGTATTTCTACCTCAAATGAATGAAAAGTCCATGAAAAAAAGTCATTTCAGTCCATGAAAAAAGACAAAACGTTGCAATCCATGAAGCGAAAACAAGAGCAAGACATTGAACAAACTTCTAGAGCGCAGACGGAAGCGGAGACGGTTCCTGTGAAAAAAAGGATGCCTTAGAGGAAGCGTGTTAGTCTGAAAGTACGAAAAGGCAGCAGGGTTTTTTTACAGGGGTTTCTTAAAACAGGTACCGACATGTGACAACTACAAGTACGACCAGTGAATACACTCTTTATTCCCTTGTAGTGACCGGCCGAATTTCTCGAAGTTCTTCAGTAAGTACGCTGCCGTTCATAATCCTTTCCCGTTTTCTATTCCCGAAATTTTCGATTTTCGACATATTATTGCCTCCAGTTAACAATTTCTCCGCTTTATTTTTCTTTAGTTACGAATTGTGCGCCATTTTTATAGCAGCATTTCTCACATTCGTTTCTTTAATTTATGTGTTTCTTCTGCTCATACCTCTGTTTCGCTAAACCAGAATATTATAAAGCCTTGTCTAATAAAAACAACAGGACCAAGCATTTGTTTATCACAGACTTTCGGTGATCTGAATCTGTATGAACCAGAACACCAGGTTAGACCGATTCACAAAAAAAACAAGAAAAATTCGAATAACTGAAAAGATCAGAAGGAAAAGTTGGTCTTTTTTGGTTTAAATTTAAAATTGCCTCGTATCTATAGATTACTTTGTAAGCATGCATTTTTTGCGGTCAACATGTGTGTATCGTTTACTGGACGCGCTTTTTTCTCATGCCCACATTGTACGGTCAAAGATGGGCAAGCCACTATATTGTAAGTCTATAGCAATCGTTTGCTGTGAAGCGTGAATTGAAGGCTGTCATCAGTAAAAATTTCTCTTATAAATCTTGCTGGTCTAAATGTTTAGAACAGACAGAGATGTGCCTCATTGTTCTGCGGTTTCGGTGGATTTCTTTGCAGATAATGTGCGGTGATGCAGATTACAAATCCATTACAAATTCCCGTTATTAAATAGATTATCTAACTGAGAAGCATTGTGCCGTAACAAGACAAACTGATTGATTTGTAGCGTTATTTTTGGCACGACAGCTAAGCGCGCAAGCCAGTTTTCGTTCACGGAATGGCAGAACTACTGGTTTTTCTTCTTTCTCCGTGTAAATTACTTTTATGTTTCATCTGAAAACAGAAAACCTGATTATACATTTGGTGCTTAGCTGAAAATTTTTTTTAGAGCACACGCAAGATAAAAATTCTTATTGCTTTTGTGCTCTTTGCGCTGATTTTGAAACTGTCGGTTTAAAAGCACGATTTATTAGCTGTATAATGAACCTACACACTTCGAGAACAGACAAATCCAAAGTGCACAACAAATTCTCAAAGTAGCCATAAAGATTGGCATGTTTCAAACCGATCTACCGCCTTAAGTTGCTCCTAATTCCCCATTTGTTCCTGTGAATATGCAGTAGCTATTTGTATCAAGTCATGAATGAGACATAATGGTATTAACTGGTGCTTTTTTAAACTTTGACATCATTCTATTAAAAACGAATAAGTCAGAGGAAGAAGAATCCCGAAATTCTGCAAAATTAAAACACACAGTATTTTACCTGAAAACCGCCAGCATCTGGAGCATTCGAGTACCGTTTGCAAACCTCCGCAAAAAAATGTTGCAGTCACACCGGCGTTCTCTTGATCCGCTCTAGTGTTAGGCCGAACACTTCCACGGGGAAAAACGGTAACGGCAAGAATATCTGATCCGGCGGCCTGTTTTCACAACTAAGTAGAGATCGATGGTTAAAGGCCATTTTTCGAGCGCCAGGTATCTTTTACTATTGTTTCCCATTAACTCGCCACAAAAGTTCATGAAAAAAGCCATGACTAATGTGGGCGGCTCGCCCCATATAAATCGGTTCCTGTGGGAAAATGACAGCTCAGGTGGTGACATTTTCCAGCTGTACGGCGCGGACAAATGTCGGCAACACATGCGGCAAAACCTTGGCCATAATTTCCACATTCTGCAGCGTCACGGTGAGCTCCCGGACGCTGCCGTCGAGATTCACGTCCGCGTTCCCGGCGTACTGGGGATAGTAAACCATTTCGAGATAATACTTTAGCAGAGTCACTTGCAATTTCCTTGTCGGCTTGGCCGAACAGGAGCAGTAATGCGGACCGGGACGATCTGAGCGACGGGCGGAGTCGAGTCCCATGGCCAACGTAGGATGAAGTTGCGGGTGCGACCGGTGAGGAACCGCTCTAGGAGGCGTTGTGGCCATCGCTAAGGGAATTCAGATAAGAGTCTGCTCCTTGGGCATCCTGGGCGCCATCGGATGCCAGTTGGGTGCGCACCTGCTCCTTTGACACGAAACGGGATTGGCAGGTGTTCCATTTGCGGAGGTCGATAATCACGGTACGCTCCAGGCGGGCGTAACGGCTCACACGCTCCCATTGCTTGCACACGCTATGTTATATGTGAAAGGTCACAAAGCGTCCAGATAGTTCTCTTGATAATCGCTTATTAATGAGAGCTTCCGCTTTATCAGCAATTACGTACAGATACGTGTAGTAAGTAGCATTATAACATAACTTCAGGAAGTTTTTAATTTCATTACTTTTTCATATCTGCTTATTTTATGCTTTAATTGTCAATTAATTGTTTTATTTAATTGTTGTTAAATGAGGTATAATAGCTGTGCTGTCAAAAATTGTAAAACTGGGTGCACAGAAATTTGTAAAGCCTTACATAGAACTATTGCTGAAATCAGTTATATCGAGAAATGAGAAGATATGCATGATAACTTCATCAGGCACATCCTGAACATTTGTTGTCAATGCAGACTCGGCTGGCCTGATTCCACTGAATCGTAGGTTTTTTCTGCCATTCTAATGTTTATGGCAAGGTTACCGACACTTTTACACAGTTGAGTCCAGTGCGTCCAGCAAATTACAGTGGGAACGTGAAAAGGACAAAATCAAAGTGCTCTGTTATTTTGATACAAGTCGTGTGGAAAACGAGATGTATTTCGTTGACGATCTTAACGATAAAAGTTGACAAATAAAATTTAGTAAAATAATCGACAGCTAGTGACCTGCAGGGCAAAGATGAGAAAGTTTTCCTGATAATGGTGCGCGGAAGTCGATGCCTTATAATGTAGGATAGAAAAATACGTACTGGTATTGTCGACAAAGTGAAATTTTAATAATGCTATTAGTCTGCAAGCATGACATTGACAGATTCAGTATTCTGCGACATATAACATTGCACAAAATAATGTGTTGAGATCAGTATTATATTTAGTGTGGAAATCATAACACTGATAACCCGTAAGTTGTAAAACAAATTAAAATACTTGATAAATTAAATAATTATGTAATAATGTCATGCTAACAATCATATAACCCTGTTTTTTTTTTTGGTCTAACGCACATATGCGCGCTGGCCGTATATACTCAAGCCGCAAGCAAACTATGGTGTCCGTCGGTCACCACCACCTAAGGCACACATACATGGTCTCCCTATTTATCAGATACATACAGAGATGCGCGCTGTCCGAACATGTCCAGGCCGCATCTAAATTTGTCTTTATTGGTCACCATCTCTTTTGATAAAATGTCCAGTGGTACGGTAGCCATTTACAAGTGCTGCCCTGCTTAATTAAATTTTCAGGGATATATTTCTTTGGTACCTCAATTTTGGCATTTCGCGTCACGATCTTAATCTTACGATCTAGCAGATAAGATTATATTGCGTTGCCCGAAAGTACGGAAAAAGTCACAGATGCTCGATGTGACAAGCGCAATACCGGCATGGGTATCTGCGTCCTTACCTGACAGCAACTTCATGGGGTGGCTACAGTAGTCATTATTCTAACGTGCAAGTATTTCCAAAACCAGATTTTACCACCAGCTCGAGTTGCGACAATAAAATTTTGATATTATACCGGGAAAGCTATTAACTTCAATAGGGAGCAAGTAAAAAAATTAGGCTCGTGCACAGATACAACGTTATTCGATTCAAGTTTTGTACTGACATGCTGCGTAATATGTTCATGGGACAAATCGCCACAAGGAGGGTCAGCCCGTTCCGGTTTTGAAACAAAGAAGGTAGAATCTACACACCAGATAAATTAAGAAATTGATTTTGGGAATTGATTACAATAAATACCTGTGTCGAAATACAAGAGGCGGTTCTTTGACCATATCAGGAAATGCACTCTTCATTTTTTGTGAAAACTGCGCGATTATTAATTCTGTGACAAAATATTAACTTTGAAGAAGGCAGCTTTAAATGGTTCATTCCGGAAAAAAACCGTGATGCGAGCACGCTACGCTTCGGTCATGCAGTGCCCGCAAAAAGCGAGTGCACTTTCCTAGTATTGTTTGCATAATAAACTGCAAAAGCAGGATAACTAAATTTTCAGCTGAATTTCGTTTTAATCTTCTGGACATACATGGTTGACGAACAACAGTGCAATTAAATGAATTAATAAGCCACGAAATAAAAAAATTGAAGTTTTAGATTTTAGCAAGTACTCAGTGTACTGTAATAAAATTTGCACTGCAATGATTGCATTGTGTACCAAAAAGAAATGCATTTAGTCGATAGTAACGCGTATAGTTTTCGAGTACTCTGTACATACAACGCTGTCGATAGGTATTAAATTTTTATGTTAGCCGTTAATTACTAAAATTTAATGATAATACGAGCATATTTTTTTTCATTCCCTACCTTTAATGGTGATCATTACGTACAATACTGACGTATTGCACAAAGTAACGCACGAGTATATTGTTCTGCGGTTCTTCTTCGCTGGCATTTCCTAATCAGAATAATAATAGCCACATGTAATATAGCTAACTATCTGTACGGGGATTTAATCGTAACAGCTATTGGACGGGCTTTAAAAATTAACACAACTCATAATTAGATTTTTTTTTTAATAATATAATTTGACAACTATTAATCCAAATTTAAATCCAACTAATGATAACAAATACATTTATCAGCCAACTAATGAATGGCGACATTGAAGAAGTAAATGTGTGGCATATTAGGGCATAACGTTCGGTCGGCGGTACCGGCTGCATAAGCCGGTACGAGAACCCCATTAAGGAATAATAATAATAAATTAATAAGGATACGTTACGCACGCCGGTACTACTGCAGCAACACGTAAGCGCATATTACACATTTTCTCAGCACTCGGCATGCGCTTATGCAAATGGACCCGGAAGACATTGGACAAGCTCTAGACACCCGCGACGAGTACCTCCTCACAGTGCAATGGAAAAATGCGTTGTCTAAATAAATATTGTTGATTAGCTCAACATTGCGAAATTAGCCCGGATAAATATCATTCTCCGCATAAACGGTAAATATCAGCTGAGCGCGCGAGTCCGGCTGTGCGCAGCGTACGACAAAGAGGCTTTAAGCAGCCGAGTGCGAGTGGTCTATTACGTCCGTCGCCTGGCCTCATCAGCAGCGCCAATTAGGCCATCATTAGCATGTGAATTGTCATGCACGAGCTCATCCACGTATCTCACACACACTCTCTCGTCTCTCACTCACACAGAGAGCAACGCAAATAGCCGCTGTACGAATTATATCACCACTTGGTGTCCGATCGTGCCGTAGCTAATCCTATATATTAAAATCGCGCAGCCGTTGTGTGATTGTGCATCCGGCATCCATACAAGCATTTCCGTGCGGACATCAGTCTATTCTGTTCTAGTTATCGTTACCATGAAGTTCACCGCTGTCGTCTGCGTCCTGGCCTGTGCGCTGCTGCTGTGCAGTCTGGAGGTGTCGGCCAATTATGGATACGGTGGATTCGGCGGATATGGTGGATTGGGGTATGGACTGGGATTTGGGTATCGGTTCCCATTCTTTGGAGGCTTTGGTTATCCCTTCGGTGGATTCGGGTACGGAGGATTTGGCGGATTTTACGGACCGTTCGGTAAAAGGAAGTAGGCCTGTGCTGTGACTGGTTTTTCTAACGGTAAATTATTGGAGATGATAATGGTTACGTTCGACTATCGTTAATGTCTGTACATCGCTCATGCTTTGTATTTGCTCGCTGTGCAAACTCCAGCTTAATGTCATGTTTGTTCTGTCATTCCACGACTGAATAAAATGCGATATGAAAACTGGGAATGGTAATGTGCAAATTCGGATACTGGTTGCATTGGTCTGCACTTTACAAGCATTTACCAAGCCAAAAACAGTCAAAACTCGAAAGAAAAATTAACGAAATTCGTCTTCGGCTTTGCATAAAATATTCTTTTATTACTCTAACAGCAAATTACGCATTAATACGATTCGCAAGCTGCCGACCAGCCAGTGGACGGTACGGAAAAAGCACCAAAACTAGAACATAACATACCGTACTTTCAAAAGTGAATAACGGTTGCCAACAAAATTACACGTATCACACAATTTGGCATTTTGGCGTAATTTCTAATCGGCATACAGAGCAACAGCGCCGCAGACTAAAAATCGTAAAGTAACAACAACGATTATCTGAACGGAAGCATCAGCTAGCGAAAGGCTGACCGCTCCGTTGCTCCGATAGCTTGCCAGGTACCGAGAAAAGATGAGTATGGGATCTGATATGCGGGAAAAGCCGGGGAATGATCTGTAACCGTCTGTTTCGTCAGAGCGTCGTTGCTGACCTTAATTAATTTTACGTTTGCGACCCGTTATATACTGTCCTTGGGGGCCGCTTAATAGCGGCGGCGACACCTGGTTGGTCAGTGCCTCTGTTTTCGCGAACTGGAAGCCGGTGCCTGCGTGGCCATGTTCCGCAGTCTGTATACTGTGATAAAAGGTTTCACTATAGCACGGTACTGTTAAAGCAAGCCTGCATGTGCCAATAAAAAAAATTGTACAACTCATCGCACATACATTAGCTACATACACTACAATCGTGTGGCGAACAGTGCGAACGACGGAGCGAAATACTCTGGCATTTTTTTATATGGTTAACCGGAATGACGGGTAGCGTTAGTTAAGGGGATCACTATGAGATGACTTTCATATAAATGGGTTATCGATATTAACATCAGCTTGTAGGAAATTTTTCGGGCTTTCAAATAGTATGTCTCGATGGGATATATTGTATTGCGATCATAAGTTATTAGTAAAAAAACAAGACCGGGTCAGCATAGGCGAAGTAAGTGCAATGATGTTATCGGCTAGCCATGGCCAGCCGCATGGCAGATAGACCTGGACAGCAGAACAGAACGCCTCATGCTGTCCTGTGGCCGGAGCCAAGCTGATTCTTCCCTCTCTAGCTATGCTCTGTCTGATCTCTATCCTGCAAAACGCGGCCTTGGGTAGCCGGCTCTGCCACACATTGCTGCCGGTCAGTCAGCAAGCCTTTCATTCAGCTGCCGTTTTCCAAAAACTTGTGAAATGGCTTTAAAAATCGATAACTCCATTGTAAAACTTGCTACACTTTCCAAATGGGCATCAGATAATGTGTTATTTTCTAGAAAGCTTATATACCGAGACACTGCCATAGTCCAATAAGGCATGTTTGAATAAACTCAAAAAACACTTTTCAAAAGTGTTTTTCTCGATTTTTTGTAAACTAACAACATTTTTATTAGCATGTTGGAGAATATAAGCTTTCTAGGCTAAAACACATCCAATGATGTGTATCACATCTAATTTGAAAAAACTTTCTCATTCGACTTCTGAATTCAAAGTTTTTCCTTTGTTTCTTGAATAGCTCTGTCCAGAGAGAGCGTAGACAAGATCGCAATACACCATTGTGTAGCCAAACCCTTTGCGCATGCAGTCAGAACAATGGAAACAATGATCTTCCAGTTGTTTTTAACCTATTCATGTTTTGCCAGACCCACTTTCATCTCATAGGGATCCCCTTAATCTCTTACGTTTTCTACCTGCCGTGCGAAGATTCGACGCGGGGTAAGGGGCAACTATCCATGGCTAGATGGATACGCCCAGCAACAAAGTCGCAGCTAATATTTGTGTGCATTCTATTTTTCGCGATCTCTGCAGGTGGCGAAACAAGGGAATAAACGCAATATTTTAAAAAAGGAAAATCCGATAGAGTAAGAGATGGTTGCCAAACTACACTACGAAAATCGTACAGAAACGGCAGTGTGTAATACTATGTTGCTCCTGCGCGCTTTTTGTAGCGGCGGACGACGTTTTCCTTGTGCTGAATATAATTGACAATTACACGGCAAAAGGCAAAGCAGTCGGGGTAATTGCACTTTTGCACACAGACTGTGACACAGTATGGTGCCATGAACGATTTGAAACGCCTCGTGTCGCACCGTTCGCAGTACGTCGTGATGCGCAGAGCTACTTGACCGTTTTGCTGATAAAGTTATCCCGCAGCCCTGTTAGCCGGTAATGACAGCCTGGTTTTTCGGCTTAAAGCACTCAACGGATTCGCAATGGGTAGCAAAATCTGCACATCCTCGGAATTCTCAGAATTATTAACTTTACACAGCATATTCAAGCAGCGGGCGGCAAACGTCCCTGGATGTCGCGGAGACAAAAAACAGCGCCACACTGGTGTTTAGTTGCTGCGCGATTACTACTAATCAATTCTTTTAAACTTTCCATTTATTTACTGTGGTTGGAGTATTTATTTTTGCGTTTTCAGATTAAGCACTGTTTATCTAGAAAATTAGAACCAAAGTTGGCTTAAAGTTACCTTAAGTTTGGTTTGCTAATTCCTTAAAGTTTCTTTTAACCCACGGAAAGAGACTTATCTGTATGCTGCTTTTTCAATGTATGTATATATTTTATTTATGATGTGGTGCACCTTGAGTTATCTATTATTTTGATGACTATTGCCTATTAAAGGAAAATAATTAAAGAGTTCAATTTATTTTCCTAAGTACAATAACAATAAATCGACATTAAAGTCAAATAGACAGACAACTTTATTTTCCGCATGAAAGTTGCTTTGCCAAAGTTCTTTTAGGAAACTCATCATCAGGGTTTGTGCCGGTACATACGATATATTGGACATTCAAATTTGTCTGCAAAGTGAATTTTGAAGGACATGTATGTATTAATCAGCCTAAAACTATAACAGTAAGCTTCTAGCCACTTGAGAAACTTCAAAAAGCTTGATAGCGAATGAAAGACATTAATGGTAGCACTGCATATTAAGTAATTAATTTGTGAGACAGCTAACGTAAATAAGGGATCGCAGATATGTATCTTTCTACTTGGAGAAGGATGCATGCGCATTGCGCATGTTTGTGCCGTACATCTCTGCAAAATTCAATGCTCTTCTGCTTTCAACGGTATGTGACGATGTTCACGAATGTGGCAGCTAATCGCAGTCCAACAAGCAATCAATCAAGATTTTACGGGGCTGGGGTGTGGCGCGCAGGGTCACACCGGCGAGAGGCTGCTCCTTCAGGGACTTGTTCAGGGCTTCAATCACGTGAGCCTTGGCGATAGGCGATGCAGCCGTGTCATCCATGGTGAAGTCAACCTCGTACGTGATGATCCGCTGGTCCGTCGTGGTCGTAGATTTCGCTTCTTCATTAAGCAAATACATTCCGGTGGCTGTGAGGCCAAATTTCTCAGCTACAACGCGACACTGATAGTGACCAATGACGAACCTTTACATACGAGGGGATGTCAGTAGCGCACCTTGATAATCCTTGTACTTGCTGCCGTCAGGCGGCTGGAGTATGAGGTTGTCGCTATACATGGTGCTTATGTACCGCGCCAGACTTAGCCATATGTGTTGCCACACTCCAGGCGGGTGACGGCAGCAATACAGGGGATTATCTAGGTGCGCTACTGACATCCCCACTTATTACTGTGGTAGTAAAAATATTATAATAGTATGTATACCGTAGTCGCACATGGTGAACGTATGTATCACAATTTTACAAACCAAGTATGTATCACAGTTTTTCTGTATGAGTGTATGTATCACGCATGTACAAGCTTTTCCGGTAGTTTTCTACGTAAAGGTACAGCAAGCGCGAAGTTTGCGCTTATACATAACGATGGCCACTTCACTACGTTTATCAAACTGCCTGAATGCGCTCCGCAGTCAGATTGTCGCCTACTGCACCGACCATTTGCTAGCCATATTCCGCCAGGCAGTTACTATTATTCTCATTGAATTACAGTATACTGCGTGCACCAAACCACCAGCCATCCAAATGCATGTTACGTGTTAAAACAGTGTGGCGTGGCGCGCCGTAATGTAAAGTTTGGAGTAGCACGCAAATTTATGTAACTCGCTGTATTGATTCGTCAGAAATTACCGGACAAGCTTGTATGTATCATGTATATATAGTACTACATATATGTATCACAGTTGTGCCAAGCTACTTCAAGTAGTCATAATATTTCATGTTTTTAAAATAATAAAGGTGAAGGCTCCGCATACCACCTTTATACCACCGTTGACTCCTAGTACCACCTTTCCCACCACCTTTGGCTTTTAATACCACCTTTTGCACACCACTTTTGACTCCGCATACCACCATTTAATTTTAAAATTTTAAGCAGAAGTTAAACTGCTATCAAGTGAATTTTGTGGTATCAAGAAGCGAGATCCAAATCTTTTGGTATACCAGCTGCAAAAAGACGGCAGTTCGAAGGCGATCAGTAAGTACCGCAATCGACGCTATGGAAAAACAGTACGAACACACACCGGAAGTTCTTCTTCTGGATGCAGTATATACTGTCAACGTTGCAAACATCGCACACTGAAAAAGGTATCCGAAAATGGATAGTGGAGTGTTGTGAAAAGAAAGAACTCCTAACCCTTAAAACTACATAGGCAAGCCGGAAAAAATAAAAATCATGATTTAATTTGATAACCTCCGATGCAGCATTATATGAAGAGCCGATCTTAAACTTGGCTGCACAGGTACACAAATCGGATGTCCCAGGCACCATTATTATTTCATAATAAACCAACTGGAAAAAAATTAAATGGTGGTATGCGGAGTCAAAAGTGGTGTACAAAAGGTGGTATTAGGAGCCAAAAGTGGTATGAAAGGTGGTACTAGGAGTCAAAGGTGGTAAAAGGTGGTATGCGGAGCCTTCACCAATAATAAAATGTGCAAGATGCAAGATGGTGGTGCTTCTACTGTACCAGCACAAAAGGAGCAGTAGTATAGCACTTAATTCAAGATCTGGTTTCAAGGGCAATGAATTCTATTATCCTTACAAAGAACGGTCTTCCAGCGATCCAGTAGCAGTTGCATTACAGCGTGCTGCTCTTCCGGGTGGGTCCGATTCACGATGACCGAGTGTCGTATGGCTTTGGGACCTTTTAAAATCCAGTACTTAGTGAATCGTTTAAAGAGAATTATAGAACAGAGACGAAAGTTTATACTTGGGGAATAGGAGGCTTTCGGGGTTAAAAAAGGCAGCTTACCAGGTGTCTTGTCCTTGACAGGCGAAGAGCCGACGGTGGAACTGGCGTCAATCGTCAAGGACAAGCTGCACTCGCTCAACAAAAAGGTTACCGTTAAGATTTGCAGGAATTTCATTTTTCTGTGGCCTTTACAGGTGGCACACGGGGAACGAAGCGTGCTGCAGTACTTTGGTAAAGACAAAATACGATAGTATGGTAGACTGGCTGCAGCGTGTTGTCTCCGCGGATAGGGCGCGGCTTTTAATGCGGCAGACCACGGTTTTCCACTGATTATGAATTTATTGTGCCGCGCATCATTGCTAAATACACAGAATCGGCAACTTGAGTGGTTTGATGCTGATGTTGCCTCGTGTCGCACCGTTGATACTATGTCTTAATTCACGGAGCTACTTTACCATTTTGCTGATACAGTTTTCCACCCGTCTGGTTAGCCGGGAATGCCAATAATTATGGTTGTTCGGCTTAAAGCACTTGACAGAATCGCATTGGGCGGCAAGATCTGCAAATCCTTGGAATTGTTAACCGCACACCGTATATTCAACCGGCCGGCGAAAAACGTTTCTGGATGTCACACAGGCAATGAAATCTTAATTAGTAGCGGTAGATAGGGGGGTCTTGCTGCAAAATACTACTGGGGCCGCTAGATCAAGTTGAACCACAGAATCTGGTACATACATACAAAAAAATGTCGCACACATTGTTCGATGTTCTACGTAATGTGTGCGATGCCCGGCCGGGAGAAGGCATCAGCCGAACCTGACAGTGGTACAATTTCACTTAGTGGCTACACTAATATTCACTTAGTTTAAAGCAATATATACTTACTTTTATGTATCTGTAGTATGAATTTGCCGGTAGATTTCGACGTGTAATGACCCATATGCATTTACCGGCAAGTGAAATTTGATGTTTATCACTCGCATTTGATCGCCCGATAAATCGTAGGACCGACACTGGCATGCTTTGGCTGGTAGTGAAAATGTAGCATTTGTAAATCCTCGTACATTACCGCTTGATTAAAAAATATAAGGAAGTAAGACGGACCTGCCAGTCCAGCTACGCAATGTAATTGTAGTGCGTACAGATTTACAACATCAATGTAGATAAGCATATACTATGATCTGTTTTTACAATTTCGTGAGGAAAAGTGTTCGTGACTAAAGCGGCATCCATCGTTTATTTATCGTTTATTGCAAAAGTAGACAGGTAACCCTTACAATTAAGGGCTAGGACCGTCATCTAGCGTGGGAATTTAGACTTGGCTAACATAACAAAACATCCATTTCTAAAATGCTTCAGCTGTCATTCCTCCGTCAAGACCGTCTTGTGCTGGGTATTCTCCTGTGCTCCGCTCTTATGGTAGCCGTTTGCGGTCAAATATGCCGAAAAATTGGCGATGAATTTAGCTGCACATGCAAAACAGCCGCGCAGTGCGATTTTCCCCATTCCATCAACGTGGACGGCATTCCCGCAACGGTCAAGCAGTTGGTCTACAACTGTTCGCAGACGGAAAGGATACTCCATGACCACCGTCCCATCAACCGATCAGCTATTGTCTACTGCAATCTACTGCGAAACAATCACGACAGTATTTTCTATAGACAACATTTAACCGAGGTTTCGCTGTACAGGTTCGCTGGAGAAGCCAATCAAAGGGCGCCTTTCGGAAAGTTTCTACGCAATGTAGAGACTGACCTTGATTATGTGACCATTCGATTCTCCAGAACTGGCCGTTTGGATGCCGGCTGTTTCCATCCGTTCCTAAAGTTAAAAAATTTGGTCTTGTCGGATAACGATATTTATGACATATCAGCCGACACGTTTCAGTCTGTGCAAATGGTTAATTCACCCCAGTTGTTTCGCTCTGGTAAACTGGATCTGGATAGGAATGCTCTACAAGAGCTTGATTGGATTGTATTTAAACCTCTCAAACAGTGGCTGGTAAGTGCTCGAAGGACGAAGACCACCAGGCAATAACTGTGCATTCGGCTCTTCCAACCGCATTTTAAAATATTGCTTCTTAGAATGATACTTTGTCCAGTACCTAATTCGCTAAATCTGATAATCAACAGAATGGTTTTAATTCAGAGCTGTCGTATAATCGCGTGAAGAGCGTAACTCAGCGAAATGCCGAAGGGTGTACGAGAAATTGGTACTATAGACCGGATTATTTCCATAACCCTCAAGCGCCATAAATGTAAACATACTTTTGAGAGAAGTTATCCAAACAATATGCTGACCAATGGTTTTCTTGGTCAGATCCTTATTAGAGCAATGGTGGATGGTTAACCTGAGACAAAAAACCAGTGGGCGGTTGACTAAGGTCAAGGTTGCAGTACAGTACCTTTTGCGCATCTACGTAAAGTACTCTGTAGAAGTACTTCGACTGCGATCTTTTGTCTGATTTGAGGTCCTGTATGCACCCAGCCCGATCCGCTAGAAATCCAGTGCAACAAAGGGATGCTGTCTTTATCGGAGTCGTGTACAATTCTTAAGGTTAGCATTCGTGTACAATTCTTAAGGTTTGTCAAGGATAATTTTTTCGGCGAAGTACCCACTGCGACAGTAGCCGTGGCAATAATTCCCATTAAGAAATGGGTCGACGAACATTTGGCCTGCCCACTGGGGGCGCCCTTATTCGCCAACTGTACGGCAGGAAGTGTGTCGTTTTCCCAGACACCTCTGAATTCTGCGAAATCAACGGTTCTCCATATTATTGGTGATGCATCGCTCCGCTGTCGCGAATTAGTAATTGGGCTGCACGAGCACTTGACCAACGATAAGGGCTCATCGGTCAAGCACGATGCAGCGTACAGTTCTACGCACGACGCCATTGTTGCCGTTTGCCAGCATGGTCAAATTGTTCTATCTGAATCCAGTCCTCGCACATCCACAAGGATGCATCTAACTTATTACGCAGCACCAAACGAGGCCTGTCAAAAGAAGTACCGAGAGTTCTTGAATCACATCCAGCAAACGCAGTCAGACCAGCAGTAATTTTTATAATAATGCACTGATATTTTCTGTCGGTTTGACTTTGGCACTATCTGCACCACTATAAATCACCATTTTTCCGCAGTGCTTTGTTGTTTTTTGTGCCTTGTTCATAAGAGCAATTCGCTTATAGGTGGAAGAAATACAAAGTTTTCGTTCGAAAAATCAACACCAAGTAAAACAAAATATGTACGGGTATGAAACGTACAAACATGGTAGTTAAAAACTTGAAATGTATGAACAAATAGTCGACACTCAATCCGTACGTACAGGCTTCTAATAGGGAAAAACAACTCATGTACATGCCGACACGAACCCAAATCAGACGCGCACACAGAATTGTTTGTTCTAATGTATTCCTAGAATATTCTGAAACCGGTTGCAGGTAAATAAAATCGTTATTACTCGCGTTTCTTGAGCAGCGAATTTTAGCTACAGGCTCCGGAATCGAGAAGCGCCAAAAGGTGCAGTGAGCTTCCCTAGACACATAGGTCAGGTGAAATTGGTTGGAGCATTTTTGAAGTTCCGTGTCAGTTTAAGTATCACCATTGCGTATCTCCAGATACTCTGTACAGTCAACGGTATTCTTTTCGCTGACTTTCCGGTAGCCGGCAGGTGTCGCACCACTTTTTGCATGGTATGAGACTGTAAGTGCGCTTATGACTGGCAGTGCACAGTCAGCACAGATGAACACGCGATTTCTCCAAATGCTGAATATTTCTAAAGCTCTCAAATACTCGTGCCGTTAACTGTCTACTGTGTCCACCAAATCCGAGACGAATTGCATTTGCCCTGTTCGGCAGTGTATTTGTTACGATTGGTGTTTTACAAAAGTGCAGTGTTAAGAATTTAACTTCCTACGTATCCATGGAGCGTTTTGTTCTTTACTTGATCAAATTCAAATCTAAACAATAATATAACAAAAGCATCCTGTCTGTCTGGCATAGTGCATTCATGTGTTGCCGTGCATCCTGTCAAAATATTTGTAAAAAAGGCTGAGTGGGAGTTTTGGCAGGACTATCCCATCGCAATCAACCATTCAAGGCACCAAGAGGCTACAAGTGGACGCCGGCGATGGGCTGCCCCTTCATGGACTTGTTGATGGCTGCAACTACTTGGGCCTTGGTGAAATGCGGTGAGGCGTCGTCCGTAATGAAGTCTACTTCGTACGTGATGGTCCGTTGGTCTTTCATGTCCGTAGATTTCGCTTCTTCCTTAAGGAAGAAGATGCCTTCGGTTTTGCTGTGGAACTGCTTAGCTGCAAGGCAACACACGTTACACCGATGGTGAGGACTAGGAGGGTATGTAGTCCATGTACTATATTATAAAAATCTCACAGCACACTGTTCTAAAGCTGTGAGCCTATACCTGCCAATTAACTGGGTAAAATATTAAATTATAGCGCCAATTAACTGCGAGTACCAGAATTGTAAGATTCAGATGCAAATAAATAAAAAAAGGAAGCAGATGCAAAATAGTAATTCTGTTAAATTATAATTATAGATACGTTTCTGTTAAAATTATAATTATATCTGTAGATAGTATAATAAAAAATTATAAATATCTTTCGCCATCAGCGGTACTCGAAATCTGGGTTTTCAGGACATTAGATCATTAATAACATTTTCCAATTTTTTCTTACAAAGAACGGTCTTCCAGCGAGCCAGTAGCAGCTGCATTAGAGCGTCCTGCTCCTCCGGGTGGGGGTGATCCCTGATGACAGAGTGGCGGATGGTTTTGATATCTGTTGGAACAGAACGTAATAAGGAAACCGTTTTAGCAGAATCCCTTCGTAACAGAAAATAAAATTCATACAAGTGAAATAAAATCGTTCCGGGATTTAAAAAAAAGCAACCTACCTGGTATCTTATTCGCGCCTATCGTCCAGGATAAGCTGCACACGCCCAGCAACAAGGTCACGGCTAAGATTTGCAGGGATTGCATTTTCCCGTGGTAAAATGATAACGAAAATATAAGTTACGGTACTTCGAAGAAAGAAATTTAACCTCAAATGATCGATCGGCTGTAGATTTGTAGCGCGTTGGCACTAGTGAGTCGAGCGCGCTTTTTATAGCGGCAGAAGACGCTTTTCCCAGCAAGCATGAATTCCATTTGCCGCGCATTCTTGATATTACACAAAACAGGCAAATAACCGGAAAGGTTGGATGCTGTGGTAGCCTCGTGTCGCACCGTTGGTATACTCACTATACGGGCCCAATGCACGGAACTACTTGACGATTTTGCTGATATCGTTTTCCCAGTGCTGGGTTAGCCGGTAACAACGACGGTAGCCCGGCTGTTCGGCTTAAAGCACTCGACTGTTTCGCATCAGGCAGCAAAACCTGCACACACAATTTTGCATCAATTACGTTTACCGCTGCCGCGGTGCTACTGAAAACAAAACGATGCGATAGCGGCTACCTATCTGCTGCGAATTTCTATCAAGTATTTCTTTGGACATTTCTGCTGTTATTTCATATAAAATTCACCGATGCGAATGTAATGCATCGCCTTACGGTTAGCAGTACTCTAGTTACTCTAGTAAGGCGACAAAAAGAAAAGCAAACAGTCGTGAGAACAAAAAAAAATAGTCTGGAAAAGAAAAACAAGTGCACATGCTTATTGTTATTTTTGCAATAATTACCCACTACTATCGTGTCGTTTTGTAACAAAACGCAGTTTCCGCGGCAGCCGGGGAGTTTTGTCGCCGGCTGTTTGAATAACTTTGTATTGTGAAATTTGATAATACTGATTACTGAATCTGCTGCTAATTTTGCTGCATATTATGCGAAACAGTTAAGTGCTTTAAGCCGAACAGCAGGACGGTAGTTACCGGCTAACCAGGGGTTGGGAAAATGGTGTCAGCAAAATATTCCAGCAGTTCCGTGCATCAAAGTACATTACCAACGGTGCGGCACGATGCTTACGATTTATATTACAGCAACATGAAGTTATATGCACAATTTGGGGAAGACAGGTGCATAATGAGACTTTTGGTGCACGTAAAGGCTTTAAACTTTTGGAATTTTCATGCAGCTGTGACCCAATCGGATGTTTTCACGCCAAAGTACACAAATTATCTGGCTACAGAGCAACAAATATCCTAAATTAAATGCAAAACAATGTTTAGGAGGGCGCAAAATTCGAAGTTTTCGTGCCAGTACATCAAATTGGTACCATGTATCGATATCGAATCAAAAAAATGGAGATGTGGCATCGCATACAAAATTATTGGGGGCTCCCCGTACTGACAATTTATTTTCGCTTCTACGCGCTGTGCTGCATTGAATTACCGGACAATTTCCTTGAACTCATACAACTGAAACTGCCGCATTAACCTATCGTGTTATAAAGTCACGCTACTCTAAAGCAGGAAGACTGCTAGTTCACTCCACAAGTCTATAAACCCTGGTGCAGAGAATTATCCCTTTTCATGCAGTACTGGGTGATATACCTTGACCAGTTAACACGGTTTATCATAATGGCACGGCGTGTAATCGGACTGTTTCTAAAGGATTTCGGACGTATTTTTAAAATGAAAACAGTTATTCGAATATCATTGGTGCTAGTACAGTAGTACTTCATCCAATTTTTCATTTGTTATTAGTTTTGATTACCGGTGCCTAATTCAATTCGAAAGCTGTGATATTCGTGTATTTATTTCACGTTTTCAGCTGAAAATCTGATACCCACTGGAAGCACTCGTTATCTTGTCATCGCATAATCACCATCGATCTTACTAACCGGTCAAAACAGACAACGGGAATACAGTTTTATATGCACAACAAAATAAATTTTATGCGCACTACGTTTATGGTTTGGAGCAGTAGCTGCTGCGTAGCTGCTCATGCGCCTCCTTGATCGCTGTCACAGCGTCTTGACCACATTTCCCGCCAAATTCGACACCATCCGCGCCACTGATGCGTTCCACGGTTACTTTCAACTGCCTGAAAGGAGACCGGATAGAAATAGAGTCTAACTCCATTGCTGATGGATTCACGGAACAATAAATTTATTTAAAATTATGTGCGTAACTTGGTTTTAATTAAACAGCCAGTTAAACCTTCTGTGCACTGCCCGCAACTTGTTGGGAACCTACTCGCAGATATTCTGATGGGCAACGGACGCATTTCCATTCTCTTCATGTGGAGCATACGGTTTCAGAAAGCAGCAGGAGAAGAACTTGGACTGATCTGGCGGAGAACAGTGTGTGACAGCGCGGAAGAATTTCACCGGTCCTACGGTTGTGTTGGACAGGCCACCGGTGACAATTAGCCACTCCGGTCCGTACCATCCGCGGTAAGTGTCCTTCTCGCTGTTGTATACCTCAGGACAACGGGAATATAGTTTTTTCATGCAGTTTCCCAGCTCCACGCCCCGACTACAACAAAGCCCGTTAACATGAAAAACAGTAAGTATTTCGTTACCGAGCTATGGTGGCAATGCTTTGGTTTACCGGCAGTAGGCGTCAGCAGACGGTCTGTATTGTTGGAGATCCGCCTCGGATACCGGCCACATGGAGCTGTCAGCAGTAGGAGGCAGCAGGCGATTATGGTAGTCAGCGTCATCACTCATCACGGTGCAGTTCGTCGCATTGTGACTGGAGTCCATCGCAAGTTTCCCCAACGATGGGCGGGGCCAGGAAAACGAATATGATTAATGCTGCGACGATTGCCAGGTTCATGTTGTGCTACAGAAAAGTATGTTGTGCTGCAGTCGTGCTGGTAAACGGTGTATGTGCCCTTTCTGCGAGAATGGTACGACGAACGCAGTGTTAAAACCTGCGGAGTGCGGACTGTAATATAATATAAGTTAAACAGCTCTGATCGATTTTGCTGCACCAGCTGTTGCCCGACTTTTGTTATCTGTGCCAAAATAATAATCTCTGATTTTTGTTCCGCCTGCTACACATCAGGAATGTTATCCACACACGCACATATCGGCAGGCATAAAGTTGTGTACTTTGTGTTACCAGTACGAACACTCAACACCTGCTAATCTTGATGCTATTAATTAGTGTAAACCTGCGCAGGCGAATTGTTAGCTATGCTGGCGGAGGCCGAATAAAACATTCACCTGCTAGTCTATGCTTGAAAGTACTTAACGGCGAATCGTCCACGGTTTACTACATATGCAGTACAGGTTGTTGCAAGGTATTTTCTTTGCCACACCAAACGATGCGGCGACGCTACTAAATTTAATCGTGTCTGCTGCGCTTTGCAGTCTGTCACAGACAAGTCGTCTGATAGCTGCCCCGTTACAGTTTTATCAAGCTGAAGAATCTTATGGGAAATCGCACTTTCGAGCGTCTTGTTTAAATTTTCCGGTCCGTGTGCTACAGCGGTCCAGGCCCAGGGACACTTTTCAACTGTCTTCGAGCAACTAACGCGGGACCAGGTAGCGACAGCAGCACGTGCATTGCGAAACCGTTTTAACGCTGAGATATCCTAATATTCTTCAATTGAAGAGCTAAAATAAGTCAGTCGGTCTGTGGTTCAAAATTTGATACTTAAACCAATAAACAACGAGTAATAGCAGCATCGGTAAAGTCGCGCTGTTACATAGTCGTATGGCTATTTCCGCTTATCGAGTGAGAAAAGCTAAAAGTTGTACAGTACGAAAGACTTCGTATTTAAACCCAGTCGCACCATTAGCGCCAAGCTGTTATAGTAATCTTAGTAAGCGTCAAGCTGCCATAGTAATCGCAATAATGCCAATAACAAAGTATTCAACGAGCTAACATTGATTAAAGTTCATTGGTGGAGTTCTACTTGTTTTCAAGCCCACTTTCTGTGCAAACTTGTTACTTGTATAAGACGACTGCCGGAGCCATATAAATGTTCAATTGCTTATTCCACCACTTCTTACATTAGCTAGTTGTACAATTATTCTGGCATTCTCGTGTAACGCATTAAACATAACTGCAGAGAACGATGCGTCTCCTGATAATAATCCTCTTAATACAGTCAACAAAAAGCCAATGGAACACGGAACCAGGCGATCCCGACGTTGCTCCTTATGCCCCACATCCTCTTTGCTACTTTACCGGGCCCAAAGAATTAACGTGCAACCTTGCAGATCTGCATATACCAGGGAACTTCAACTCGAGTGTTCTGTATTCCAACACCAGCCGCATTTATCCTTTCGTTAACAACCTCATTCTTGACTGTCCAACCAGCGCTAATCGCACCTACTGCAACACCATCGGTCCCAATGCTACCGCCCTTTCTTCCAAGATGTGGATGTGGGATATGACGCTGATTGGCTTCCAGGCGGAAGGAGGCGGCCGAGCGCCTATCGACGTCCTAGTAGCAGAACTAGACAGTCTTCTCCATCTGCATGTACATTATTCGAAAATCGGTACACTGGACCGACACTTTCTCCGACGTTTTGATGCCCTTAGGGAACTGGACATTCGCAACAATGATATCAGCGCCATTGAACTTAACGCTTTAGAACCGCTGTTGGAACTTAGCAAGCTGAAGTTGGGCGGAAATGCTATGCAGGCGTTTGACTGGAGTGTTCTGCAACCGGTGGCCAAAAAACTAGTAAGCTCATGATGTGTTGCATAGCCGTAAGAGCATATTTAGTACAACGGATAACCTTTTTCATGGACAGCGATTACTGGAAGTCGATGCGCAAACTCCGCCCCTGCAGACTCTGCGACGCAGCGGCCCCTTGTTTTCCTTAAATATTACAACATTATCTTTGAACCGCAACCGTTTACCTTCAGTTCCCAAAGATATCCTTGACAGTTTGGATATTGGGCAATACGGTGACGTGACCTTCGATATCCGCCAGAATCCAGTGTGTCCGGACAAGGCAGACTGTTCGTGCTGTGCCCTGAAGGGCCTGGCGAACTGGTTCGCTAATCACAGTGCTAATCCAGCTTCCCGCTGGAACAATCCCGCTGGTGGTAAGAAGTGGACGATGACTGTGCAGGCCACATGCGGAACGAATTGGAATGCTGGCAGGCCGGATGCAGTGAAAGAGTTTACGTTGTCCAATCCGTTGCTGCCAAGCTCATACGAGCCTTGCCATTAATATGTCTTTCAACAAATCTTGCCTGTAAAGATATACGGTACTTGAATAAGCGAAGCATGTTTAGGTTTCAACCGCTTTATTGGGAACTTGAAGAAAACGTATACTGACGCAGCAACAAAGCAAACGTTTCCCATCCCAGAAATACGTTTCAGTTTTATGCGTTTACATTTCTTGTCCATTGCATTTAATTTCTCCACTTTGTAACAAGCGGCTGTTGCGCGTAAAAACGCTTTTCCGACAGTATAAATAAATAATTAAGCAGAGGCAACCAACGATATAGGCAAAAAAAGTAATTATCTGTAGGTAGAGGCAGCCAAAAATGGATATTTGATACAACCCCCCTGGTGAAGTTATCCCCTTAGCAGTTCATTCCCCTTCAGCGCTGAGTAAACCATCCTACCGTTACTTGTTTGGTAACCCGATAGCTGTTTAGGGGGAAAGTTGACGCTCCGCCGACAAAGTGCGGACCGAAGTTACCGAACAAGCCGGCAATGTTTGAACGCTGTCGCACGCGCGCTAATGCAACAGTAACCTTTACCATCGATTTCTGCTCGTGTAGCTTGTTTGTGTACTGTGTGGCAGGAAAAACCGGTACAATCGACGATGGGTTTGCCTCCTAGGCTTCCTGTTATAAAATCTTATTAACCTATCGCCGCTTCATCGATACATTCAGGGCACGTTGGTTTATTGTTTTCTGCTTATTCTCTGGTAAAAGTGTGACTTAAGCTTCCTAGTCAACATGTTAAATTCAGTTATAAGCTTATAACAGAGAACTCTCATTGATCTGTGATAAATTATCACTGCAGTGAGAGCATACGTCGTATGTACTCATTGTACTGTCACTGCCAGTACTGGTAATTTTGCATTTATTTATTCATTTCTGCGTCAAGGCGATTTCATCTTCCATCTATGAACGTACGTCGGCTCGCGTATCCATTAAGAAAGGTTGCCACTGCTGAGGGTGACCTTTCATCTTGGCCACGCGACTGCGAATTTCAGATGACTGTTAGTAAGGACGACCTTTCTCCAGTTGGCGGCATGTGTCTGATGGACGATTTTCGAAGCCTACGAAAACTGCTTTTCGCAGGGTCTGCCAGTCGTCCAACAGACACCCCGAAGAGCAATCTACGCAGAATAAAAAAAAAAGAAGCGGAAAGATTTCCACCACACCACGACATATTTTATAACCAGTGTAGAGTCAGCGATTTATTTTCTACTTGTACCGGTGTACGCTGTGAGTCACCACGTCCGTCGTGCCGCGTACTCTGTGTACGAGGTTTAACAGACGCACTGACGGCAGACGTGCAAGGGGCAAGAATGTGGAGCTTGGATAACTCAATTACGCTGCCAGGTATAAGTTATACCTGCACGTCACGATATGTGAAGTAGATTGGCACGGTACGAGCTTATACCATATAAGCTCGGGCAGTGTCGACATACTTCAAATATCGTGACCTCTTTTCCGGTTATAATAGTGAATCAGCAACAGAAGTACGAGTGTAGCAGGAAAAGTAAAGCCACATTATCAATATTAGTGAAATGTTAGTATTAGTGTAGTGGTGTAGTTAGTGTGAGTGTTATATTAGCTGCCTCCAAAAAATTTTTCGATCTTTGCGTTCTCTTCGAACTTTCTCGGTGTCATGAGTAATTAGCCGATGCAAGCGTTAACAAAACAGCAATCGCCACGTTTTAAATATATCCCAAAATGGAGTGTTTGACAAACACTCCAGCTTGGGTTATACTAGAAAATTTTGTTCAGACTCTCGGTGCTCGGAATTCAAAGGCAAAGTTTCTATTTCCGGAATGTGACAGACATTGCTCTGTTGACTTTTATCCACTGCATTACTCCATGCGACTCCAGTAGTCTTCCCAGTCGAAATACATCGCGCTCAAATGTGCGTACTTCAGATAAAAAATGTCTCTACTAACCCCTGCTCCTGCTGTGCACGGCGCATTGTTTGATTCTCGCAAATTAAGAATTTAATTACAGTTGCTGTTTTTTCCAAATAGTTTTATTAAAAATGTTCACTTGGTGCCCGTTATTTTGACTGTAAGAACAGAAAGGTGGGGTATCCGGAGACTCCGTAGAACGGAACTAGATCTCCCAGTCCTCACATTCGAAGAGATATACCACTTCGTTGCCGGGAATTTGTTACTGTACCAGGTGCTCGGAATGCAAAGACATAGTGTGCAAAGTTCGAAATGAGAAAATCATCGCACTGCTGAATTTGGTCCACTGACTTATAGATCGCACAATAACCACCAGTAGGTAGCCTTATAAAAGAAAACCGCGTTGTAACTTTGCGACTATGAGGTAAGAAACATAAAGGTGAATGTGCGTTCTTCAGTTTACTTCCGAAATCATTAACCTGAACAATGAACGAAGAGCCGAGTTGGAAGCTGATATCCACACCACCACACGCGGTCTGTCCGGGATGCGTTGAAAATTTTGTTAGCCATGTTACATACAAAGTGATACAAGTATATAGACTATAATATCATTAACTGTAAAAAAGACGATTACAGACAGTGCGAATACTTGCTAGGCAACAAGGGATTCACCAGCGTAAACTCCTTTACTGATTCTTTACTCCCGATATTCCAGGTCGGTCCGCATGTGGCCGTGACGATTAGCGTCCAGGGTTTCTCCCCATGTGCGGCCCCTGCAGTCCGATGAGCGAACCAGTTGGCCAGGTCTTTCATGGCGCAGCACGAACAGTTTACATCGTCAGGACACAGTGGGCTGCGGCGAATATCAAAGGTCATATCGCTATGATATCCGGTACCCAAGGTGTCGACGATGTCCTTGGGAATAGATGACAAGCGGTGTGGTTCAAAGCTGATGCTGTGATATTTACGGAAAACAACGGTCCACTGCGCCGGACAGTGTGCAGTGGCGGCGTCTGCCCACTGACTTCCAGCAACCTCTGGCCAAAAAATGCACAAAAAATGTGGAGATTATTTTACTGCGATAAGGCAGCTCATAAGCCTACCAATGTCTTGGCCACCGGTTGCAGTCTAACGAACACTCCAGTCTAACGTTTGCAAAGGGTTTCCGCCCATCCTAAGCTGGACAAGTTCCTGAAGCGGTTCTAACGCGTCAGTTTCCATAGCGCTGATGTCATTGTTGCGAATGTCCAGTTCGCGAAGGAGACCGTGTCGTTGGAGGAAATGTCGTTCTAGTGCGCCGATTCTGGAATAATGTACTCGCAGATGGTAGAGGCGTGGCAACTTCGCCAGCAGAACGTCGATAGGCGCGCGGCCGCCCCCTTCCGCCTGAAAGCCAATCAGCGTCACATTGACCATCCAGTAGCTGAATGATAGGGGAAACGCGTTCGGGCCAATGCTGCTGCAGTGGGTGCGGTTGGCACTGGTAGGACAGTCCAGAACAAGGTCGTTGATGTCGTACGATACGAGGCTGGTGTTGGACAGAGTACTCATTTGGAAATTCCCCGGTAAATGCAGATCCGCACGGCTGCATGTTGCTCAAACTTGGAAAAGTGGCAGAGCGGGTGTGGGAAATACGGTAGATTATCGCGGGGCACTATGATCGTCAGGCCTTCTGCCGATTTCATAAGAAAAATTAAAACTAAGAGACACATTGTTCTCTAAAATATCGGTTTATAATGCTACAATAAGGTAATGTCAGACCGTGCAAGTAAGTAATAAAAAGTACGAGTGATTCCAAAAGTAAAGCTAACAGCCGATCGGTTCTTGCAGGTGTGTTAGTTAAAGTTTGCAATCAGAGGCCTCACTGTGAGGCTTGCAACAAAAAATTTACAATCCGCGACTCCAACATTTAGTGCCAACTTCAAAGCTTAGTTTACGCTTGAAAAGGAGTGCCTAGTGCTTTGAAGAGAACAAACGGAAGCGAAGTACAATGTCTACCTCCACAAACAAGCGGCATTACTGCAGCCAACCACAATCCTTCTACGTACGCGCTTCCACAATCGGCCGTTCAGGTAGTACGTCCAGCTGTAACTTTGAGCAAACCAGAATCAGTTTAGTTTAAGGAAATTTCTTATCTGTTTTTCACATCCGGTTTGTGTACGGCTGTGTGCGTCAATATCTGATTAGAATCGTTTTCAAACATGTTAAACGAAGCAGGACTAAAAACATGGGGACTTGGCCAGCCGGTCACGCGCGGTTGAGAAATTTATATACCGGTACATACTCGCCCATTCAACGAAAAGTGTATAAGAGACACATTTAAAGCGCATATTCGTGCAAGTACGTTGTAATAGCAAATCACCAGCAAAAGGTTCACACAGAGAAACCTTGTTTGTGCAACATGAGCTAAACTCAAAGCATCCACATTTTTTAATTGGAAATACCGTATCTGCATACAACTAAACTTCATCAACTGAGTCAGTTGATGCTGTGTAATAAGTGAAGTTTCTTGAGCGTTTAAAATGAAGTTTTAGTGAATGAAAAAAATAAAAAAACTAAACTTCTAATTTGTTAAGTTCACACATTTCGGCATTTGTACTTGTAAGTTGTAGTGAATAATATTCTTTTCGGGTTCTAGTACTTGTAACACTAGTAATGCCATAGAAAAAGAAGGCTTACATTATCTATTTTTGACAGTCCACCCGCATAACGAAAGTAAAACGCCTTTAATATTAAAGAAAAAAGGAATTCAAATCTTGAGTTTCGACGGGCGCATGTAACCGTCTAAAACGTTACAAAACGTCTAAAACGTTACAAACGGGCGCATGTAACCGTCTAAAACGTTTTAAACGGTTACTGACGCAGTACCAAATGTGGGCTCTTACACAGTAAATAGCTGCTATAATTATGTGGTACTACTTGAACAGTTACCGTTCGGCCACTAAAAACAGTGCCTTTTTGACAAAGGCTTAGTCTGCGTAGAAGTTAAAAGGGGGTCAGAATACATTAGGTGACCGATCTCCAGCATCACGTGTAAAACGCGACAACGGCAGGGGGTTTCCCGGCAACCGGCAATCGGCCGGAATTCCGGATTAACAGCCCAAAGGATCCATTCCATGCACGTGTTCATTATGCGAAACACGCATTGTACAAGTGTGCGATGTTCAGTGTTGCTTATTTTCTAACAGGCTCTTACGGCGTTTTACTAGGTTCAAATGAATATAAGCGCCACTGTGTAATGCGTCTCTAATTTATTTAGATGTATAATTTATAACGATGATAAAAGTTTTGCCTCCGCAACCCCGCATCCACTGCTAATACGGTACACAGCAGAATGTCAAGCGCTGCAATATCAACGTCCTTCACGCGAATGCAATGTGTCAAGATGGATGTTAGGAAAAACGAACTCTCTCCAGTTGTGTGATGCGATCTCAAAGCCTCCACAACCATTGTCCTCCAGGTTGGCTTTGCCGTTACGTCACTCGATGCTGCTTGCCGTCTTTATAAGCCGTCTACCACTACAGTATCATCTCATTCGATCTTATTGAAAGATTCAAACCAGACCAAACGAACAGCTAATAAAGCGCACAATTTCATCAAATTAGTTTTAATGTTATGATTCGCCGTCTATGGCTTCGAGCAGTAAGAGGCGCGTAACTCCTGATGTGCCTGCTTCAACGTCTCCATAGCATCTTGACCACATTTGCTGGCCATTTCGGTACCCTCCGCGCCGCTGGTGCGTTCCACGATTACTTTCAGTTTTCTGAAAGGAAACAGTAGAAATATGTAAATAACTGCCTAAATGTGAAGCTTGTCATAAGTATCTTATGGCACCACAGCTGAATAATTATTGTGTTATGCGACATACGTCGCCATGAGCTATGTTATGCGTCGCCGCAGTGCAATGTCGCATACAGATCATTATACGAATTTACGAATTTCGTACTAGCTGGTTTATTACGAGTACCGGATGAACTGCGGTGTTTAGTACTTAAAATAATGTGAATAATCATAATCCCGAAACCGGACTGTGATACTAAAGCAGATTGTTGTATACCGATGCTAAATGTTAAGAACGTACTCGCAAATATTCTGTTGGGCAACGGTCGCATTTCCGTTCTGTTCATGCGAGGCATCTGAGCTCAGAGTGCAGCAGTCGGAGAGCTTGTGTCGATCTTGTTGCTCGCAGTGCATTGCAGCGCGGATTAATTTCACCGGTCCGATGGTGGTATTGCACAGCTGGCCCATGGCAATGTGCCATTCCGGTCTGTACCATCCACCATAGTTACTTTTCTCGCGGTCGTATACCTCGGGACAACGGGAATACAGGTTTTTTTATGCAATTTCCCAAGTTGAATGCCCGGCTACAACAAAGGCAGCTCATACAGTATTGCATACTAGGTAGTACTGTATCAAGGGCTGAAATAGTGTCTGTATTGTATTGTACTATATGAACATAATACAATACAACCATAGTATTGTGCTATATGCAGCTGGACGAGCCATAAAAAATACCGGCAAAAGGCGTCGCCAAATGGTCGATATTGCTGAAGCTCCGCCTCGGTGATCGGCCACAGAGTTTGGTTGGCACTCGACTCGCCCGTAGGGGGCAGCATGCGACTGATGTAGCCGTCTTCAACGCGGCGCAACTCGGCATATTGTGCCTTAAGTTCCTTGCAGGTATCCGCGAGGACTGGCGTGCCGAGGAACGCACTCACAGTTAACGCTACGATAATCAACAGGTTCATGTTTTGGTATAGAAGTACCTTGTGCTAAAATGTGTGTGCGACGTTTTGCGAGAATGCGGTGAGCATCTAGACGCTGTGCGTAAAATGCAAGGCTTTTTGGTCTTCTACATGAGCAGATAGCAGCATGAAGAATTTTTGCTGCAACAGATCCTATCTGTGGTGGAGTAACGGTAATCTCGATTTATTATCCGCTAATGCAAACGGATGGTCATGTGAACGAAGTAGAGATACAAAGTACAGTACATAAGTACTATCGATGCATAGTGCATACTATCGAGTTTTAATAAATAGTACAATTACAAGTAAATATTTTTTCATAAATGCTTCTGATCAAGATTAAAGAAGATTTATACAAAACACTGTCCGCGTGGCTTTAATTCTCCGCAGCCCAAAGGCTCCATGCACGTGTACGTGCACGTCCACGTGTTCAGTATGTGAAAAACGTTCAGTGTTGATGGTTTTTGGCTCGCACTAATGCGCTCCCGGGTTTGTCTGTTCTTGAATAAACTAACATGTAAGCTAAGCGACAGACAGGCAGAGACATCGAGTATCTGATTTTGATTTTGAGTTAACAAGTGTAAGGATAAAACCTGAACAGCGTTTAATTTTAAATGATTATGTAAGGCTGTCGCACCTCCTGGGGTTTAATTAGCGATGACACCGCGTTTTCGCCGCATTAGGAGACCGAAAACCGGCTTCAACAAAAGCTCCGCAGGCAGTTTATGCAGTTTTATTGTAACCCAACTTATATAATCATGGCACGAACGGTGGACACCAAACCATTTTAACTACGGTTATAAATTTTAACGCCTCTTATAAAAGTGCACAGGCACAGCATTAAAGGGGAATAGTATTAGTGACCGACCACCACAGCTTTTGTTTGGGGAGAAAATGCACCTTCCTATAGTAACGTTAACGGCGTTGTTCGCCAGTGCCGTAGCTGCTGAAACTTGCGAAGAGCTGAAGGCCCGCTGTGACACGTTGAGCGGAGATGGAGAGGCTTATTTTCAACGCATGGCGCCATACAACGCGACCGTATGGCCGGTATCCGCCGCGGATCTGAAGCAGTTACAAGCGACTGGTGAACAGTTTTGCAAGTATGTTATACAGATAAGAAGCGGCTGACTTCCAGCGCAGTAATAGCGCGCCTGTATTTCCTGTCGTACAGGGACGTAGGCTAATCCGCTAATGATCATTAATCAATCGTGACGGAAGACGTCAAGGCCTACGGGGACCAATCAGCTGCGCAGTTTTTTATAGCCGCTTGTAGCAGCAAAGGCAGTTTGCCCACCTGATGCTGTTATTGTAGGTGGAACACCGACTCCGCAAAATGCATCCAGTCCGTGTATTCCCAGTGCTCAAAGGATGATGTGGCTTCCGCGGGTGGATGGTATGATGCTGAATATCGGCTTTCCTTTGGTGCGCTGTGCCGTACAGCGGTGGGACCGGTGAAATATTTACGTGCTGTCCGACATTGTATTGAGAAAGATGAGGATGCGCTGGACGCCTGTTGTAATGGTCTCGATGCTGCTGGCGACAACGAAAAGGACGAAAATGCCACCGACGCCCATAAAAGTTTTTGCAAGTAGGTTCCAGAAACCGAATTTCCATGTCAGCACTTAAAACCGGTTGATTCAGAACTCGGTATTAATATTCCGAACAACATCATTAAATTTTGCGTTGGTTTCGTCATAAGTTGTAGACACTTCGTGTGCGGCACTTCTGCACTGCGCAGGACACAAGTTAATAATTTTTAATCGTAAGGTAGAATATTTCAGATTTATTTGCTTCTGATATTATGTAGTATTCGACTGCGTGTGCTACTGTGCGCGAAAGGGTAACATTCTGTCTTTTTTCAGCAAACTGAAAGCGACTGTGAGTTATTTCGACGGCAAGGGCTTCCAGAACGTAGCTGGAACATGCGGAGCAGACGCTGCCCAAACGTTTAAGGACGTATATAAGCAGCTGCTTACCGCACACTGCAAGAAATAATCACCTAACAACTTCTTTAATCTTTAAAAACTTCTTTAAAAAACGTTTCTGATAAGCTCCACGGAGTGCCGTGGAAATGATGGCGGCTGCAAATAATGGAGCTTCCAAATTCCGATTGAGTCTCCAACAATGTAACGAACGGCTTAAACAAAACTCAAGCAACTTTCTTAACGATTCAACGGTGTTGATTTCGTGTTTTTCGCAGTGCAAGTCTGTGTCACAAAATACTGGTGCTATTTAGTAACCACAGTCTTGCGGATCGCACATCAATAAAAAATCCAATATATTACCGAAACGCAGGGTCTCGTGCCTGCCGATAACCAAAGCGGACTGCAGGCAGGGCTACCTAACGTGCATCCCCTTGTAACATTCCAAAAGACAGGAACGGAGAGTGTACATAGAAGAGAAGTTTCGATGTCTTCGGTGTTCTCTGGGGTGGATTAGCAGTTTTAGTAGTAATCTGCAATAACACAAACACTGATCAGCCGGAAATGGACATGACATAATCCCTCGGTCGCCAAACCCGCTTCACCGCTATGTAAACCATGCACTACTGTCGTTACTGGATCCTTGTTTGACAAACGGATACAACCATGTGGTGCGACAAGTGGGCATATTGACGGACCCCCGTTAAAACAAGCCGACATTGTGGAGAACAGCATGAGCGTACCGGTACGCCGGTGTACGCGCTGTGTTCTCGCAACTTGCGGGTAGTATTTTATTTAGGTACAGATACGCGATCGAGCTCGATATTTGCCTGGAATTTACTTTCTCGCTGACTGGTTGTGGAACGAACATCGGCTGGCGTGAAAGACTTCTAGTACCGTTAAATGGAATAAGTATCACGGAACAAGTTGGTTAGAACCCGCATTCACAACCGGCACTTCGGACCAATCGTTTCTCAGGGATCACCGGGACTCAGCATCTTGACGTTATTGTAATAGTAATACTGCCGTTGCGGCGTTCGTGATGGTACTGCCTAACCCTTATCACGGGCATGACCTCTAGCGGTATATGTCACTATAATGTCAGATGAGCGACTTTCCGAGCCTGTGAAAACAGTCATCTTATATAGGCCCCATAAACCGACCATCAGGCATATAGAAGAAGAGCAATCACTGTAGGATAAAGAAGTCCGCGTAATACGATCTGGAGTCTGTCAGTCTGGAGGCGGTGTTCTGCACGTGCTTCCTACGTGGACAACACGCGTAAAATCAGCAGACTCAGCACGTACTCTGTAAACGAGGCTTAAAAGGCCCTGGCACCAAGCGTGCTAAGGTGAGAAAAGAGGAGCATGCCTTTGATCACTCAACCCATATTCGTGGAGTGTCAGCCTACTGCAGTATCGTGACCTCTGCCCTTGTTGTAATGCTAAATCCAGCAATACAAGAGGGAAACTGCAGAGGCATCTGCTAACAAAGGACACTAATTAACCACTGCTAGTGCTTGCAGTGCACGGCGTGTTTGTTTGGTTCTTGGTAGTCTACTCGTGGATTTTGTTTGCTGTTGATGTTTTTTTCTGATCCACTAATCCGGTTAAAACAGCAGCCGGAGCCACACTAGCGTCGCCCGTTAATTGCTCAACCATCCGTTCACGCCGTTTACGCGTGAGAAAAATACTATACGGCCATACTATACGGCCAAGCCATTACTATACGGACAACGGGGTGGCGCAACCGGGAGACCAGATAGAAAAAAAAACTAAGGTTTCGCAAATTGTATGCCATGCACAGGCTGCATCCGATTGCAATTAATTCTTGGAGTTAATAACCTTGTAGGCTTTTGCACCGACTTTGCAAGGAAAGAGTGCGTTTCAAGATGCAATGTCCACTGTCCAGATACAAGTCATAATGACATTTTTCATACAAGAAATAATATGCTGCGGTACAAGGTACTGATTTCATATGAAATTTGTATGCATATAAATATAATGGTGCATCCACAGATCCGCTGGAGCTTTTGCAAGGAAGAAAACCGTTTGTGTGCGCAACATCCGGTTACCGAAATATATTACCAAAAATTAAATAACAAAACATCTGAACCCAATATCACGTATAAATTTTTAGTCTTAGGTGTTATTTGATCACGTCATTTTCGGTCGGATGCCACTGATTAAACGGAACGGTTTTGTGAAATGCGGACTTGTGACGCCTCGGAAACTGTTTTTTTTAATAGTGCGTAAACGGTGAAATTTGTACGAGGCGCACAAGTACGTATATGCGCATTGCGCATGCAGTCGAGATGTGTATGTGACGTGTGCCTGCGTATGTTCCCTGTGTACACTCTAGCTCTTGTTTCCGGATGGGCTGTACATAGCAGCACATTCATGTTGTGGAAGTTTTCTTTGTCATAAATTTCTTGTATCGAACTACGCCATAGTGGCATAGTGCACTTCAAAATAGAATTACACTAAAATATTGAACGTTTAGTGTTTTTGGAGAATAGAACTGCTCGGTGAGAATTTTTGAAAATTACTTATGCGCCGAAAGAGAAAAAAAATAAGATTTTGCAGAGAAAGTATGTCGTACGCGTATGTCTGGTCATTAAGCAATATACGTACTATTGTACAGATAAATAAGCTTATTTTCCTTATACGGTTGTCAAAATAATTATAGCGTTAACACGAGGTCCCCAGTGGTACGGTCATTCTGCGGCAACTGACGCAATGCCGTCAGCATATGACTTTGTGTAGCATAAAGTTAAAGATATGTCAGAAAAATGATTTTACTACACTACTACGTTGATAAACAGTTTATTTTACGCGGCGTTATCGTTAATAAATTTACTGCCGGGTCACGCCGGTTCCGGCGGCCACTTGCATGCCCTTCCTGTTCGTTTTCCTCATGCAGTACATTAATTTTCATGTCAGGCTGCCGAAGCGGAAAGCCGATTCGCGCTGTTGTTATTGTTACTTACAACTCACAAGGACCATTGCATCAACAAATATAGTAGATCATTGCATTTCTACAAATTCTATGTTTGCAGGCCGAGACCAGAGACCGAGGATTGCCCTGCATAATTAATTATAATATAATAAATGTTATTTTCCTTTGTACAGATACATAGACGATTCAAGTCCTGACCCATTTGTTATGGTGCAGCTACGCCCTGAACCATTAGAAATGGGTCAGGACCGGCGCGAACACGTCCGCTGCAGTTAACTGGAACGTTTTTACCGTATTCATTCCACCGTCGCAACCAAAACGGTAACACCGCTCCAATGAGAGTGCCAAGGTAAGAATGAAAATAAACCATAGAGGCACGGTTATGCTGGTGGCATGGCAGCTGCCGCTGGCATCACTTATTCGACGTACCGTCTTCCCCTTCGGCAGGCGGGGTCGCCGCCGGGGTAGCTGGCTGGCTGCTGGCTTTTTTCGGTCCGTGGTGCGGATACGGTCATGGTTGCGGGTGTCGCTTACACGTTGTCATACAATCTTATCGATCCGTAAGACAACGTGTGCGACATCTGCTACCAAGATAACCCGAAAACAACGAAAAACATCGTAACGTAAATTTGGGAATGAGTATGACCGGTATGTCTGTTGGGAAATTTAGAAAAACGGAAGAAGGGGAACAACTAGCTAGAAAAAGCGTCGGCGATTTCTTTATATATACAGATAGGCATTCTGAACCTTACAACACAACGCTTTGTTTGTTCACAGATGTGATCATTAATTGAGTTCGCTCGGCTTCTTCTGAATGGAACGTACATAGTTCTGGTTACAGTCAAAATGAACGTCGATACTTAACATGTAATCGTCGTAACCTGAGATATTTTAGCATTGGTCAAATTATGAGAAAACAAACATTATGAATTAGTCAACAGCCAGTACCGTTCTTTCACTATAAGTACCCTGGTACAGTAGTCTGCATCAGCATTTAACCGTCCCATGACCAAGAATAATGGAACCGGCGAAACTGGTGCTGTCATGCTTTCAGTGTTGACAAAAATGGATATGACTAAATCCGGACAGAAACCACGGTTGGTCGTCCTTAGGATAACTCAGAGAACGACTCATTTGATCAAGGAAGATCTGTGAAACTCGATAAGGAGCGATATCTTGTATCCAGAGATGTTAAACAATAATAAACTGAGTATATCATTACAGTAATTTTGGTTGCCGTGAAACTGTCGGGTGTTCCACATATTAATATGGTGGCTTTACAAGCCACGCATGGATGAATAATGGCTTCTGACTCTTAACTCTAAAATAAATCCTAACCAAAACCACGTTAGTAGAATTTTCCTGACATTATTCAAAATTTTTGTTAAATCTCTGAATTTCATCTCGAAGAACGACAAAGTGCCTTTAAATTAGATTTAGTTGAAATCTGTCGGACGATGTGTAGTTTTTTATACGAATGTATCGAGATGCACCGTACCATTTTCGCTTCCCTGAAATCGCAAATCTTTCCGACAGTTTGTATTACTGCCCGTAGCCGAGTACTCGTAGATAGACCGCATTTAAATAAACACTATGCTATTATCAGCATCAAAAAATTAATACACTCATTATTATAGCAATACTGGGCATATAATTTTTTTGGACTAGCAGTAAAGATTCTTCTGGATTTGTCCCGCATAGGCCCTTTAGCCACTACTCTACGATCGCTAGCTCAACTTCTAACAACATTAGCCGGCTCCGTAGAGCCGCTTATTGCATCAATGGCAGTTTTTTGTTGGCCTTTATTTATTTGCGAATGATGCTATTAGTTATTAGCTACAAAAAATTAATAGCAACAATGCCGATAATAACTTTTATTGAGATGTAGTAGTTAGTCCAGTGCGTAAGGAAGTTCCTTGCCACTACTCTACGATCGCTCTTATTTCTAAAAACTTTAGCGAGAGCCGCTTATTGCATTAATGGCAGTTTTTTCTTGACAGCTTTTGCTGGTTTGTCAAGCTGTAATTACGCGCGTCTATAAGAAAATGCGATGGATAGTAGGATATTTAAGCAACATTTTCTCCATTAGTCGCCGAGTTTTTTCGCATAACCAATGCGGAGCACAGTGAATCCCTTCCCGACATAATAATCAGACGAAAATACCAAACCAGCCATTTCTCACTACACTACTGCCGGCAAGAATCGCGGAGCAAGAGCAGAACAAAACCAGAAAAACATTTTGGAGATTTTTTCTACAAAAAAATAATCCACGCCGTAATACGCTGTCCCATTCCTTCTCTTTACGAGGCGTGCGGGTGGTGGTTGTGGTGGAGATGCGCGTCGGAGTCGCGGCGGATGTGGGCGGGGATCTTGTTGCAGAAGGTGATGAGCTTGAGATGCTCGTGCTCAATGTGCCCGCCGACGAAATCCTCCATGCTGATGTCCAGCGCCACGGGCGTCAGCCATTCGCGCGGTAAACAGCGCTGCAGGAAGGGCAGCCGGGCCGACATGTTGGCCACCCGGTTGATCCACGCTGGCACTTCCTGGCCGCACAGGACGCGTCCTAACATTAACGCATATTATGTTAACATAATTTCGCAGCTAATTAATCACGAGCTGAATTATTACTTCACTACGAGTACTGCTGGTAGTTCTCGGATCGTACGCGTTCAGTTTTTAATCACGCTGAACTAAAAAACAATTTTATCAGATTTTTATTTAATTTCTCTCGAGCTTTCAATTTTTCCATTCACGAAATTTAAATAAAATTATTAAATTTAAAAACTGGACAGTGTGAAAAAAAGACAAAATAAGGCACTTTGTAATCTTATTGTAGTAAATCGTTTACTGCTCTTCACTAAGACAATGAATCACTCAAGAGTCAAGTGAGCGCTCAAAAATACTGTTCAGGAAAATGAAAATCTATGACTTCGCTCGGTATATCGCACGCATGTGAAGTAAAATGTAAATCAAGCGGTGAGTCAGAAACTTAAAAGTTTGGCTGCTAAAGTAACCCTTCCAAATCACCATTTCAAACTGTTCGAGGGTAATTATTTGCAACTGTTGTTCATATTTATTTTCCGCACAATTGTTGTTTATAATATTCATTTTTTGTATACTTATTTACTGCACTTGTCACTTGTGTCACTGATTCATTGTTCCACCGAATACGAAAAAGTGCGGACGGAATAGTAAACATTCTATACACAAACATACATTTAAAAACACGAAAAATCTCCAAGAATTAGCCATAATAATTATGAAAATTAATGATGCGGTTTTAATGCAATTATCAGCGTTTTTTTTCAGAAGAAAATACAAAAATCAAATCGCAATAGCTGCAAAGTTTCACTGAGCATTAACAGCCAGTAAATAAAAAAAAATTAATATCATGCAACTGTGAGATCATCCGCTTATGTTATCTTAATGAATTTATTCTCACAGCCTTTCATAATATGCATAATTAATTAGCCATGAATAATACAAAGAGTTTCAATGAATTGTTTCTCGACAAGTACTGCACAACTCCTGCTAAATGAGATAATTCCCAAATTCCGTCAGTCCGCGGAATTCCCCTGTACTCACCCAGGTGGTCGGAGAAATGGTTGCAATTGCGGGTGACCAGATGGTAGGAATTCCCGTGCCACTCCTGCGACAAATGATGCATCATCTCATCCACATCCCGCTCCGAGAAGTCCGTATAGCCCAGCAGAATCGTCTCCTTGTAGCGAAAATTCGGTCCCAGTTCATCAATGTCTTTGGGGATCTTCTCGAACAGTCCACTAAAGGCGAACGGATGCCCACCGTACCCGAACTCCTTCCCGTATACTTCAATCCCGGAATGATAGAACCCCACACCCAGATTGTACGTGTAGTTATTCGTCCAGTACAGATCGTAGATGTGCACGTAAACCGGAGAACGGGCCATGGAGACGCAAAAAACAACACAGCGCAGACGGCCACTCCCCGTTAACAATACAGCACAGTCGCTACAGAGTACAGATTATCACGGTAAACACGGCGAGATTAACGAGTGAGATTCGTTCGAGATCAGTTTTGGACAGGATGTGCGGCGCACGCGGTGGGAATGGGAAGTGCAGAACAAGGGAATAAAACGGCAAAAACTATACTGGCTAAAAGATCAGTATCGAGGGAAGCAGCAGCGGGGAAAGTTGATCCAGACGGGGCTGTGCTGTATCGATTGACAGCGCAATCTCCGTTGCTCTGCTTCCTGTTGAGCAACGCACAGTCACACACATCGCCACAGCAATATTGATATTCCCCCCATATAAAGTATTAAACCACACACTCCACTCCACCGCTACATGGCCCTGTGGATCAACAAACACGGGAACAAGGCAGTGCTCGACGGCGGTGGATGGGTGCTGTTGGCCAGTTAAGATGAGATTAATTACCTCTGTTCACTCGCTGTTGAGTTGCTAAAATGCCTGCCAGTGTGCAGATGCGTGGGACGGATTAGCACACGGTCGATTTATTGCGGCGTCGGTTCCAATTCCAGCGGAAATTCCATCGCGGCAGTTACACTGTACAAGAAATCGCCAAGACGCTTGGGCGCCCAAGCGGCCAAGCCTATACACTGTACACTGCAATTAGATTTCTTCTTGGACAATAAATTTATTTATAATTTAAACTTTAATATTTTAGATGAATTGTGTGAGAAATATATTTAACTAATAACTAATTGATTATTGGCCACTGCACACGAATCTGGGGTCTTTTCCAGTCCACAGTAGAGCGGTGGAAATGGAAAGCCGTAGATGGAACTCCCATTGCACGGTTATCGGCCTAGTTGGCATCAGCCGAATGAATCGGGGGAGTGAAAACTGAAGCCAAAAATTGGCAGTCGATAAAAATTAAAAACCGCAGTTCATATTTTGGTTTCCTTCGTTTCCGGGTTTGTTTCCTCCTGAACGCGGGGTAACTTTATCGACAGCTGAAATCGCAACCTGTATTTAATCCGTATAATCTGTGGTGTTTTAATTTGTTGTCCAAATGCTTTCGGACCTGCGTCTGCTCATTTCTGCGCTCTGCAATTTATGAACATTTTCCAGTTTTTGTGACTTTCTTTACAAAATTCGGATCCATCGTCTGTTTCGGTTATTTGACTGGATGCGTTAGTATATTGTCAGAAAAATGTCGGACGCCAAGTATTTTACCACGACGAAGAAGGGTGGGTTGCGGAATTTCCGTTTTTCGAGCTCACTGTTTTGTGTTGGCAGTTTTTCGACGGTTTTCCACATTTTCCGTGTTTTCAGGCGAGATCTTCGAGCTGAAGAGCGAGCTCAACAGCGACAAGAAGGAGAAGCGTCGGGAGGCGGTGAAAAAAGTGATCGCCAGTATGACCGTGGGCAAAGATGTCAGGTAAGCGCGGAAATAACAGAAAACTGACAAATTGAAAAATGATAGTGTGCTGCAAATGTGTTGATGTGGAAATCTGCAGTGCTTTATTTCCGGATGTGATCAACTGTATGCAGACGGATAATTTGGAGCTGAAGAAGCTGGTGTATTTGTACCTTATTAATTACGCCAAAACCCAGCCGGATCTGGCCATTCTGGCTGTCAACACATTCGTTAAGGTAAACTATAAACAGAAAAATTTTGAAAAAAAGCGCAAGAATTCCCAGAAAAAAATATTTTGGTCGGATTACGATATTATGCATTAACTTTTCAATAAATTTTTTTAAAATAACTGCTTAGTAATTTTTTAATGTTCGAGTCGAAGAAAATATTACTACTTATACTAAGTCAAAATGAATATTCGACAGGCTTAATTCTGGAAGTCAGTGTGTGGCAAAGCCGTTTGTGTTGCAATCTGGCGACAATCGTAGTGCAGTGGAAAGACAGCATTTTATTAGATTGGGAAATAAACTGAATTTCAGCCAGTTACAATGAATTTCCGGTGTAATCATGTGAATTAATATGAGCAGGTGCATGTTCACTTTTTTTAATCGATTAATTTATTAATTATTTTCATTTATTGGTTTTTTAATTAAGGCTATTCCGCAGTTAAGGATTGTCAATCGGTCTTTGTAAATTCTAAAGAATTTTTTTGCGTATTTTTGTTAGAGGAATGTTGTTGTCTGTGATAGGACTGCGATGATCCGAATCCGCTGATCCGCGCCTTGGCGGTGCGGACGATGGGCTGCATCCGCGTGGACAAGATCACGGAGTATCTGTGTGATCCGCTGCGCAAGTGCCTGAAGGACGAGGATCCCTATGTGCGCAAGACGGCGGCGGTCTGCGTGGCCAAACTGTACGACATCAACCCCACGCTGGCCGAGGACCAGGGCTTCCTGGAGGCCCTCAAGGATCTCCTCTCCGACTCCAATCCCATGGTTAGTACTCACACCATGCTTTCTCTCCCGTACATACGCATTAGAACGCTGAGTCAGTATCCAGTGTACGATTAAATTTTGAAATTTATTTATAGTTATTTTGTATGAATTAACTCAGTTTATACGAACTGTTTTATTTATGCAATTTTCGGTTTATTTTTATACAATTTATGTAATTATTTTATTTAATTCGATTCAGTATCTATATTTTTCATATGTTAATTCAGTTTATATTCAGTTGATTCGCTTCAGTTTTTCTCGTATATGGAACGGCGTCAGCTAAATTATGGATAAGTCGTTCTAGTCTGTAGATGTATATAATTTGACAGGCGATTGTAGTGCGTTGGCGGTTGGCTCAGTCCAGAAGTATCCCAATGATTATACAGTGTAGGCAAACAATATTGATAATAAAATGAGGGTTGCTGTTTCTTATGGTTAGTGGTTATTGGTGAATAATTTTTGTTTGATTAATGGCCATTTTGTTATTTGTGTGCGTAGTTGTGATGGTGGATTGCGTTGGTGTGATACGATCGTTCTTCTGGAAAAATGCGAGAATTTGTACACGAACTGGTGGCATTTGGTTTATTATCATCTGTAGGCTAGACGCCGTTGGAGATGATAACGTTTCACAAAACACATTTTCTGCGGATATTCTGAAAAAATTACCCTAGTCTGTCTATTTACTGAATGGATTTAGTTGGATGTAGGTTTAACCGTTTATGAATTAGGAACTGAATTTTTTTCCGTTTAAAACATCCGGCAAGGGTTAATCAAAGCACAGATAATACTTTGATGGCGTAGGTTTGAGTAGTATTATCAGTGGACGCTGAAGGATATTGGAAATTATGTTCAGATTGAGACTGCATGGAAAATGTCTGATTTTTGCCAAACAGGTGGTAGCCAACGCCGTGGCGGCGCTGGGCGAGGTCAACGAGACCTCCCCGCATCCCATCATCGACATGAACACGGCCATGGTCAATAAACTGCTGACAGCCCTCAACGAGTGCACCGAGTGGGGCCAGGTCTTCATTCTGGACTGCGTGGCCAACTACACGCCCACCGACGAACGCGAAGCACAAGGGTAAGAATTCATTAAGGAATAATTTATCTTCGAGAAAAAAGTGCGCCGTTTTCCATGCGCTGAAGCTTGACCGTCAGTTTTGTTTCTTTGGATAAAATTCGGTGTTAATAAAAAAATTTCTGAGCGTTTTCGCTTTGCATATTCAGTGTAGGCTGTCTGGTTTTATAGCCAGCTGTACCGTATTAAGGGTTATGAGGAAGTGTTGCAGCCATCGTTCTACGATTGTGGTGTTATTTGTATATAGTGAGACGGGTTACGGAGAGTGTGTAGTTAATTGTTGGCAGTTTGATGTGGGAATTTAATGGGAAACAGTCTGTTTATGTCATAATCACCTGGCTCTGGTAGAAATAATTAAATCATTTACTGGTATGATAATCATAATTAAATCATTAATAAATCATTTAATTAAACGAAAGTGCTATGCGCCCGGAAAAATTCCGGGCGCATAGTTAATTTGCTATGCGCCCGGAAAATTTCCTGGCACGTAGTTAAGTTGGTCCAGTGTCCGAGAAAAAGAAAGACCACCTGGCACCGGCCTCGGGTTTTATCAGACGCAAGGGTCACAAGCGGCCAGAACACCAACCGAGCCTCCAGTCAAGCATATGTCTAAAAGAAGGAGAACAATCGGTGATTTTCCGCAATCACAGCCCTCATCTAACCAACCAGAAAAGGTGATGCTGCAGGGAGAACATCAGCTGCAAACAGTCAAACGAGTAGGTGAGAAATGGGCAATTTGTCGGTGGATATACTTTACCTCAGCAAACTGGCTACCCTTTGATGTCCGCGTTCTCGATGTCATCTGCTACCTCTGTCGCAGTTTGCTCAAAATAACAAATTAACTGGCCTCCTTGCACTTGGATGGGTAATTATGCCACCGGCAATATCGTTGTGCAGCAAGTACGAGCGGACTTAATGAATGGGGCGACACTAATTCAACCACTTTATGATCCAGGACACCACTTTGCCACCCTAAAGACGTGTTGGGTACCGGAACCGAAGGTTACGATCTTATATAGATTCTCTTGGATGGGAGCTTACAGATTGGACAACGCTGCAAGCTTGATGCTTATGCAGCCAAGGGGAATTAAGAAATGCGAATGATCTTCCATCTTTTCCCCGGCAAGCACCGGGTTCGAGCAACTGTGGTGCATACTCGGCGGCATTTACAGTTGATCATGTAATGTCAAAAACACCCGTCGAAACCGCAAACTATGCCGACGAAGTTCAGTTCAGAGGCTGGTTGAACGAAATTATTCAAACCGAAAAATTAACGAAGCCACCCAGGAAACGGGGCCCGAATAGCCACGAGAAAACAGAGCGCCGACAAGCGGTTGTGGTGACCACCAGCGAAAGAGAGAAAATTCGCAAACGACGAAACATATCTCAGATAATGCGATTGGATGAGAAGGATGGAATCCCGATCATAGCCTAAATGTTACAACTAATAATAAATTGTTTTCAAATCCATGAAGCCTTAATTAAACCACGAATGCGTTCAGCTCAATACGAAATCAACTGTATTGAGAATTGCAAAAGTGCCAATGTACTGCTACGAATGTGCGGTTATTTAACTAATAAAATTTGTGAACTTTCGCAAGCGAAAAGCGATGGCAATTAGGGCAAACAAAATTACGCGGACGAATTTCCGGGCGCATAGCAAAATAACTACGCGCCAGGAAATTTTCCGGGCGCATAGCAAATTAACTATGCGCCCGGAATTTTCCGGGCGCATAGAAACGACCTTAATTAAATATGGAAATACTAATAATTAAATGATAAATCAAGAAATCAATCTGGAAATAATTAAATCATTTACTGGTATGACAATCATAAGAAAATCATTAATAAATCATTTAATTAAATATGGAAGTAATAATTATTTATTAATAATTGAATGATAAATCATTAAATCAGTCTGGAAATAATTCAATCATCAAATTCCTTCCATTGTCTGGTCTCCTGTTAAATAACTCTCGGTTATTGCTGTAATCTGGCGGTATTCGAACAGGATTTGCGAGCGTGTGTCGCCGCGTCTGGCGCACGCCAACGCCGCCGTGGTGCTGTCGGCGGTCAAGGTGCTGATGAAGCTGATGGAGATGCTGCCGGCGGAATCCGGGGAATTCGTTGCCTCCTTGTCCAAGAAACTCGCGCCGCCGCTGGTCACCCTCCTCTCCGCCGAACCGGAAATCCAATACGTCGCCCTGCGCAACATCAACCTCATCGTCCAGAAAAAGTACGCTATTATATATATATTGGAGGGTGTTTTCTTATTGCCGCTTTTATAAAGGTGGTAAAAAAAGTTGGATTTTGTGCAATTTTTTCAACGTTTTAGTGGTACAAGATTGTCAGAGTGTCACTACTGTAGTCACTCTTCTACGATCGCCCTACGCATGTTCTCCAGAAAACATACGAGATTCTGTAAAAACGATTTATATTTGTGTAAAAAAATTTAATTTGAAAAATCTAGATTAGTTGTTGTATTAAAAATTAGTTAGAATCATATCAAATTTGTTTTGTGTTATATTTTACAGCGAAATCAAACAACCAGCAGAACTCAAACCTTTTTAACAAGTATTTTCATTTCTACAAATTCTGTTTACTGCAAATTTTTCATTTTGTTTTTTATTTTTTCATTTTCATGTTACATTGTTTTCTTTTTCCCTGCGAGGTTCAGTTTGGTGGAACGGGACAATTTTTTGATAGCCAGTAACGCAATTTCGTATGTTTATTAATTTACTGCATATTTGTTCTTTGTGAGGTATTATTTCTGTGTAGGCCGGACATTCTGCAGCACGAAATGAAGGTCTTCTTCGTCAAATACAATGATCCCATCTACGTCAAACTGGAGAAGCTGGACATTATGATCCGCCTGGCCTCCCCGGCCAACATCGCCCAGGTGCTGGCCGAACTGAAGGAGTACGCCACGGAAGTGGACATTGATTTTGTCCGCAAATCAGGTCCGATTTTTTTCTTGCATTATTTTTAAATACAAAAATAAGCATTATTTTTAAATACAAAAATAATTAACGGCGATTATATTAATAGTACGGGCCATCGGTCGGTGCGCCATTAAAGTGGAACAGTCGGCGGAACGCTGCGTCAGCACGCTGCTGGACCTCATCCAGACCAAGGTCAACTATGTCGTCCAGGAAGCCATTGTCGTCATAAAGGTGAGATCAGTTTTTTTCCATGGAATATTTCGCTGTTTATATGCTTACCGCTCATTTTAATGTGCTCATTTTACAGTATTTTTGTACCGGTAAATTTATCAGATTTTTCTCTGCGATTGGTACTTTCGTTGATCAGTTTTTCAAAAGAGCAAACGGGAATTTCTGTAGGATATTTTCCGGAAATACCCCAACAAATATGAGAGTATCATCTCCACATTGTGCGAAAATCTGGACACGTTGGATGAACCGGATGCCAAGTAAGCAGAACAGTGTTGCTCGATTTTTAATGGAAGTAATAATAATTTTTAATTGTTTAGTAATTTTAAATGATTTGCTTTAGTTTGCTTTTAAATGATTTGATTTTAGTGAACAATATTTAACGTTAATTTTCCTTTGATTTAATTGGTGATTAAATTTAAAAATATTTATACAGGGATGGACCTTTATGCCAGGACGGCAACAGTTTAAATGATTGATTTTAAAATTATTAAATTAATATTATAATGATGAATTCATATCCTCTACTACTTTAAATTAATTCAGCGTTTTTTTGCGATGTATAAATTCGTAATTTTGTTTTAAAACCAGGCCAGTGTAGTGATTAGTTTGATTGTGTAGGGCGTCGATGATCTGGATTATCGGTGAATACGCGGAGCGCATTGAGAACGCCAACGAGCTGCTGGAGTCCTTCCTGGAGGGCTTCGCCGACGAGAACAGCCAGGTGCAGCTGCAGCTGCTGACCGGCATCGTCAAGCTCTTCCTGAAGCGGCCCACCGACACGCAGGATCTGGTGCAGAAGGTGCTGACCCTGGCCACCCAGGAGAGCGACAATCCCGATCTGCGCGATCGCGGCTATATTTACTGGCGGTTGCTGTCCACCGATCCGGTCATTGCCAAACAGGTCCGTATTTTTTCGGATAATATTTTTTCTGGAAATTGCTTTATTCTGTGCGTCGTGTTTAAAAGTGATAGGCAATTAGTATAAAAAACTTTTGAAGTGTGCTTGTACTTACTGAATTAGTTTATTTTTTGGTTCTAATCAATTTTTCTGGTACTTACACCGTTTGAGGTCGTGAAAATGAGATGATTTGCTGATATCAGATGAAGAAATGCAGTGATTTGTTGGAGCTGTTAAGCATTTTACGTTTTTATCAGAATTAGTACAGAGAAAAAAATTTTTTCCAGAACATTTTTAATTTCAGAACTTTTTTTAAAGCAATTCCAAAACATTGTCATTTTTTAACTGCCTGAGTGAAATTAAGTAGTTGGTTAGTTAAACCGCGCACATATGAACGCATCGTAGTGTAGTGACTCCACTAGTGGTGACATGGCGGGTACTAAGTACTAACTGACCAGGTGGTTCGCGTCGTTGAGATTAAAATTGCACGCTGCAGTTACATAAGATTTGTAGTATATTTTTGCTGTCAAATGCTGTATTGAAAATCCTTTAATTTTGAATTTTTTTTAGTAAACTAGCGTGGCACGTAATATGCTAGCGTGGCACGTATATGCTAGCTCAAACGATCTGCAGACATGTAAATTAAAATTGACATTGAATTGGGAAAATTAAAATGGAGATGGAATGTGCTGGTTGCGGTAGGTGGTGTTGGCGGAGAAGCCGTTGATCTCGGAGGAGACGGACTGTCTGGAGCCGACGTTATTGGACGAGCTGTGCTGCCACATCGGCACCCTGGCCTCCGTGTACCACAAACCGCCGACGGCCTTCATCGAGGGCCGCACAGCCATCACCCGCAAATCCCTGCCGGCCCGCGTGGCCTCCACCAACGGCGGCCAGAGCCCGGGCGACGCCGGGGCCTCCCCGCAGCGCCCCTCGGTCATTCCCAACCAGGATTCCCTCATCGGTGACCTCCTTAGTCTGGACCTGGGTTCACCCGCTGGACCGCCGTCTATGGGCGGCTTCGCCATGGGCGTGGGGGTGCCCAGTGGCCCCACGGGGGCGCAGGGGCTCCTGGATGCCGATCTGGACAGTCTGGTACGTTGGGACAGATTTCGTCGTGATTTGTAGAATTAACTATCATTTAATATGAATAAACAGCCGTTTTATTATTTATTTTATTGGTGTGTAAATAATTTTTCTCTGCATTTATTTTTTGTTGTTGCTTGAAAAAAAGGAGTTAATTTGATTGTACGAAGAGAATTTTAATCCGTTTTCTTTTCTATAGTTAGAATAATTTGATTGTACGAAGAGAATTTTAATCCGTTTTCTTTTCTATAGTTAGAATAATTTGATTGTACGAAGAGAATTTTAATCCGTTTTCTTTTCTATAGTTAGAATTGACTTTTGTTAGAAATGGAACGTATCTGTAAAAGTACTTTTACCGTAAGCGTGTTGCACGTGGTGCAATCGTAGTGTATGGGTTTACTGAGTTCCGGTACAGACAGAGCGTTGAACGTCTTTCGTACTGATAAAAAAGTAAACGTTTTAAAGTATTGTTTTTGATATCTGGTTTGTTTTTCTGATGAACGGGGCGAAGGTGTTTAGAAAGGTGAAATCAGCCAGCAGTGATTCAAGATAATTTGAATTTTATAACAGCTGTTTTGTACAAACGTATGAGATGAATAAATCGTTAATACAAGGCATGATTTTGCTATATTGATTTGTTTTCTTGTTTCGTTAAAACGTATTCGGTTTTTGGTTTGGCGCTGACGTTTTCTCTTATGCATGTGAACTTGCAGAAAAATGTGTGTTAATTTTACAACGGGAAGATAATATTTACCAGAATTTCAAACGGCGCGAGTTCCTGTTGATAACTTACTCCGTGATTCGACGTTTCTGTGTGTGTTTGACAGCTGGGACCGTCGGAGCCGTCGAGTGACCCGATGAGCGGCAGTTTAGGTGGCGCCAGCAGTCAGATGGGCGGATTCGGCGGCGGCAGTGGAGGGCTGGCGGATCTGGTGGGATTCGGCGGCGGTGGACACACCGGACCCGCTGGCAGTGCCGGACTGCTGGGCGACATCTTCGGATTGGCGCCCGGTGCGCCCTACGTGGCGCCCAAACAGGTGAGCCAACAAATTTATTTTAATACGAAATTAATGTTTATTTGCAATCGAAATTCAGTGCGGTCTGTAACGCGTTTTTGCTATCTTGGTAATGTGAGAAATTTTTTAATAACTTAATTTTTAATAGAACCAGTCGATTCTTTGTATTTTATACGAATTGTAAAACTGACCACAGGGATTTGCCAGGATTTCCGTTTGATTATTTACTATTTGATTTTATTTATTGAAATTCATTCTGGCATTGGACATTTTTTTACTGTTTTGTTCATACAGCAAATTCTTTGTTTATTTCCCAGCGAAGCCAATCAAGGGATCCCTAATTTATAAAATTATAGAATTGACCAAACACGGGTTAGCCGAAATTTCCTTGCAATTTATTTTTATTTAAGTATTATTTATTTTCTTGAAATTTATTCCGCCTTTGGGCGCTTTTTTGCTGTTTTGATAGTGTGAAAAAATTTTGAAGGTATTTTTATGGACATCAAGCGGTGCTCCTTTTTCACTAAAATTGTAAAATCAACCACAAGTGTATCAGGAATAATTTTCCCTTGCCATTAGTAAAATGAGCAGTAATTTCTGAATACATTATTATTTTTAAAGTTTCTTGCCTTGTATTTTTCTTATTATTTTCGGTCGCTGCGAGTGTAACGGTGGATTTCGGTTGACGTGTGTAGGTGTGGATGGACCCGGCCAAAGGCAAGGGCCTGGAAGTGCACGGGACCTTCGCGCGCCGCAACCGGCAGGTGTGCATGGAGCTGACGCTGAGTAATCGCGCCATGCAGGCTATGAGCGACTTCGATATCCGCCTGAATAAAAACAGGTAAGAATTGATTTTTCTCGTACATTTTCACACACCAACATTTTCGCATACACGTATTTCAACCTGTGGTGAAGACGTATTTCAACCTGTGGTGAAGACGTAGTGCAAGGGCGCTGTCAAAGCCATCTATTATCTGTTGTTGGCTGGGCTTTTCCAATGAAAACGATAATAATTCATGATTAATGTACGTTTGTTATACTCTAATTTTTTTACGAATTGGCCGTCTGGCGTAGATTTGTGAACATTTTAAATCAAAGTGAATGTAACAGAATAATGGCGTTACCAATTTTCTCCGTGAATGAGCGGTTTGGCCGTTTTGACTTGCTTTATATCCTTACAAAATGCATGGCCCGTAGAAGATTGTAACGATATCGTAGTGTATGACTGCAAGGGCGTAGTGTTGCGGAGTTGGCGGGCTGTTCGTGTAGTTTCTTTAAAGATAACCACGTTAAATGTTCAGTATGTATTTTTACTATGTTTTGCTCTGTTCAGTCTCTTGACGGAAATAATTGGTGGAGTTCCTATGGGGTTTTAATCGTAGTGATAAAATGGATTTATTTATGCGGTGGAGTAATTATTTAATGCATGCGGCACTGGTTGCAGTTTCGGTCTGACGCCCTCGGCGCCGCTGGTCGTCCGCTCGCCGCTGCCGCCCAATCAGAGCGCCGAAGCCAGCCTGGTCCTCAACGTCACCGGGGAGATCGCCAAACAGACTCCCCTCACCAATCTGCAGGTATTCTTCAATAAACGGGCGTTTTGTGAGAATTTTTCCTAGTTTTTTGTAATTGAAGCAAGCATCTGCTGCGTTTTTTACGGACTTAAATACATAAAATGTATCACTAATTTTAATGATACATAGATAGTGTTTTGGTAAATTTTTTATAATGCTGTAAATTGACCTTTTTTGTTATTTTTTTATTTTTATTTAATTTTAACCTTTTTTGTTATATTTTTATTGTGATTTTCTTATTTGCAGATGCATATAATAATAACATTGTTAGTAATTGTTGTAGCATGTTGTTTTAGTAGAATAACCTGTTTTATAATGTTGTTTTAACTAGTACGTTTACATTGGTGTAAGAATGAACGTCCTTTGCTAATTAAATTTTTTCTAAGCGGGAATCTGACTGCATTAATTTTGCTTTTAATTTTTTCCAGTAACGGAATTTTTCTTGCGTATTTGTTTGTGAAGAATAATCGATTGTGGAAATAAATGTCGATATGTGTATTGACCGTTGGCCGGTTGTCCTCTGCAGGTGGCGGTGAAGAACAACATTGGTGTGCACTACTTTGCGTGTCTGGTGCCGATGCACGTGTTCTTCGTGGAGGATGGGTTGATGGAGAAGGGCGTCTTCCTGGCCACGTGGAAGGACATTCCGCCGGAGAATGAGAAGCAATTCGAGATACACACCGCCATTCAGGATATCGGTGGGTTTCTGTCATCGTCTCATCTTATCACATTTTTGAAAAAACAAACGGTTTAATGAAACATTTACTCGTTAAAATCAGTTTTCTTGCAGATTTTCTTTCTTAGCTGTATTAAAATAGTTATTTATCCATTAAGAAGGTAAAATTCATGATTACTCAGAACGTAATACAAAGAAAAACCCGAAACCGCTTTAATAAAAATTGTTTAAAACTAAAAGATAGTTGCAGAAAATAATTTGAACGATAGGAAAGTGTTAAGAAAATCATGAAAAATAACACTTAATACAAAGTCCATTAAGCTTTCTGTTTTCTGCCGGCGGAGTTTTGAATCAGTGGAGTGAATAACGTTTATAAAAATAATCAAGTTAATATTTAGCTTAATAATAAATCAATTCAACCAAATAATTCTTAAATGAATTAATTCTACTGGTAGTAATAAATTAATTGAATAATTGTATTGACTGGTGTTTTTTTGTGTGGCAGAGACGATCAGCGGTAAACTGCAGGCCAACAACATCATGACGGTGACGAAGCTGACCACGGACGGGCGGCAGTTAGTGTACTTATCCCTGAAACTGACCATCGGCATCTGGGTGCTGTGCGAGCTAAAGGTCAACGCCATCGCCAGCGGCCACACCCTGGCGCTCAAATCCCGCGTCCCGGACGTGTACGGCGGCGTCGTCGAGACTTTCCAGGGCATTTTATTATCCTGAACAGCCAGGACCCGGTCGGAATATACGCCCCCCGGGGTGGGGATAATTTCCGGAATTTTTTGAATAAAATTATTGTCGTTGATTGCGCGGTTTTGTCGCTTGGAAGGTGATGCGGGGACCGGCGGGGATTTATCCCCCGGGGATTATTAACGTAGGTGGTGTGGCACCTCCAAGCGGTGATGTTTTGTTTGTCTTAACGATTTTATTGTCTCAGCGGAGGATGATGTGTGTACACTGATTTCTGATGCGAAATTCCGTTTATTCATTTGATTTCCGTTGACGATTAATTTATAAAAATGGTATTAATAAAAATTGTGCTAAACTAACTTAAAATTGTTAAATTAAATTGTATTGATGAAAATTGGTTTTGTAAAAAATGGTAGGAGCACTGCTCTGTTTTGTCAAAAAATCCCATTTAATTGACGCAATAAATCATGCAAAATTTGACTAATTCTTGAGCGTGTATGTTCGCTAAGTAATTTTGCGGCAGTCCGTTCAATATTATTCAGTTCCGCTTATTAATGTACGAAAAATAAATAAAGTTATTTTTTTGGATCAAAAAATGAAATTCACGCGCGCCGTTTACTTGTCGTGTCACAAGGGAATAAATTGTGCAGCATTTATTTTGCGGTTTGTCTTGTTATTTCTGTTGAATAGGAAGGAAGTTATTAATGTAAATGAAAAACCTGCAGGAATACAAAATAATGCGGAAAAAAATGTTAGACATTAATTACTGCCAAATAAACCACCGCAAAGCGGTATTGTTGATCACAATACATTACTGAGCACGATGTTCTGATGAGGACACGTTGCATACAATAATCCACTCTACTACGCTAGCTCCAGTATTACCATCTGTCTACGCGACCAAGTATTTGTAAACAGACAGAAGCGGATAAAACTGCCCATTATTTTGGCTGCCCGTACATACATACGTACCGTAATGTCCGTACGGCATTATATTAACGCGCACTGAATTATATTCACTGAATTATTGAATAATTATACCGGCGCAAGTCCGTGCGATATTATTTTCAGTTCCCTGGATTGTTAAGCTATTTATGAAACGTGTAAAATTATTGGTACGAAAAATTATACGGTAAAAACAGGGAGATATTTCGGTTAACATACAGTACAGTTTTCACAGCAAAGGATTTCGCAGAATATCCCTTTCAATATTTTCTCCCAATACTTCTGCTGATTATCGATTTTATTATGAAAAACCGGAAAAAGAAAAACTTATACGGAAAAACATGATAACACGAGGATTTTAAATCACAGTCGCTGATTACCACGAAACAGCAAAGTGGTATCATGCAAATATGCCATTGTACTACGCTAGCAGATATAATCCGTGTAAATTTTCAGTTTAGGTGCCGATAATTTTAATTTACTGTATTTAATGCAATTTAGACGTCAGCATCGTCTCATTACATCCAAAAAGCGGTATAAAAAACCCCCTCGATAAATACAACAACGCACAGATTCCCGGGTACATCGTTCCGTCTCATCCAGCCAGAAAAATCAACCAAATACAGATCAAAAAACAACGCCCAACAACGCCGCTCTCAGCCGCGAGAGAAAAAACTACCGCAGTTGCTACAAAAAAAATCCCCAACAAACCAACCCACAAAAAAGATCAAGGGCGGAGATAAATCCACAAAACACCCAACCACGAAATCCTCCAGAAAACGCTCCACACGAGCCCGTAAATAAATAGAGAATAAATAGAATAAATTTTACAAAAAAACAGGGGGCAACCAGCACGATTTAAACGGGATTTTTTAGATGAATATTCAAAAAAAAGCCAGTGCTAAAAAAAAGGATAAATCAGGGAGAATAAATAAACGCAAAAAAAACGGTATAAAAAATACGGGATGGAATTGCAGGATAGGGTGAAGGCGCGAGGGAGAGATTGGATCGGGACAGAAGAAACAGGCCGGTGGCGGCGATGGGCGGGTTCTTCTGCGGGGCGGCGACATTTGCTGTGCAAAGGATTTGTCTTTTTGTAGAAAAATCAACAAGGCAACCATCTTCCAAGGCACACTGTGCGGATCAGCATGACTGCTTAATCCTTGATCAGGGCTTTCGAGAACGACACCCGCAGGTGGGTGTTCTCGTTCAACTGGAAATTGTGCATTTTCTGCAAATGAAAATAAATCAAAATATTATTCAAAGTGAATTCGCCGGAGAAACAGCAATTACATCATCAATTAAAAGGAACAGGAAAAAACACAGTGTACTTAATTCTGATCAACTGAAGAAATATAATATGTAACACACAAGAAGAAGCAACCATATTTTATTATTGTGTACAAATTAACTGCAGAAGCAGGCAGTAAAGCAAAAAAACAAATTTTAAGAAAAACAGTTCGTTTTAAATGAACTGAGTTCCCGGAAATGAACTGCAAAATTATACTGGAAGTAATTCTTACATTTAGTGGAAAATGCATAAAAATCGACTTACAACAAGGGCTTCCACGGCCTCGTCCACGCTGCCCAACTGCACCAAGGCCATCTTGTGGTCCTTCCTACACAGCCAACCAAAACAACCAATTAGCCGACCAGCGTTTCTCACGATTTCCAATGCTCAAAATTAATTACGAAATATTAATGTAGAAATTTTTAATAAAATATATTTCACGCTAATTAATAATCAAAGGCCAATATTTAATAATAAAAACACCAGCAACTGTCTGCTGGCGGCCGTACGTACGGGAAGAAGCGGAAATGTTTAACGGCGAATCCGTTCTGTGCAAAGTAGTGCACCACGTTCTCCTCCGTGATCGTCGGCCTGCAAAACCACACAGCATTCACAGATCAAAATCCATAGAAGAAAAAGAACAGATAATACGATAAAAATTAATTACCAATAAATAAGAAGAAATACGATAAATATTAATTAAGTACATAAATAAAGCAATAAAGGTCAATTAAGTATACATAAATAAAGTAATAAGTACAACTGTCAATAACAGTATGCCGATTCGAACGCGCGTTCATCAATAACAGTATGCCGATTCGAACGCGATACTAACGGGAGATTGGAGAGATGCAGGGTGGAGTTGGGCGGGTAGATGTTGAGGTAGTTCTTGGAGCCGGGTTTCTTGAAGCGGTGCAGCGGAGAATTGGAGAAGTCGCGCGTCAGTCCGCAGTCGGGCTGCGACTCCTTGGGCAGCTGCACTTCGCTGTGCTTCGAGCTGGTCACCTTCAGCGCCTTGTTGAACAGCCGCACCCGGTCCAAATGCACAATCGCTACACCAACAATGCCCATCGCCATGATTTTTATACAGCAGCAATACAAAATAATAAATTATTAAAAATATATAACTGTAAAAAAATACAATATAATAATAACTGTCACTGTATTTAAAAAAAATTATTAAAAACTTCTAATTCAACGTCAAAAACTATGCAACAGCAGTAAACAGTAGACATGCATAAAACGGTGAAAACGTAGTACAACGGGTCTAACGACAGCATTGTACTTCGTTTCAGCAATGTGAAATCCACACGTTAGACGGCATGATATTATTAGAATACTCAATCAATCCTTTTTTTATGTTTTTGGACCGAATAAAAACACCGAAACTAATGAATAAACACAGCCCAATACCGGATCTCAAAATTTCCCGCACAGCCCTGCTAAACTGCTTGAAGGAAAACACCAAAAAAGCATTATTTCACCTGGTATTTATTCAGTACGTATGCACTTCCTTACCGAATTTAGTAAAGATTGTACACGAATTTTTAATGCAACGTACCGAGCTGCGCCTGCCGCGGTTCGGCGTACTGGATCAGCGCCGTGTCCTTCTTGTTGAAAAGGATCTTCACTCGCAGCACATCACCATACACGCCTGCAAAATTTCACAAATTTTCAGAAATTCCCGAATTTTCAGCGGATATTTTTTCCACAAAATCCCGCATTTTTTAACGGACAATTTCACTTCACAATTATGCATAGATTAATTATACAGCAGCAGAAAAATACCAGTTATATAGCAGCAGATTTGGTAAAATATAAAATAAATCAGACGGGTGTGAGTCGAAACAACCAGAGTGCCGCCAAATAGAAAATAAGCTCCGAAAAATACAGTATACCACAGCGAAAATAAAATAAAAATCACGGTTGAATAATACAACTTGTCAGACGTACCAAAGAGGATGAAAAGGATTTCTGGCGTGACCAGCTGTGACGAAAAAAAAAACAACAAGAGCCACGTGAGAGAAAGCCTGTGTCTGTGTTCGATAAAAGCAAAAAAATAAAAATCCAAATTCCAACACAACCACACCGGCCTCCACACTTCCAGCCGCCATTATTATTCGGATAAATCAAAAAAAGAATTACTTTCAAAGCAGAGTCAAACAGCACACACTCAGATGCAACAGATGCGAGGATCAGCAAGTGTGTGCGGCAAATAAAAACAGGAGACAAAGCGCGCAGAGGACGGAATAAAAGCCGAATGTGCTGTGTGTGTTGGAAATTAGAAGGGGAAATTTTTAGGGGTTATTGTGCGATGTGTGCATACCTCTTCGTTGATATTGCTGACCAGGACGACGCTCGCGCCTTGGGCTAACCGGCCCATATTGCCCAGGGCGGCGTTCAGCGAGTTGGCCGTCAGTCCAGCTGCAAATCATCAATAAAGATAAACGCACTAAACTAATAAAATCATAATAAAACAATACCGAAAAAAATATTAAAATTAAAACCAAAATAAAATAATAAAATTCAAGGACCAAAGTAGCAAAATAACTAATACAATCATAATAAACAAATATCAGAACTACAAATTAAATGCAAGGACAACTGAAGTAGTAATGCGACTAATTACCAAATAAAGACTATCGACGGTCTGCGGCGAATCCGCTTGACCGTTTACCGCCCTGCAATGTCTTACGAGTTACAGTTGAGATCGTAGAAAAGTGGCAAATGATCTCAAATAGATGGCTACGCTACAATATATGTATCTGGCAGAAAACTTAGAACGCAACCAGAAGCATTTGCTTAGATATTAAACTTGTTTGTAAGACATTTTAAACTTTTTTTGTAAGAAAAAGGAATTATTAATTATTTTGCACATTGGTACCATGCAAGAGGGAAGCGCTGTAGGGATGGCCGGCCGCCGTGTTGAGGCCGGGAATGTTATGGGGCGACGCGGCGCCGAGACCATGCAGGAGGGAATGCGGCGACAGCGCCAGACCGGCCGGATTAAAGCCTACCACACCACACCAACGCTCTATTTCACCGCACACGCCAATCAAGAAAAATCGAGCATTTCACCAACAACCATTCCCAGGGATTAGGAGAGCCTTACCGGACAGATGCAGGGGATCCGGGAGGACGGTGGCCTCGCCCGAGGGCAGACCGGGGTTGGTGTAGTCGCGGCTCTTGTCGTTGTTGAAGGTCACGCGCAGATTATCCAGCCGCGAGTACTCGATGCGCAGGGTGCAGCAGCCGGCGTAAATGTTCTGTCCGTCCAGTGACTACACAGCCAACAAGTTCCAACAATTAAAAATACAGAATAATAATATAAAAACATAATATTAAAAAAAAATTAAACAAAAAATACAAGTACGAAAATATTACCATCTACAAGCTCTCTGATTCGGAACCGTCTGATTATTGTTAGAAAACGACGGACAAATATATGTACATATTTCCCCGGTTGAGAAGCAACCCTTCTCGTGCGTATTGTTAATTCTACTTCCCGTTAATTCCACTAATAATTATTAATAATGATCATTAATTTATGAGAGAGTGCGGGAACAAAAAATTAGAGGAAAACAAATCTGTTTTATGTTTCCGTTTGTCCAGCATGTGATTGCGAAAATTTGCATCCAATGTGAAAAAAAAGGAAATTTCTGTTAAAGATCACACACCGAATTCACATTTTTCTATTTATATTGTCAACTGCCGTTCGTTGGTACAAACTTCAAATCACTGTGAGGTCGGGTCTGTGTGAACCACTACACTACACGATCACACTAGCTGCTACTAACGTCCACCGTCAATACTGTGTACAAAGCCAAATCGGTAGAAACAGTCAATTATATAAATACTAACGCAAATTTCACTACAGAGCTGATATTTCATTCATACAGCTGCAGATGCTGTGATAATTCGCAGAAAAATAAATACACCGTATTTACTGGAAATTAAGGGGGAAAACTGTGTACAGTACCTGCTTAGCCAGCGACGCACTTTGACGGTCGGGATACTGAATGAGCGCTTGATACTGCTCTACAGGAACACAATAATCAATAAGCAAACACCGTAAATACTTTACTGTTAAAAGAATCAGTAAAGAAAACAGTGCAAAAACACAGCAACGAACTTACGATTCTTGGTGAAGGTGATGATGCGTAATACTTTGCCGAATCGCGAGAATATCTATCCGAAAAAGAAATCTCATCACACCCTATCCAATAGTCCGTTAAGCATCACAATAAAAATGAGTACTAATTTCTAACCAATCAATTTACCAAAATAATTAATTATTACAATAAAAACGTTTTCAATTAAATAAATAAAATAAAAACATTTTCTCACGTGAAATGTCACCAAAAAAATACCGAATAAAATCAATAAATCATCATAAAAACCAATATTAACTTAATATGAATTTTCGACACGCTAATATAGAGCATTTTCACCGCTCACCCCGTGGAGGACGTCGAGGGGAATGGGATACATCATGTTCTCGACGACCACGCGCAGGATGGTGTTGATGCCGCCGTACTCGGCGTGGCCGCCGTTGACGCCGGTGGGCGAGGACTGCTGCTGCTGCTGTTGTTGGTGCTGCTGCTGCTGCTGATGCAGCGCCGCCAACTGGTGTAGACCATTAGCGCCGGCCAGCAGCGGGCTCATGCCGGCCATTAGGTTGGGCGCCGCCATGTTCATCATCATGTTCATCGGCAGGCTGGCCTTCATCAGGGACGCCGCGTTGTTCACCTGTCCATGTTCAGTTCACAAAAACACCGTTAGCTGTGTTAATTCACCACGCCACACCATGTCAAAAAAATCATAACATTATACGGCGAAAAATCAGATAACAACACTAGCCAAAATAAAGAAATTTTTAACAATTTTTAACAGTTTTAACAATAATTTTTAACAATTTAACAATTAATAGATAATTTTTAACAATTATTATGTGTTTTAAAAACTAAAACATGCATGCATACCGGATAAATTACGACGAATTATTATCACAAATAAATTCCAAGAAAACGTAATGCACCTGATAAAATTACAACAAACATTAAATAAGAATATAATTTATATAAAGAAAAATTACGAAAAACCGCAAATTACGGAGGTAAACGAAATGCCAATTATCTACACAATTTCCCGCAAATTACCAGCACTGATGGCAAAAAATTCAAGCAAAAAATAATATAAAACCGAAAATATGACCATATATAAATTTTTTCATTTTTTATCGCCTCAATTCACTCGATCTACCGAGCTTCGAAAAGAAGCAAAACGCCAAACAAGCGCAGCGAAATATTCATATGCAGTCAAAATTTCTCCACCACCGCGAACACGCCCCACAGCCGCATTCAGTTTCAATATTTTCGCAGGGAACATCAGCGATAAAAGTGCGCATTTGCATTCCGCATTGGGGCGCGATATCACTTACATGGTTGGCCATGTGATTCTGGTGATCGGTTTTCAGTTCCTTGTGCGTGGAATGCTGCACAAAGCATTGCTTGTTCTTGACCATGCAGGGGAAGCCCGAGTTAAAGTAGTTGACCATCTGGATGGCCGACACTTCGTCCACCATCTCCAGAAACGCCTGCAACAAAATGACAGAAAAATGCAACTTCCACGCCACAACTTAACAAAACTACCGGATAAGATAGCACTTAACAAATAAACGATCCCAAACGTAATGGACAAATAAAAGATCTTAATACGCTCGAACAGGCAAAAGCAATAAAATAAAAAAAACATTTCTGGAAAAATAAAAAATCCAGAAAATGGATTAGTAAACGAAAAGAAATACAAAATACCCAAACAAAATCATGAAAAATATAAGCACAATATCCGCAAATTTAAACAGGAAACAGGCGAACGGGGTAATAAAAAAAGCCTGAGAAAATGCAAGAAAATTATAAATAAGACTTGAAATACGAATGAGATCCCATCAGGGCGGATTCGGACAAAAAACTGTATTTTACCGCAGTCAAGGCAGCTAACCGATGCTCGTACCGCAGTGCAAAATCGAGCGAAGACCACAGTTAATTAAAATTTATTAAATTATTCACAAACTAAATTAGTTCAGTCAAAACTGGCTCGAAATCTCAATTATTTCAAGTCCGCCTGAAATTGTAATAAAGTTTTCTAGACATTTTACCAGCAGATTTTATAGCGGAAAGCAAATTAGTACTACAAAGCGAACTTTATCAGACGAAATGAGCGGCTGTGCTTAATGAGTAAGACGCGGCTGAAGGGAGCCTGTCAAAAACAGCCCGATAACGCCGGTTCGTCATATTTCCCAAAAACACCCGTTCGGCACGTACTGGAGATTTATCGGCTTTACTATATGCTGCACAATATCATTACATCCACCGCCAGCAAGTCTTGCTTTGCCTACACCGCGCTTATCAAACCGACAATTCAATCACACCGAACAGCTGGAATTCATCAATTTTTCACAAGGAGAACGCCGCGTTTACAGCCGCACAACAAAAATAAATAACAGAAAATAATTTACTGTATTTATATTTCTTACAATTTCAAACAAATTAATTTTGGAATTACGTACGCAAATTTTCGTAATAAAGCACCGAATTAAAAATCGAAAATAAAGGAAATTTAAATTATAAAAAGACCTCTTACTATATCGTATTAATTTTGTAATTTCAAACAAGTTATTTCCTAATTATGCAAGTTTTCATAATAAAGGGCCGAGCTGATAAAATAAAATTTTCAAAATTAAAACAATTATTTATTTTTATAATTTCAAACAAATTAATTCCGTGATTATGCAAACAGCACAAAAAATATTTGCAGTAATTGCTGAAAAATCTGTATACAGCCCAGTAAATCAATCAAGAAGAAAAACATAAACAATCGATTTTTAACCAGCCAGTCACACACATTACAACCATTCTTATCCGTCTGTGTTTACACCAACGAACAACACCTTGCACTGAATAATTGCCAAGCCATTTGCCGCGCAAAACGTCTGTCTATTTCCGGCACACAACGTTATCAATGGAAAATGCTAATCATAACAACAGCCACGCAGAGCGCCGTTTCCCAGCTCTGGTTTTCTGCACAGCCGTTGAACTGATTTCCTTGCAGCGCGCATTTTGAGGCCGCACACTGGCACACACTGAACCGGGTTTAAAATGGTGTCAGACTGTTTGCATAAGACGCAAACGCTGCCATAAAACATCACCAATTATACACACACAAACTACGCGCATACTCAAACATCAGCGCTGCTGCATTGTGCTTCCAAATAGAGCAGAAAATTTCGCGGAAATTTTTTCCTCTACTAACATAGGTTTTTCAAACTTAAATGCCACACTGCGAGTTTTTAAAACATCGAATATGAATTCACTTTCAATCCTTTTAATTACAGGGATCAATACATATTCCGTAGCATAACTAAAAACGACAGCTGAAATCGTAGAACACTGGCGGATTATGGCGTTGTAAAAGAACAAATATCAGAGCCAAAAAAAGTACTGTTATTACAAACCACTGTTACGAAAAACCAAAAATTTTCATTTTTTTCCACTGGAAATTTCTGGATAACGGTGTTACAACAATGACATCACAATCTTAAATCTTCACAAAAAATATGCCGAAACCTAACAAAGAAATAGTGCTTAACAGTTCGTTCGAAACATTTTTAAATACGTACTAAATTTTTTAATATTAATTTGCTAATAACGATATAACTGGCGTCAATGAAACTTGAATGGAGGGAATATTTATTTGCGTGCGGTACTGTACCTGATTTTTGCCTTTGAGAATGAGGACATTGTTGATGCGGCCGAAGGCCAGGCCCACCGCGACAATGTCGGCCTCCACGCAGTCAGCCGGTACGCCGCGGATGTGGACGACCTTGGAGGGGGAGGTGGCCGTGGTGTGCGCGTGGTGGCCCATGCCGCCACTGCCGTTGCTGCCCGCGCCGTTGGCGGTCCCGTGGTGGTGGTGGTTGTGCGTGCCGTTCCCGTTCATCACCGTCCCGTTGGTCCCGCCGGCTGACCCGTTCGTCAGGCTGTCATGGCCGTATCCGCCGGCTGACTCATCCAGTTTCGCCTGTCCAACATTCAAAAAATACTCAATACAGCAGACAGACTTTTTTTATATTTTATACTTTTTTTCCCCTTTTTTACAGGAATTTTAATATTTGTGCCCCTGTTTATTATAATAAAATTCATTTATTTATTAAAAACAATATTCTAAAAATCTGCTTGACCGTTAATTTTTTTACTAATTTTACATAACAGTAAAGCAAATGTTCAAGTCTAAAAAAGAATCAAGAAGGTCACAAAAAATTTAAAAAAATGAAAAACGTTCATCCCATATCAGAAACCTACGAATTTGTTGACTCAAAACGACACTCGAAATAATTCCGAAAGGAAATTAAATGCTACTGCTTGTCTAAATTTCACACAAGTAAGTATTCGTAGCTGCACTGTTTCTATCGATGTTTACGGTTTCTTTGCACAAGATTAATCTAGAAGATGTCTGCATTTTATCGCTTCTTATTTTTTTTCGCAGACAAATAATCGCCTGAATCACTCACTTTGGCTTGCGGGCATCAAACACAAATCGCAATCAGCGTGAACGTGCCCAGATAACGCTTTTACGTGCACTTTTTATGTAACTTATTGTCAAAAATGATATCACTGCGATTCCTCATAACAAACGCCAGGCTGTCATATTAGCAATAAAAATTAGATAATCAATAAAAAATTTCCCAAAAATGAAAACGCAACTATAGAGAAAAATATTACTGAGTGAATCTCGATCATAAATTTTGTCTTAATTATTTTGATTTGATCCTCAAAGCTCCGGTAACTTTTTTTAATAATTCGTTTATGATTACTTTTTTCGGAAAATAACTAGCGATTTAAATTTCTTTTAATAATTACATTTTTTGGAGGAAATATCTAACGATAAAAATTAAAATAATGCAACGCCGTGTCGTCGCGCGCCGTTGGAAATCGGAAGCACCTTTTTGATTTTCAACCGGCAGCGACACCTGTTCGCGGATCATTTCCGTATTGAACTGCAATATTTTTTTTGCTTGATCAGCGCAACACCGCCGAGCAGGTGGCTGACATTCTGAATTAACCCGCGATACAAACTGAAAATGCGATCAACAAGTGTTGTTGAACCAGAACACGCGAAACCCAATCGATGGAGAATGCATTTTGCGCGTCGCTGTCTACCGGAAATATGAATGTGTATCGCCTAGTTCATTCGCCGTGAATCACAGCCAATTTGGCCGAATAGTCACGCTCCGGCATATCGCATCGCGTTTAAAAGCTGATCAACGATCAATGTCAATGCACATCAGTATATGCCATCCAATTATTGCGCCAACCAAAATATATGACTCAATTTGCGATACCGATCGTCAAAATCCACTAAACAATGCAATAACTTGAAACACAACTATTTTCAAATACTTCCCAGCTTTATTCTCAAAATTTCAGGCAGCCCAAAAAATTCACAGACAAACATTTCAACTACTTATTTGTTTTTAACACATATTTTATTTTAATTATTTATTGTTTAGCCGTCATTAAAAATATGAATTGAATTAGAAAAATCTCAAAAAAACCTTTTGGAACTACAATATTCATTAATCTACGGCTTTTTATATGCATTTTCTTGAATAAATAAACTTCGCTGCATTTCAAATTTTGATTCCGTCGCGCGTGGTTCAGAATACCAACGCAATTTGGAATTTTCGATAAAACTGAAAACCATAAAAAATCAGTAATTACAGTCCTATTCTCAAGAACCGAAATTTTAGCAATTTAAAGTTATGTTTCAATTAAGTATTAATCTATTTTTACTTATTTTATTGGTGCTGTATCACAAATTTTCCCTATTTTAAAGCAACGAAAGAATGTCGCCGAAAAAAATTCGCCAAATACTTACATAACGTACCAAAACTCAGTGAAATCCAAAAAATACAGAAACATGTTATCAAACTGAACAGCCGGAAAAGTACTTTTGCAGCTGTCCACAAAAATCACCATGACAACTGCGAAAAGGATCAAATTACTTACAAAAACGCTATCGTTATAATCGAATATTTTTCAAGCAGAAGTTGCTAAGTGACCGTGGACCGAACGGCAAAAACAATATTCAATTTGGAAAACTGATTAAATAAAATATAAAAAAATAGCAATAAATGCGGCACACCACTGACCTTCTTCAATTCGGCTTCGGAGCCCATGGGAGCCTCACCCGCGGACAATCCGTTCATCGTGGCGCGTAAATCTGGCTCATACACCTCCTCCAGACTTCTCTGCAACGGCAACAAACCGCAAAAACCCAATCAATCCGGGAATTCCACAAAAACCAAATTAGCGTTACACTAACGAAAATCTTCAACAATTCGGGTACGCGACTGCACAGTAACCATCAACCGGATCTCGCTCACCATTAAGAACGCCTTCATCAGGTCGGTCGAGCGTGGACAACAATAGGGCTGGAGAAACAATAAAGGGGGGCACCCGTCTCTCTCTCTCAACGCTTAATCCGCTATCATCGTTCGCCAAATCAAACCGTTTTTCCCCAAAAATGTTACCAACGAGTTCCGTATAATGTCTCTCTCTTTACTCGGTGAAGGCTAACTTTTCCACTTATCAGCTCGGCCTGCGCGGTGCCTCTCTCTCTCGCTCGCTGCTGTCTGAACGGTTTTCAGGGCTGGCATGTGCTAAACGATTTTCGAGACTGCTCTTTGCTCTGGAAATTTGCTTCATCTGTTCAACGACGATCGGTGTACTGTAGTGAAACGGCAAGCCGCAGTCGGTTGGTAAAAATGGCCGTTTGGAACATGTGCCGGTTGACCACGCCCCCGTGCTGCTCACCGGGGGCGGGGCCAACTGACCACTTGTCAAAACCGGAAATTGCAGTGACTCAGTGTGCTAACGTAACTCCATTAAACTCCCCTGGGATTCACAACGCAACCGAAAATTACATTTTATTATAAAGTTAATATTACTGCATCTAATTTACACCCAAAATTTAAAAAATTACCAAAAAATTCCAACAAAAACATGGGATTTTTTGCCAATTTTTGTTAAATTCTCCAACCACGTTCTCAAAATCACCGTTTTTAAAGTAACAGGGAAAAATTAAAACAAAACAAAAAATATTTTAACAACATCACAAAATTTTTACAACAACAACCGAAGAAATAGAGAATAAAAAATAATCGGAATGATTTTGTGAAATTTTTTTGTGGAAATTATTGACAAATAAATTCGATAATTATTAAACTTTAAAATTATTAGCATACAAAATAAATACTTATTCATCTGTCAATATATATCTTTGAAACTGAAAGAATCAGATTCGATAAATTCATTTTTGCATCGGGCTATTTTAAAGACTGAGTGGAAATGGAATATTATGTCCCTAAAATTATTTTAATTTATTGGTCAGTTCGATCATTGCGTCACTGCATTTTGGATGATCCAGGAAGACAATACTGTGTTTATTGAACCTCTGGAATGTCAACACCACCGCCTTCACCGGAAAACAAACCGCAAATGTTGCCGATAAGGTCGCTTAATCGTTAATCAGCGATGAGCGCTGATGACGCATTCGAAACTGTTTACGGCGACAGCCACTAATCACCCCCTGTCTGCCGATTTCCCTGTTCACGTCGGCTACTCAACTAATAACGTACAGGGAGCACACCTGACTGTCCACGCGCGACAGAACAGTCAGAAGCGTCATGCAGCAATTAAAACAATATTTTCTCTAGGCCAAACCAAAACAAAGTTACCAAAAATCCTCACCTTAGACATAATAACCCCCAAGCCTAGATTTCATGCAACATTAGGGAGAAGAGTCCGCGCGTGTGAAACATCCATTAAGAGAAGCGTGGGGAGAGATGCGAAATTTGCGGGTTCTGAGCACAAAAAAAAAACCAAAAAAAAACACCACACGTTTCCAATCATGCAGGGTTATCAATCAAGGCCACAACGGCAGCGGAAGAAGGGGAGAGTGTGGCACTTACTCGGAATACTGCGAACACAGGATCACATGGGAGAGATCATCGGGATGATGGAAGCACAAAATAACACACGGACGGAACGGTGAAAAACCAGGGACGGAATAAAACAGAAAACACGCACTTGTACAACACAAGCTAGAAAAAAAGAAAAGAAAGAGAACGTAAGTGAGACAAAACGCACGAAGAAAACTGAGGAAACAGAAATCTTCCTTGTTTTTTATCGGGATGACATGGTGTGTGCCGTGTGGGATGATTTTTGTGTTCGCTGACGAAAGCGCACTGCGCACCTGAATGAAAAAACCAGCGTCGTTGCTGTGTGTGCTCGCGTACGCAAGTTCGAAGATCGTAATCGTCATTCGACGAATGCAGTGATGCGCGGCAAGAACATCGCCGAGGGAAACTACGACACTTTTCCGAGCTAACAACAAAAATTACCAAACCGAATTTAGTTTTCTGATACAAAACTGTATTATTAATAATTTTAGCAAAATTTATTTCTTAGAAAAAGCAAAATTTGCAAATCTTTACGGACCTGTAAAAAATAAATAAAAAATCTAAAAGCTCCGGACCGCCATTGAATGACGGCGTAACGAACGCATTTTAGCCTGCAAAAGTGTGCATTTGCAGACTGGGCGGAAATCGTTTTTTAGCCATTTTGGTGAGCCGTCTTTTTCTAGAAGCGACTGCTTCCACACAACCCAATATTTATTACCAATTCTTCAAATATTTCAATCTTGGTCATTTTTAATCAACAGGAAACTCGGTTGTCAATCGCGATGATATGCCAGTTACTAGGGGCTTCAACCACAAGCGAAATTTACCCCAGCGTATGCCTCGTGCCGCCTCGCCACACTGCTTCACTGCGCATTCGTAGGAAAAAGCCAAAGGCCGGGACTGGTATAAAGCCAGCGAGCGATCAGACCACAATCACGAAATTTTGACGTGATCGCGCTGATCAGCTGTTGAGAAGACGCACTGCATTTGCTCCTTTTTCTTTTTCCTCGTTCCTTATTGAAAGAGGATTAATTTCGTGATATAGTGGGAAGATTTTGCAGTGATGCCTGCCCGCGGAACCCGATCGGAGATGAGCAGTCAGGAGGAAGGCGACGCCGCTGATATCAGTGCCAGCGTTTCCGACGTGCCCGACATCGACAACCTCTTCAAATTAGATGGATATCTCCGCCATCATGAGCGCGAAATCCGTCGCAGGTTAGTGGGAAACTGTCGGGAAAAGGTTGCGTTCCTTTGTATAATTATTATAAACGCGGAAAGATTGCTGTAAATGCGTTTGCATGCGCAGAAGTTCCCCGTTCGCTGGCCAGGAAATCTGCAAATTCGTTAAAACCAAAATCTAATTAATTCGTTAAAAATTTGATAAAAATAGCGGACGCCTTGAATTCATATTCCTTAAGCAGAAAAGTATTTTAAAAATTTGGTATGTACATTTGTTAGTGCGCTTCAGCCGGAATGCAGCGGGGATTATTAAAAGTGGATTTAATAAAACAATTTAAAAATATATAAATCTGAAAATTGCGTTGCGTTAAAATATTTCTCGTTTATTTTGGAATTCTCAATTCTGCGATCAAAATAATTTTTCCAAAAAAATAACACTTAATTTTGTTTAGCTAATTTTACCCGTGTTTCCTCCGGGAAAGCCGAACATGGTTTTAATTAAAATAAAATCAAGAAAAAATATTTTTGGAAATTACTGGGAAAAATGCATTCAAAAATGTTGTTTTTCCATTTTTTAGATACGGTTGCTTTCAGTCGATTCTGAACGATATCCAGGCGTATGAGGGCGGCATGGAGAAGTTCAGTCGGGCGTACGAGAACTACGGGATGAATGTGCAGAGCGACGGGAGTATCCTGTGTCGGGAGTGGGCGCCCGGCGCGGAAGCCGTGTATCTGTACGGGGAATTCAACAACTGGGACCGCCAGGGAATGCCGTTCCAGAAGGGACCTTTTGGCAAATGGGAGCTGCTGCTGCCCCCGCGCCCCGACGGTTCCTTGGCCGTGCCCCATAACTCCATTGTCAAGGTATGCGAAAAATTAATTTTTCAATTTCAGGAATATTTTTAAAGATTTAAGTCGAAAATGTTGTATTTTCTGACATTGTCAACGTAAGCGTTGAATTAATTATTTTATCTTATTGCACGAATGGTTTTTCTCTGAATTTGCTTTCTGAAAATTGTAAATGTTCGTGTTGTTATGGTCGATAACTGGATTCCTAAATAATTTGCTGGAGATTCATCCCATTCGCGGTTTGTTGCTGATTGTAATAAAAATAAAAATTAATTGTATTGCCTTGGTTTTATAGATAAGACATATTTTGTATACATATAATATTTCCGCTAACTATTCAGTGCCTATTCGGCGACTATTTTATTAATCGACTATTTTCGTGTTTTAGTCGAATATTTTATTTATTCACCTGTTTTAGCGTTTTGATTAAAAATTTTCGTTTGAAATTGTGCGCTTGTTTCTGCAGTTGCTGATTAAATCGAAGTCCGGTGAATTTGTGGAGCGTCTCAGTCCGTGGGTGCGCTATGCCGTCCGCTCGCGGGAGCCCAAGAACGTCACATACGACGGCGTCTTCTGGTGTCCTCCGAAGAATGAGGCAAATATGAAATAATCCTGCATATTTTGCTTTTGTTGAGAGGAAGCGCTCGTTAACATTTTTGGCGGTTTTTGTTACAACAGCGCTACGTCTTCAAACATCAGCGTGTGGCGAAAGCGGAGAGTCTGCGCATCTACGAGTCCCACGTGGGCATTTCCTCCTGGGAGGGCAAAGTGGCCACCTACGACCATTTCACCGATAATGTCCTGCCGCGCATCAAACAACAAGGTTATCCTTTCGTTGGGTTCACCGGCGTTTTTTCTTTACAAAATATCTTCAAAAATGGGAATTAGTATAGCTGCTACACTTCCGAATTTCGCTGCCTAATCTTTCGTCTTTGCATTTGAAAAATTATTTTTGGAAATCAGGAGCTTTTATAATTTTCTGAATTTTCTAATATTTTTCTTGTCATTTGCAGGATATAACGCGATTCAGTTAATGGCGATTATGGAACATGTGTATTACGCTTCCTTTGGATATCAGGTACGAAGTCTTTTTTAGTCTGTTGTTTTGACAGAATTACACGAAATAAATTATACGCTTATTTTTCGGAAATTTTTTCTCGATCTATAATAATTTTTATTTCTTGTCGCGCATAAATCTCTTGGGTAGTTTTCCATGATTCAGTCTGGACAGTGTGAGTTATGGTCGTATTTTTCCGCGACTGTTTTCGTCTTAATATTTTAATAGATAATAACTGACCATAATCTTGATCTACGACAGTTCGGTAATATTTTTCTTTTTCATGTACTGTACTTTATCGTATTAATTTGCCTTTCGTTTGCTTTGCGGTAGATGTTTACGAATGGTAACTATCGTTATTGTAGGTGACGAGTTTCTTCGCCGTGTCCAGTCGCTACGGGACACCGGAGCAGTTCAAGCGCCTCGTCGACACGGCGCACTCCTTAGGCATCGCCATTCTGCTGGATGTGGTGCACAGTCATGCGTCCAAGAACTCCCTGGACGGACTGAATCTCTTCGACGGCACCAACTCCTGCTATTTCCACGACGGCGGCAAAGGCGAGCATGAGTTGTGGGGATCCCGGCTGTTTGATTACTCGAAGTAAGGCAGCGCGCTGCAATTTGTTTTTTCATGTTTTTACTTAGCGCAGTAGCGTTTTGTTGCGAAATAACTTTCTCTGTTTTCCCTCCTCTTTGGTCGCGAATTTTAATTTGGAATGGGTACTACCGTATTAGCAGGGTCATTAATGAAAAATTTCTCTCCGATATTGCTGTTTTTCGTGTGAGCAGGTTGGTATTGTTTTTTTTAATAAAAATTTTTTCCATTCCGAGTTTTATTGTTTATTAGGCCTGCTGCGTTCAAATTTCCCACAACGAAATTTTTCCTCCATCGTGTTTATTACCTACAAGAACTTTCGTTGTGCAGTTAGCGATGTAAAATTCCAGTTAATCCTCGTTCGCGGCATGAGCTAATTTGTTGATGGCGTAGTGTAGTGGCTATTTGTTGTAAACATAGTTGGTCAGTTAGCCTGCAGATGTCCTTATCTAAACAGTGTGTAAACAGAAATGTGTAAACTTTTTACGATAGCAGTGGAAACTTTATCAGCCCTGCTAAGATTTTTTTTTATAGTCTTAACTGACAGTGCCTTGTGTAGATGGGAAGTGTTGCGCTTTTTGCTGTCGGATCTGCGTTGGTTCATGGAGGAGTACCAGATTGACGGGTTCCGCTTCGACGGAGTGACCTCCATGCTGTACCACAGCCACGGGATCGGGCACGGTTTCTCCGGTGATTATAACGAATACTTTGGCCTGAACGCCGACACCGACTCCATCGTCTATCTGATGCTGGCCAACCACATGCTGCACTCACTCTATCCCCACATGATCACCATCGCCGAGGTCAGCGGAATTATTATTAAATAAATATTAAATTGATTGATTATTATTGAATTGACTGATTGATTTTAAATGAATAAATTATTATGATTAAATTGAATTATTTTTATTATTATTAAATTTATGATTATTATTCATTGTTTAATAATGAAATAATTACAATAAATCGCAGTTGTTACAGAATTTCTTGCGTTTTAGCGAATTTTTCAGTTCAGAAAAGTTGCGTTTGTACGGTAGGATTTCAGCAACTGATGGTGATGGCAAAAAAATAAGGATTACTCCTTCAACTGGCAGTAGCGACATTAATAGCACTTATTGCAAGCGCTGCTACACTGCTTCTTCATAGTTGAAATTTCGTTATTAAAAAAGGGATGTAATATTTTGCTACGCAACATTATCTGTTCTTTGAAGGTTATACACACGGCAATTTTTTTTCACTTGCGTAGTCAATTTGTAGCCATCACTCTACAATCGCACTACGGATCCTAATGCGTCTACAGACAAATTATTCATTTCTAAAATTTGGTTATCATAAAGTTGATTCTGAATGCAATTTTTAACGGCGGAAGTAAAAAAAGCTTGACTTACGTTTTTCGTAATAATTTATCATTCTTCGATTCGTATTTGATGGCAGATGACAATCTGGAAATGACTTGCAAAACAAAACATCTTTACAACTATTTCGTCCGATTTTTTAATTTTATAATTTCTCAGAATTAATGTTTTTCTTGAAGTACGTGCGTATATCCGATTTATTTTATGTATTTATATTTTATCCGTGGTTTTGCTGGTTTATTGAGTTATTTTTCATTGTATTTATTGCCGCTGTATTTTTTACAAATTATGATTTTTTATGAAACAGGATGTCTCTGGCATGCCGGCATTGTGCCGTCCGGTGACGGAAGGCGGGCAGGGTTTCGACTACCGCCTGGGCATGGCCATCCCCGATAAATGGATCGAAGTAAACAAAAAAATTCACAATATTGTTTTAATTCGGATAATTTAATTAAATTGGATGTTTATAGTATTTAAAGGAGAAGCGCGACGAGGAGTGGGACATGGGGGAGCTGGTGCACACGCTGAGCAACCGGCGGTGGGGCGAGAAGACGGTGGCGTACGCGGAGTCGCACGATCAGGCGCTGGTGGGGGATAAGACGCTGGCGTTTTGGCTGATGGACAAGGACATGTACACGCACATGTCCACCATGTCCGAGCTCATCCCCAGCGTGGACCGCGGACTGGCCCTGCACAAGATGATCCGCCTGCTCACGCACTCCCTCGGCGGCGAGGCCTGGCTCAACTTCATGGGTACGCTCAATCGTTTCCGTTGAGAAATGTTCACAAAGTGCACAGCGGAAAGTGTTTCTAAATTTAATTATCCTTTTAATTACTAATTTTTATTAATAAAATTTAAACTAAATTATATTTTTATTACTAAATTTTATTAATAAAATTAAATTTATTTTAGTTTTGTTAATTTTAGTTCAGTAAATTATTTATTAGCCAGAGCAGCTGTAGAATTTCCTGTGTGAATTACCGGTAGCTTGTCATGCTGGGCAGTTGCAGTATAATTTTACAATTTTAATTAGCAGTTTTTCGCAGCCGTGTTGGAATGAACTAACGCGGTAGCCAGGTTCGTCATTGATGCAGGGTTGACTTTGGGGGTAAAATAATTTCTCTGCTCTTGTCGGCAATCAGGGTTTGAATAACATTACGGTTTGCTTTACATTTTCCTTTCGGCAAAAAATTTCCGCTAGCGCCTGACTATGGAAAGCGCAAGCCACAACGATTTTCAGTACGAGTACAGCTTTTCTGATACAGTACTGTATGAAGTTATGAACATATGCAGCGATCACATATTCACATTGAACAGTAGGATGCATGTGGGGAAACAAAGTTAGTATAGAATATTGTAGTGGAATGGCTGACGACACGGCTGTTAATTCGTGGAAATTAGCAGTTTTCTTTGTACAAAATAGTTTTCAGTTTGTTTGAGTTTAGTAGAATATTTTTAAACTGACGATGGAATACTGTGCTGGATGCTAGTTGAAAACTTATCTGGAAACACTTTAATTTAAGAATAATTTTATGAATATTTAAAGTAATTGGTGTAATAATTTAATTGGTGTGCAAAAAATAATAATAATTCAGTTTATCGTTAGAAAAAATGAACACGTTGAATTATTTCATAAAAAGTTTTAATTAATATTTCATAAATTATTTTATGAAAATTATTTTATTATAAATATTTTGTAAAAAGTTTGTGGTCATTTAATTCCTTCTAACTGTCGAGGTTTTATTTTATGGCTGATTATAGCCTTACGAATACAAGACGGCGTGAAGCCAATGCACTACAGCTGCTAGCCGCAGAATGCATAGCCAAACTTGAAGGTTCAAGACACGGCTCATCCGCGATCCACTGGTTTAATTACCAAAAACACATTTCCGTTCTCTTTCTTTGATTTTCTTGTGACCGCTTGATTCTTGGGTTATGGTACTTATGCGAAAGATCATTTTGAAAAATTAATTGTAATTGGCTTAGGTAACGAATTTGGCCATCCGGAATGGTTGGATTTCCCGCGTGTCGGCAATCAGGAGAGCTTTCACTATGCGCGCCGCCAGTGGAATCTGATCGAGGACGATTTACTGCGCTATAAATTCCTGAACAATTTCGATCGGGCCATGAACTTGACGGAGGAGAAGTACCACTGGTTATCCTCTAATCCGGTAAGGAATAGCTGCGGTACAAGAAATATGCTTTTCCTGGCATACTTTCCGTTTATCTAATTTATGTATTTTCATATTTAATCTGCAGTACATAGATCAGTTTTTCTCTTACTGTTTAATGTTTTTTGGTCAAAATAAAATTCTACAAATTTTGCTTTATTTGTTTTAATTTTAGTTCAGATTTATTTGATCAATTTAAAATTAGAGAAATTTTTCCGCAGTTGCTGTTCTTGTTTCCGCAGTGCTGCGGTTGTACAAGAAGGTTTATTTTGAATTTATTTGACCAAAACAAAATGAAATAAATTGTGGTATAAATGTTTAAGGTTCGGCTTGAATTTATTTGACCAAATTATTTTTTTTTCGAATAATTTGGATTATGCATGTGTGCAGGCGTGGGTGAGCTGGAAGCACGACGGCGATAAAGTGATCTGCTACGAGCGTGCCGGCCTGGTCTTCGTCTTCAACTTCCACTCCCACAAATCCTTCTCCGACTACAAGGTGGGCGTGGAGGTGGCCGGGAAGTACCGCATCGTGCTAAACACGGACGACGAGCAGTTCGGCGGGCACCGGCGGGTCGCTCCCGACAGCGACTTCTTCACCTTCAACGAGGGCTACGCCCACCGCCGCCACCACATGTGCGTCTACATCCCCTGCCGGGTGGCGCTCGTCTTCGCCAAGATGGACTGAATTGCGGGCTTTCCGTGTTTGTCGTAAAAATATAATAATATTTGTTTTATTAAAGAGTCGCTTTTAATTGGCTTTTATCGCTTTAGGTTGGTTCGCGGAATATTTGTTCTATTAATTATGGTTTGAATTTTAATGAAAGCGCGCGCGAATTCTGTGTTGTAAGAAAACGATTAAAAATTAAGTAGAAAAAGGAAATAACATAAAAAAGAAATACAAGTTAATCAAAAAGGAAATAATAAAGTAGAAAATGAAATTAAATAAAGAAGGAAAAAGATAAAAAATTAGTTACAAAATAAAATACCGACTAAAAAGCGTTAGAAAGAATTCTGAGCATGAGCAAGCATATCAAATATGAAAAAAGTGTAAAATAAAGTAGTCGATTGTCAATAAAGCGTAACAGAAATAAAATACGTAAAATTATTGGAATGGAAATTAACAGAAAGAGCCGAATAATTTGGTATTCGCCTAGTGTGAGCATCACGCCGAAAACATTCAAGAAACACGGTTTCCTCCATAAAAATCAAAAACAATAATAAACCGACGATAAAAATTAACGTTTTCCGGCGAATGGAATTAACTGCCGTTTTGGCCCCCCAGACTCTACCTCGGCTCGCCAGTGGCACGGGTTTCACTTGCACCATGCGCTCAGCACGCAGGAAAACACGACGATCCATTCCACACGTGTAGATTGCAGAATGCTTTTTAATTTCAAGTTTTCATTCCTTTTAGTTTTTCCTGCCACGAATTCTTTCTTTTCTACGCTCCAACGTCTGACAATTATTCCGAACCTGTTCTGAAAATTTTCATCCCCATCTATACTGCAATCTCTGGATAGATAAGGCCTGTTTAATTTTCCCCGTCGCTGCCAGTTGCCAGTGTGATATCAGTCGAGAAAAACTCCGGAGTTTTGCTATGTCTGTCGTGGGTGAAGGCTCGCGTTCCACGCGCTCCGTCGTCATCTCCCCGGGCGGCACCCCGGCCGGGACGGTGCGCACCTGCAAGGAGATCACCTGCCAGCGCACCCTCGACCTGGATCTGGTGCGGTTCACGTGGAATATCGAGAATTTCAGCTGGTATAAGGATTCCCGCGGGCAGGCCTACGATGTGCTGGAGAGTCCGCGTAAGTGGCGTTCAAACACGGCGCACGGCCGTGTGCGCTCTGTAGGGCGGTACAGTGAGTGATACTGGTTGAACCAGTTGGTAACGGGTGTAGACGGGTTGATTGGGGTGTTTCAAGGGCTTTTTCCTGCTTTCGATTAAAATTGTCGATAGCGATGATTAGAGTTAATCGGTGCTTTTGATCTTTTTGAAAAGAATTTTAAAATGGTTTTTTTTTGCTTTGGTTGAATGCGTTTGGGCGGGGATGGCGGCAGGAGCGAGGGTTTTCTCTGGCAAGCTTGCCATACGGAAACGTGTAGAAACGTGTCTGCAATGATCAGTGAAAAGTTGTATTACGTTGTTGCGGTGAGATTAATGCCCTTAATCCATCCGTTCGTTGTTTCTTCACTCGGCCAGATGGGGTCGGATTTTCTCCGGTGATTTTTTGCTTTCCAACTGATAAATTTTTTTCTTATATCAGATCATCGTTGAGGGTTTGCACCGCTTTTGTGTTGCATAATAAAGCGCGCTAATCTTGGAATTCGAATTTCGAAATTGGTAAATGTGAATTTCGAAAGAATTGATTTTACCGTTTACGTTTTGATTTTACTTTTCGCCCCGAGAAATAAATTAAAGCTGTATATATTAAAGCTGTATATATATATAATTTTTTTTATATAGTATATTTATAAAAAAAATTGAAAAAGCAAATGAATAACCAACAAAAATTATAAAAAACAAATACAAATAAAGCTCTCTAAATGAAATAGCGAAGTAGCACAAGTGTCAGATTAAGTTAATTTAAATTAATAACGTAAAAAGAAAAACAAACAAAAATTACTGCAGAAAACAGAGAACAGGGTACTCTTGTACGTGTAGTAACCGTAGACAAAATTTTAAAAAATAGGGAAACTTGATAAGTTAATCTCAAAAACGTGAATGAAAAATTGAGAAAATCTGAAAACGTAAGCGAAAACATAATTTTAAAAAATGTAAAACAGATATTTAGTGCAAGTGGTGGAGCAGGGAAACTAAAAAAATGCTATGACGTTAGTGGAACGATACTAGTAAGTAGTACGTGTAAATGTAAATACAGCCCAGGAAAAAAAACTGGAAATTATTTTGTTCAATTTCTGTGGACAGATTTCCAGACGGATGACGGGCAGTACGACTGGGTGCTGCGGCTGATCATCCATCCGCGTCCCGACCGGCCGGCCGACGAGCTGTGCCGGGATTCCGTGCAGATCTTCCTGCACCTGCACAACGCCCCGCGCGAGACCGCCCACCTCAAATGCCAGTTCGTCTTCGTCCGCTTCCTGCACGCCACCAAGGAGGACCAGACCTACCAGATCAGTCGCTTCCGCGAGTTCCGCCGCGGCGAGACCTGGGGCTTCCGTCGCTTCATCCAGCGCAACACGCTGTTTGACCCCAAAAACGGATTCCTCCAGTCCAGTGACCGGCTCACCGTCAAAATCAACCTGGATATCATCCGGTAAGCGCAATGCGGAAAACGACCGCGGGGTGTTTATTTATCAGGTGGAAATTCTGTTTTGATTAAACGGATATAAATCCGTTTAACTTGGTGATTAATTATTTTAACCCGGAATTATCCCGCGGCTATTTGACAGTTTTTCCGATACCTTTTTCTTATTTTGTGGCGTTTTTCAGTAAGTCAGTGACTTGAATAATCAGTTATTTTCCAGTCGCACCGAATTCGTTGCTTTCCTTTATTTAAAATTTTAGTTGTTTAAAATTTTGTTAGCTGCTTGGGATAATGATCGCTTCCCCATTGTTTTTCATAGGTTTTTCTATATGACAGTCTTTGTATTTCACATGGACATTTTATTTTGCTTAGAGAATAATTTACCATTAATTTTGCAGTTAGTTCAAAGTGTGCAAATTATTTTTGTTGTTACCTGATTTGAAATTAAGTTGCAAAAAAATGTTTAATGAAATTTGACTATTTTTTTAAAAATTAATTTGAAAATTAATTTTTTATGTTCCATATTTGATTTTAAGAAGTCAGTTCCCTTATAATTAATCCGAGCAGTTTTTTGTCTTCTCTTTTTGAAAAACAAACACCGGCGTAAATCCTCCGCGTTTTGTTATTTTGGGAATTTTCCTACATTGTACATTTTTCCCGCGAAATCATTGCTGGGAAAATAAAATCGCGTGCTACCAGTGCAAATATTATTGCGAAACCAATGAAACTTGGACCTGCCAGAATTGTGATTTATGATGATTGTATCATCATGGCAACGGCAATATTCGTTATATTGTCAGTACATATTCTGATTGCCTTGGCAGCGCCATCCGCGACGAAGTGGCCAAGCCGGCGCGGAACCCTTTGCTGGCGGACGGGCTGCAGGAGGGCCTGCAGGTGCTGTACAAGACGATGCCGCACTCCGACGTGACGTTCGTCTGCTCCGACGGCTCGCACGTCAAAGCCCACAAAGCCATCTTGTCGGCGCGTTCGCCCGTCTTCGCCGCCATGCTGTCGCACGATCTGTCCGAGCAGCGCACCAACACCATTGATTTGAAGGATATCCCCAAAGATGTACTGGTATGTGTGTGATACTGGCATATCGTAGTGGTGTGGCTTTCGTTTGATATGTTTCCACTCAGAATTGAATATGAAGTCCTTATGTGGCGAATTTGCTTAAATTGCTTATTAAATTTCATTCAGATATTTTTTCTACTGTTTAAAGAAACAAATATAAATTATACTCCTGCGTAGTAGTTGTTTATCAGTGATTTTTTCTACAGTTTGCGTTGCATTTCGTAGTTTGTTTATTGTATAAGCTTGCATAATCGTCGAATAATTTGCAGCTTCATTACCGCTCCTACAATAAGCTGCTGCAAGTGCAATGGATGTGAAATTATTTGCGGTCTGTTTTGTAAAACGGATTTTTTAAACTTTGGGAAGCGGAAACAAATTTGTTTTCCCAACCGTCACAATGTCACATGCTCACTACTTTCAGTATTTTTTTGAGTAAGTCAGTAAATAAGTAATCCCATCTTTTGAACGCTTAAAGCGTCTCCAGTTGCCATTGCAGTTTTATGAAATTCTGTGATAATTTTAAGTAGAAAACTTAGTAGAAATTGAACCAAATAAGGAAGGGAAATTAAATAGGGAATTAAATAATATTCTTTTAATTCCGCCATCTGATCACTTAAGCGCCATTGCAACGTTATCGCAACCAGTAAGTGGTTAAATTATGCGATTATTTTAAATAGAAAAATTAGTGGAATTAATAAATTGGGATTTTAAATGGAATTATTTCATGCAAATAGTGCTATGCAGGCTGTTGACTCTGTACTGTGTTTGCGTGCAGGAGACGTTCCTGTCGCTGGTGTACACCGGCGTCAGCACGACCCTAGACGAGCACGCCGGGTCCATATTAGTCCTGGCGGAGCGCTACCAGCTGACGGATTTAAAGGAGAAATCCGTGGACGCCCTGCGCAAGAAGATGTGCGCCGGCAACGCTGCCGATCTCCTCCCGCTGGCCGATCTGCACAACGCGCCCGAGCTGAAGAACGAGGTGATGGAGTTTATGGTCAACAACCACGAGAAGATCCGCGACACGGAGGCCTTCCGCGACTTCTTCATGACGCATCCGGCGCTGATGGCGCAGCTGTACGAGCGCAAGCAGGAGAGCAGTAAGCGCTTCAAGATGGAGCCGCCCTCCAGTCCCGGCGAGCATTCGCGCAATCACTGAATTCGGGGAAGGGTGGCGCAATGTGTTTCTAATTGCCGGTAAGTGTGGCGACACGTTTCTCCTGAATATCTGGCTTTGGGATTTTAAATCAGGGAAAATTGTTTTTTTGGAATTTTTGGGGGAAGTTTCTATAGATTTATTTGACTGATTTTGAATGTTTGAAGTTTCTGATGATATCCGGCTTTGGGATTTTAAATCAGGTGAAAATTATCTTTTTGGAATTTTTGGGGGAAGTTTCTATAGATTTATTTGACTGATTTTGTATGTTTGAAGTTTCTGATGAATATCCGGCTTTGGGATTTTAAATTAGGGGAAAATTATCTTTCTGGAATTTTTATTGATTTGTTTTGTCGATTTTGTATGAATTTACCTTCATTTATGCGTTTAGCAGGAGGTACGTTAGTGCGCCTGGTTTCGTAGTGTAATGGCTTAATTCTGCTTGTGACGTTTTCCCAAGCCCGTATCTTACATGTTTTGTCCATTCGGTACTTTAATCGTTAACACTTTTTTATGTCTGAATTCTGCGGGCCGCTACAGTTCAAAAACGGATTTGTCTACTTTTGAAAATTATAAACTATTTTTGGAATAATTTCGTCGAATGAAATGTTTCACAAAAGCTTAAAAATTAAGGGAAAAATTCGTTTTTTGAATTATTTATTATTAATAATTATTGTTATTAGTTATTATTATTTAGGCACGTTCCAGGTTGATTTGGTTAGTTCTGTAACAGTTGATAACTTGTCAAAGCGTTTGCCTGTATGTCGGTCACATGCAGTGTGTGAAATTGTGAATGGTTTTGTAGTTTATTGGCTTTTGTCCATGACACATCATCTCCAAGCCAGTATCTTATGCGTTTGATGTATACAAGCAGTACTCATACTGCAATCAGTTTTCTCGAACATAATTTTTCTAGACTCAGTTTCTGTTGACCGGTAGTGTAAAAAATGATTTTGCTAATTTTGAAAATTGTGAACTATTTTTGGATTTTTGTGTAAAGTTCAAACTGAGTTTGGAAGTCAGGGAAAACATGTTTCTTGTTTTAAGTTATTTAGTTAATTTTCATGATTTATTTTGTTAGTTTTTTGGCACTTGTCCGTTGATAACATGTTAATGCGTTTGAACGGCGTAAGTTAATTGCGTTTGTACTGGGTTTCGTAGTAGAATGGCTGTGTTCCGTTGGTTTCCTTGACAAATTCAAACCAATATATTCCATAATTATTTTAGCTTATAAAACGTTAGACATGCTGCAACCGCTTTTTTCCCAAACTCGTTTCTTTTTTTTCTCAAACTTCTATGTCCACACTTCTGCTGCCCGGTAAAAACTGAAATATTTCTTTTTAAAATGTGAAATTTTATATTAGTTTTGATTTAATTTTGTCAAATGGAAGTTCAAAACGGTTTGAAAAGCAAACAATTTGAAACCGTTATTTGAAATGAAATCGACGTGAAATGGAAAGAAATGCAATTTCAAAATATAAAAACTATAATTTTTACAATATTTTTCTGAAAGTTTTAATTTTTCGGCGTTGAAATGGTAGAAAAATAAAGCAGTATTTCTCGTTCGTTGGTTTTTCATTCTCAGAATGAGTGTCATTCGCATTCTTCATGTGCGTCCTTTTTTCCTTTCGTTGTAATGAGATTTTGATATTTCAGATGAGAAGTTTTCTAGTTTTCAATCAACAACGTGAAGGCATGATTTTGATTTTATTTTGATTTATTATTCATTTATTGATTTATTTTTCTTTTTTTCTGATTTTTCATTTTATAAAATAGAAGCATTTTCAGTTTCATATTTTGATTTTATTCTGATTTTTTTTTATTTATCAAATAAATATTTTTCCTTTTGTATTTTCATTTTACACTTTACACTGATTTTTTATTTGTTTAACTAGAATCGGAAATCAGAATACAATAAAAAAGAAACCGATAAATGAAGAATAAATGAAAATAAAATGGAAATCATGCCTCCGCGTGTTACTGTTTTTATTTTATTTTGATTTTCATTTACCGTAGAAAACATTTGATTTGATTTGATTTGATAATCTGGTGGGATTATTTGTGCAGGTCGTTTGATGGAACTCCGCGCGTGGTCTCTCGCAGCTTGTTATTTCTGCATTCACAAAGCGGTGCAGCGTCTGCATGGATGTTTTGTGGTGGCTAATGAAGGGAATATTTGTTGATCTGGCTGATGTGCGGTGGTCTGCCTGGATTCTGTGTTCTGCAGCGCGTGTCTAACCCCGTTTTAATCCCCGCCAGCTGGAAAATGTGGAATTTTGGATGATGTTCTTGTCTGATGTACATACTAATTCTTTGACACAACAAATTAACGGTTTGCAGCGGCCGAATGCGTTTGATCAATTAGTTTTTTGTCCTCAGTGGGTTTCCTGTTTTGTATAGCTTGATGGGGCTGGGGTGGGTTGTAACCTGCGGTGGTTTTATCCGGAAATTTTGCGGCAGACATGTGTTTTTTTTTCGTTAAATATCCGTTTTTGATTGACTGGTTTTTTTCTCCTAATTGACTAACTAGTTTTTGGCAGATTGTGGATGTTGTCAGTACGAATGGCGAATAAAACGTCACGGTAAAGAAATTCCGGCAGGTAATTCTACCGATTTTACCGACCGTTCCCGCAGGTAATTTTACCGATTGATTTTACCGGTAATTTTACCGATCAAATTCCGTTATAGATTGGACTTTTATTCCGTTGCACCCGATTATAGTTCATCTTTGCAGTAAGTTAACCTAGTAGGTTTTTCACCGACTTTGCAGGGAATTAGTTTGTTTTTAATACGCAGTGTTCCATATATATAATGGTACATCCACTGCCACAGAAACCGTTTGTGCGAGCAACTTCCGGTCACCGGGATACGTTACCACAATTCAAACTGACAAATCGTCTGAACCCGTGTTCCAGATGTTATGTGTTAGTGGATTTCTTCTTTAAGCTTTGCTTTAAAACGGCGCATTTACTCTTTGGACTGTACTGAACAGAATATTCTTATGCTATAGCATGGCAGTACTATACTATTAGTATAGTATTATTATACTAATAGTACAGTATATTATACTACTGTAATAGTATGGCACTGCCATGGCTATAGTTACAGTATCTGAAACAAAAAGTTAATAGTAACAATGCTGGGAAAATTAGTTTTCATTTGTAGTAGAAGATGCGTATTACGAAGAGTATGTACCTCCTTTGGCCACTACTCTACGATAGCTCTCAATTTTGGTATAAACATTAGACGGTTGCATTACTAATTAATATATTGCTTATCATTTTATTATCAATTTTTTGTTTTAATTTCCAGAATATTGTTCAAGTATGCGATTATATTAATTGTTGTTCTATTTTGTTAAGCGAATTAATTATGATTTAATTGGCGCTTTTTTTGTTAAATTCCAGAATATTGTGAAATTCATCGATTAAATTAAGCAAATAAATATTCATTTTATTAGATCAAGTAAATTAAGTTATTATTTCGTTATCGCTTGTTCGGTTAAATTCCAGAATATTATTATTAAATTCATCGCGTTTGGTCATCGTTGACGTGAGGAATCGTAAAATTAAGTGACCGGCTGAGACGGAATTAAGTGTGTCCACTTAAAGCTAGTTCGAATTTTGAAAGAACCTCTGGTTAAGCTTTCAAATTACTTACTCTTTTCATGCATCTGCAAATGACAACCTTCATGATAGGCATGCCTTCACACGTTTGCTATTAAGCGGAACCGAAATATCCACGGATGTTTAAAACCTGCCTGATACGTACAATCTCGCCCCGGTAAAGAACCATTAGCGTTTTGACGGTTCGCAAACCAGTTGAGCCCAGGCAGAACGCTTAATTGAACGTTTTCACCCTGGAATTTTTGTGCAGCTTGAATGTGCACTGAAGTGTTCGCCCTGGGTGTACAAATATCGCTACCTTTGGTGGCAGCTGTGCCAAATCAAAACTCCGGGATAAAAAATCTACGAAAAAGAGCGATCTAGACTTTAAAACGGTTAATACTGACTTTTGCATTGCAGCCCAATCATAACACTGACCCAACTGCTTGCTGGATTTTGAAAGCTGACTGTGCGTCGGTTAACGAAATAGTTTCTGCAAGAAATCGGGCAGCGAAATTGTAGAAAAACGAAATGCCGGTCAGTAATCTGTCGGTCAACAAACTATCTTTAAGCGAAGCAGAGCCCGCAGAGGTCACTGAACTGATCTGCTATCCGTTGTTTTTGTTGATTATACCGTAACTACTGCCAAGCCCTTTCTCACAAGCCGTGGAAAAGAGGGAATACATAATACGTGCATGAAACACAGTGTGTTGCTGTCGGCCAATTACTGATGTCAAGCTAACAACCCTGCTTATGACCAAACGCAGGCCTGAGCGCTAACGACCGCTTGAAAAACATCGAAATTCTTTTAACGGGAAAAGTAACGCTGGTCTTTGTCTCGGTAGTATCCGTCAAACAGTGCCATTACCAACGGACTCAGCATGGAGAAGTCCAGGGCTGTCAGGTCAACGGCATCCCACTGTGGACCGTCGCACCGGAAACTGCTGAACCTAATCAACGGCAGAGAACCAAAGGTTAGACGAGTCAGCAGTTCACCGGGAAATTTTGGGTGTCACTAACGTTTGGAGACTCTGACGTATCCCTGCCCAGTCTTCGGAATAGTTCAGCGTCGTCATCCAGCGTGCATGCGCTTCGATGACCTTTTCGCGTACACGCTGCGTAACGGCCGGACACTGGTCATTCAGCGCTGACAGGAAACGCCGGCATTGTTCGGCTGCGGTTTCTGTGGAATGAAAACGCAGAAACGGGATCTTCACGTTCAATACCACGTCGTTATCCCAGTGCCACACTGCTTCATCAGTTTCCGGCCATACCGCGGCTTCTCCACCGAACAACTTAGCCAGAAGTGAGGGCAAGCCAAAACGGTAGGACGCGGTGTAGTTAAGCAGCACCACCTGTTGGCACACCTTCATCCATGCGGACAGCTTTGTGCATTCGTATCCCCCGTTCCCGTCTGATCGGCGAAGTCCCAGAAATGGCGCTTGTAGCGGCTTCCCTGACATTCTTAATGGTAAGCAGGGAGAGACGGATCACTTTCACCTGCAGCACCGCCTCCAGGGCCTGTAGTTTCAGCGCAAACCCTCCGATTAGCCAATCGTCAACCGGCATGTCAGTGCCCATCAGCGTTACGCTTCGCGTCTGCCGGATGATGCTCTCTTGCATCACCGTAACCGTTCGGTAATCAAAATGGTCGACTAAATCCGGGAATACCTTTAATATCGTAGAGTTTCAGTATGTTGATGTGGTGGATGCCCAAGGTAATGTGTCGGCGACTCATGGGTTCGCGGACCAGGTCCCTCCAAAGCGAACATCAAGCAAAAGCAGCAGCGTACACAATCAGGCAGTATTACGTTTCATAATTCAGGCAATGCTACGCCTACAGCAAATATTATGTATAACTTATAACTACATTAGCAAAATGCCATGCCATAGCCATATTGCGCATATAATTATCATCGCTTGCGGGTCGTCAGCAACACTGGCATTTTCCTCGAACGAGTCAAGTACCACTGGTAGATGGTACAGCATTTGTGGTACTGAACAGTGTTACGTGACGCTCTTTGAGGCGAGTGCGACGGACAAACTTGTGCCTTTGACGGAATCTGGTATCTACTCTACCGTAGTATCTGGTATCGGCCTCAGCATCACGCTTCGCTCGCTGCATATAAATATAATCATTCATTGCAATAAGGAAGGAGTACTTCCCAATTCCCATTGACGCCAAGTTTGCGGATTGCCTGTTTGAAACTCGGACTCCCCCCATATCTTGGCGTGAACGGGGATGAATACTGTACTAATGATCAATCAAATAAGCGAGCGATTTAAAAATTTAATACTTCAGCAGAAACCGAACTTTCTCATTTGAGCGCACTGAAGATCGACTATTAGCAGTCAGTCAGTCACGTCCACTTTACCATAAGTTGCTGCCTACCGGTTCATCCGCAGCTGGGCAACCGCGTCCAGATTAAGCAGAATATCACGTAAAACCGGAACCGAAACGTCAGCCATGTGCATCCCATCGATGTCTGCAAACGATCAATATCTAACGCCAACAACGGTGAATGTACAGTATATCAAGTGAACGTTTATTTGTTATGTACCCATTAAGGACGACATTTTAGTCTATTACAACGACTTCAAACTAACCGTGTGGATGAAGGTCAATAACGTGAGTTTTTATTCTACTCATTGCCACCGTTTCCTTCCAAAGTTCTTCAGTGCAGCACAGCTGGCACGCTTTTCTCAGCAACTCTGCATTCCAGCACATGCTGCGCCCGTTAGCGTCACCGTGGGATTCGGCGCAGACGGACAGGACCGTATCCCGTTCTACTCGCACGAACACGCGACAGCCAACATCGAAGATATATCGCTCCTCTGCATGACCGTGGTTCTCCAACGTCTCCCCACAGCGAACCGTCAAGGTATCCCCTTTAATCAACTTTTCCAGCTTACAATCGGCACCATACAACAAATCCCTACTGACAAACGTTATTTGGCACGTGCGGGCGACAAACTTCGACATGAACCGCAAATCACGCAGCAAATCCGGGTTTTCGAATGGGACGATGTATTTACGGAACACGAGTCCGTTGGTTCGTCCGAAGAAGCTAGGTTCTTTGTCCGGCGTCGGGAGGTCCTCGACAAATTGGGTTTTATGCACAAGGGTGCAGCCTGCCGAAGGGAGTTGGCAGTCGACAGTGTAGAACAAATGGTGCGGGTCGTCGCAGATTCGTCCCGGACGGAATACCATCGGTCCGCCGTCTTCGCTGCGCAGCGCCACCTGCACCGAAGAGCCGCGGTGAAGTATTCGCGAATGCGGTAGAAAACGGTGCGGCCAGAGGTGGCTGGAGTGGATCCATTGGGCGCTGATTGTGGCGGCATCGAAGTCAATGAAGTACTGGTCGCCCTCAATGTCCTGAACGTATCCCAACCACCATTGACCGTTGTCCCGTCGCACCAACACCGTATTGCCGTAGTTGACTTCCCGCGAACCCGAATATAACTGACGAAAGTACAGAGGTGTGGCAGTCATGGTGATCAGATTTTATCAAAAGGTCAGCGTCAGTTTGTTCTGCACTCTGTAGTGGATTCGATACTTTCTTTAGTCCGCCAAAGTTCTACACTCAATCTACAGTAGTCAATCTCGGAATGGCTCGCTCCAAAATTGTATCCACATTGTACTGTATCGTCAGTGCTTGTAAACGAGATAAGAAAAATTTAATTTCTCTAGAGTAGTTACCTTGGAACATTGACTTAAATTCTGATGTTCTACCAACTTGCAACTTAAGTGATGCGAGTCTTGCGACTAATAAGCTGACGGTAACACATGTCTGTACGTCTATGCTGCGATCAGATGGATGAACGGTTACGTAATAATAAAACGGCTGTGCGGTCAATGAATCCCGGATACCCTGTTGAGCTTTTAGTAAAGAGAGTAAACGACAAACTCTACACTGTCTACATACAGTATGGTTTTTATTTTTTTTCACGCAGTTGCGCTACTGGCAAAAGCAGAAACGGTTGAT